TTTTAGGTTTATTGTTTTTTCATTGCGTGAAAGTATGCCTTATATAATCAGAACTGTTGATTAATTGCTTATGCTTCTATTGCTCAAAAATTTATCTTTCTACAAATGAGATAAGTATGCTATTCTATTTTTCTCAATTTTTTAAATACTACTTGTTCTTCATATATTTAAAATTAATCATAGTATATGATGTAGATATGTTTTTCTCCACATTGATACTCAGTGTTTTGACAACATTTTTTAAAAATAGATTTTTCTCCACTTATAAAAACTTTAGATTTGATCATTATTTTGGTATTTCTAGTCATGTTTTGCTTTGATTTTTTTTTTAAATATGCATAACAAAAACTATTTTAACCATTTAAAGTATACTATTCAGTGGCATTAAGTACATTTACAGTGTCAGATATCACCACTATCCTCCCTTTACTGGATATATTTCTACTTAAACCTGAAACATGATTGCTATTATTCTCAGGTAAATTGTTTAAATCTCTGAATCCCAGTTGCCCTATCCATAGAATAAGGATGATGCTCATAGATCCCCTTTAGAATAGATCAGTTATTATTGAATAACAATACTTGAAGCAATCATTTTAAAGCCATTAGAAGAGAATATTTTGCTTTTTATTTTCATTCTTTAAGGGCATGCACATACTTATTTGAGGGTATCATGGTAAACATTTGCTAATTATTTCTCTTTTTTTAATGCTATTGTTCACTTGAAATTTGCTGAGATAGATATTTAAAATATATTTATTGATATTTTTACAGAGAGGAAGGGAGACGGATAGAGAGTTAGAAACATCGATGAGAGAAACATCAATCAGCTGCCTCCTGCACACCCCTATTGGGAATGTGCCCATAACCAAGGTACATGCCCTTGACCTAAATCGAACCTGGGACCCTTCAGTCCGCAGCTTCTGTCCATTGAGCCAAACCAGTTAGGGCTGCTAATTATTTCTTATAAATTCTGAAGCAATCCACATATTAATAAAAATCTTAAGTGATTATAGACCACTTTTTTTATACTTCTTAAGGCTACTATTTATAACTATTATTGCTGAGATATATTTAATTTTGGAAGGGATACTATTGATTTTTTCCAGAGAAATTTCTGTAGCCTTTGGTGTACTCTAAAAATATATATAAGGTTCTGGAAGGGGTAGTAAGTAGACTTCTAAAATACAGTGTAGATATGATCAAATTTATGAGCTACCTGTTCTATTTTAAAACTGTATCAAAGCTATTCAGTTAACTATTGAAAATCTCTGTGCACACTTAGCCGCATGCAAGTTTCCCTGCTAGGGTGTATAATCAGACTGTTTTGCTCTATTTAGACACTTCTCTTGGTATTACAATTAAAATTGATATATACTGTGTTTTCACTGGGGGGAAAAAATCAGCCTTTATACTGTACTTTAAAATATTTATATACCTAATTTTAAATTCCCCTTTCTCTGTTTAAGAGCTATAATAACATATTGAAGTAACCCAAGTTCTTGCCTGTGGCCATTTACAACTAAAGGGTAATTTTAGCTTAATACTTTAATATTTTTATGGTGAACTTGGTACAAAGTAGAAATTATGTGGTTAGAATCTTATTAGAATTTTGAAATAAAATATTTGTTATTAATTATTGACCTAATTTCTCAGGATTAAAAATTATGACTGTCATATTACAAAATGATCCTGCTTTTATTTATGAGCATGTGAAGTCACAATATTTAAAATTATGTGACCTTTTTGAATCAAACCAAAGTTCTTATTTTTTTTTCATGTCAGCATTAGCAGGCAGGGAAATACTATTTCTGTTCTCAATTGCAGATTTTCCCAGATTTTTAACAATGAAGGCATATAGATACTAACAAACTTCAAAAAAAGCGATGAAATAATTGTATGTAGAAACAGTTCTAGAAATTGAAACTAGAAAATTATGAAAAGATATTACTGTCCAGATGCCTTATAGAGGTGCTCAAAATAAAAAATGAATTCAGAGCGTGTTTTGTAATTTCATCGGCTGTTTGGCTAAGTTGTAATTATATTAATTTACATTACATTCAGAATCCACTTTCCCCTTCTATGTCAAGCCATCATATTAAACTCTAAAACTACTACTTGGGAATGAGAATACTAAGATTTGTATTGTAATTCCGTACTTTTTGTTATTGTCAAATACTGGATCACTGTGTCTGTGTTATATAACACTTTCATCTGGTTGCTAGTAAACTCGGCTTTTGATTGTAAGTATGTGCCACTGTAGAAAATGGTGTGAGATGTTAACATTAAAAGTTTTAGCACATTGGTTAATTCTAGGAATGTGGTAAATACTTGAATTCCTGTATTTAGTATGTTTTTATGTTTAAGGTCTTTTAAATTATAAATTTTTGGAAGGAAGGAAGAATACTGTATTGATGGAAAGTAATATCTTAGATGCATGTTGTGATGGAATTATGTGAAAGGTAATTTTTAGGGATGGAAACAACAAAGGATTCTTCTTTTCATAGAAGAAATTATAGAGGTAGAAATGAATATCTTCCAATTGTTCCCTTAAAGAAGGTTTTACCATTTACCATAGAGTTTACCTCAAGAAAAAAAGAAAGCTAATCCATTATTAAATTTCATTATAAAATCACAGTAATGTTAGCATATATCTAGAAAGCAAAATTCAAGATTTTAACATTTAGTTTTGCCTGGCTTGAAAATTTATTTCCCCACTACTTGTCATATAAATATTTCTTGCCATATAAAACCCATAACCCATTTTGATTAGTAAAAATCTATGTTCTTTAATGTTCATATTTTTTAAATAAACTAGTTTTTGTGTTTAAAAACAAAATTAAAGTAAATGCTTTTTGGAATCCTTTTTTAAATAAAACAAAACAATTCCTTATCTTCTTACCCAGAGGTAGGTTTTAAAATACTTCCCCTATAAGAATGAATATCCCCTACCTTTCTCTTGCTGAGAATCTACTAACTAGAGATTGCAGTTATTATAGCTAGGTAAAACATGGAATACTATCACTTTCTTTTAAAATTCAACAAATGAGGTATTAAAGCCATTACATTTTCCTAATGATTTGGTCCTATTTTGCTCTTAAGGGATCGATTCATAGATGTACATTATGTTCATTTAGGCAATATTAAAATCCCATAAAGACATTTCCATTTAAAACTGAGATATAAGTTGGCGAAACATAAAAATGTTTCATCTTTCATAATTATGAGTCATTTTCACGTCACATTGATTATGCTGTTGTGGATAGAGCAAAACAAGTGCAGGGAAGATAGCACCTGTGAGCTTTAGTTACTATGCACCGTTAATTCTGCAGCAGTAGTTACCTGCGTCAGGAGGTAGGAGAACTAAGCTTTTGAGGCTTTGTGTATGAGCTACACGTGAGTGCATTGAGCATCCTCTGCTTCTGACCTTTAAACTTTTTTTCTTCTTTTGACATTCTAGATCAGGGTAGGGAGTAAAGCTGTGTCAGAGTTAGACATTATTTAAATCTGTCTAGCTTACACGTGTTTTCTCTCCTTTTCCCATTCCGGAGTGTGGTTCTGAAAGTGTCTTGTATAGAGCAATAGAAGTGGAATGCTGGTCTATTGGCATAACTGAAGTTTTTCATTTCCCTTTTCTTGTTATTTATCTATTTTCATTACTTCTGCAGTAAGATTCTATACTTGTTTTAGCTTTTTTTATATATCAAGTTGGTTACAGTGGTTGCTAGAAGTGAAAAGAGGTTTGACCTTAATTAAAAGCATAAGCAATCACATCTGTTTCGGAGCAGTGCTAGTTTCGTTTTTGTTAAATTGTAATGGAGTTTTTCTTTTATATAATGTATTTAAGTTTTCTAATGTCTATCTGTCTCTCTTGCCAGAAGGGCATAATAAGTTGTTTTTACCAGTAAATGTGGGGTTTGTTAGTTTGAAAATCAAACCAGGAAAAAAGAAAGGGAGAAAGAAAGAAAAAACAGTGGATATCCTTATAGTTTTTAAAATAAAAGAGGATGTTCTATTTTTCTTTGTTAGTTTAAAATTCAGGACAAGAAGAGCAGGATCTAAGGAGATAAAGATTTTCCTTAAATGATTAACTAGACGTATATTTAGTGGAGCTCATTGTTTCAAACTAAAACCGGCCAGGTCCCAGTTGTTTGGAATGTCATCTCGTACACCAAAAAGTGGCCGATTCAATTCTAGGTTACAGGTTCCATCCCTGGTCAGGGTACATACGGGAGGCAACCAATTGATATTTTTCTCTCACATCCCTGTTTCTCTCTTTCTCCCTTCCTCTCTAAAATCAATAAAAACATATCCTCCGGTGAGGATTAAAAAGATAAATAAAATTTACATGATTATTTTTCCTTAATTCTAAAATTCAAAGTTTTACTTATTTGCATTATTAAAGTGGATCCAGAGAATTTCGTTTTCCTTTATATTAATTATATGTACAGATGGTTGTGAATGCATTTACTTTATATTATAATCTGTTATATTTAAAGTGATTCAGTGTTAACATTATATAAATGTTCCACAGGAGACCAGGTTAGATGTTATCCTAACTTACCGATTTGCTAGGCTAGTTTTTATCATTAAAATATGTAACTCTAATCCTAAAAAAACTGTCCTAGTTAAAAGCACATTAAAAAATGTTTAATACATTAGGCACTATAGTAACCATGTTTTAAATACAGCAGAAGCAGTTTCACGTGTTGGCTTTTGCAAGATATTATAAAAATCATTGCGTATACCTATGTTGACTTGGTGTAGCATGTCAGTTTTGAAAAGCCATGTGCAAGTTTGAGATTTTGAGATTAGAACTCACGTGGAAAGCTTGGGGTAGCAAAATATTTTAAAAAAAATTATTCTCTGATGGCCTGAATGATAATGTCTTAAGAGTACATAAAGCTTTGAATCCTCCTCTTTTTTACACAGACTGTGAAGACTGCTGAGAGACGCTTGCGATCCAGTCACATAAGTGGAATAAAGAAATATTGGTCCTCATGGAAGAAGAACAAGACCTACCAGAGCAACCAGTAAGTATTTCCTTTAATAATTTAAAGTTGATTGTAGAAAAGCTAATCTTAAGAGATTTTAAATATTATTCAACTTCCAAATTAAAAATAAAAATAAGGAAAAGACCTCTTAATACTTCTAAATAAAAAAAAATTATATGATCTCAAATGCATATTTTGTTAGTGCTAATGAGTGTGCTTAGAAAATTTAGCATTACAAAGTTAGTATTGTACTTGGGAGTGTCATTTAAAAAATACAGTCATGGGTATTTCCTTTTGTAGAACCCTTTTGCTTGGTCTGATTTGTTGCCCGGGTAGCTAGCTGTCAGAGAAGGGCAGGGCAATTAGCCATCGTGGTGGGTTGAGGTGGCAGCAGGATGTGCTGTGGGTCTCAATCAGTTGTGGGACAGACCAGAAAAAGAAAAGAAAAAACAATGGATATTCTTACAGTTTTTAAAATAAAAGAGAACATCTATTTATCAAACAGTATACACCACTTCTGATGGAAAATTTACTTTTACCTTTACCTAAATTTTCCTAACTGACCTAATTTTTTTAAAGAAGTTGTAGTAGTTAAAGAAAGTGTAATGTGACCTCTAGCTAATTCAGATCCTAGAGACAAGGTTGAATTCTGAATTTTTTAAAAATATTTAATATAAGTAAATAAAATAATTTTAAATGTCTGCAAGTGATAAGATTTTATTGCCTTGCCATGGCTTCTATTTGTTTGTTTGTTTGTCTGTTTTTGATCCTCATTTAAAAAAGGAGAGCAATAATCATTCTCAAGATACTTTTATGTTAAAGAATCTTTTCCTTTTGTCTTGAGTTTCATTTTCTAAAGTTAAGTACTTATTCAATTTGCTATCCTGAGAGAGCCTCATGTACTTAACATTAAAAGAGAATATAGAGTGGTACAAGCTTACCTTTCTTTATGAAATCAAACATGGAAAATTTTGAATGTTGAAAGCAGGTAATAAGATATGTTTTTCATGTACTAGATGTATTCTTTACATTACAGAAGCTTTACATTATAAGCTTCCAGTTAGTTAATAAAGTTCTTTAATATGTTTTTAATATTTTTCTTTAGGTCAAAACATGTATACTGATGATTACTTTGCCATTATATTTTTAGCCCTCTGACAGTAAACATAAAATTAGGATGTCATAAGCAATTGTTAAAAAAAACCTTTTAAGACATTTGGAATGTCATTCTTTTCACTGGTGGGACATTAATAATCAGGGAAATGGTAGGGTTAAAAGTAATCCTCGCCAGTGTGTCTATGTATTTGTATAAGAACAAATAGCTGAATTAGAGACATTAAATGTACCAACGAAAATGATGTCATTGAGTTTTTAATTTAGTAAAAGGTCTAGTCATAGTTTCAAAAGACTTATATAAGTTGTTGAAATAGGTATTGTTAGTTACTCCTTATCTATTTAAGGTCATGAGAATTGTGAGACTGACTTGCTAGTAGGTCATCTTTTCTACTCTGCTTTATTTCCTTGCTGTTCTTATACAATTCCTATAACATAACGTATTAAACTTGATTGTTACTTCAGAGGAAGGTAAGAAATTAAACTACTTTAAAAACTAATTTTCTGTTGACTAGAAATGGTGATTGCCTTGGGGCATCCTTTTCCTATTGATTTGTGTCTGGGTTTAATTTATAAAGGTGACAGAGTGACCACACTGAGAGGTCAGTGCCATTTGAAAGAAAAGTTTAATGTTACAGTTCCCTTAGAATTAGAGGCATGGCATGTCACACAGGACCCCTGGCGGTGTGGGGCAGGGTGAGGGGGAACCACCAGTTTTGATCAGGAGGCAGAAAGGAGCTAGGGGGATGCATAGGCCATAGCCTTTATTGGGGCTTCCACAGACAAGGTGAGCGAGGCAAGGCAAGGCAGGGTAAACGGTTTAGTGTTGTTAGCTGGACTCATTCCAGGAGGTTTGGGGCATTGGAGGTGTCACTAGGTGTGCGGTGTCCGTCCGGCCCTGAGTTGATTGGGAGTAGGGAAATACTGACTTGATGTGTGTGAGTTAGATGAAGGAGGTGGTTCACAGTATGGGCTCTGGGTTGTAGAGGAGATATAAACAATTTTGGCTCCATGATTAATGGATATAAAAAAAATATGGAATCTAAGAAAACACAGAACACTTATTGACTGTTAAGAATAATTAGGATAGGAGAGTAAATGCCAGACTTTGAGGAGGAAAATGAGTTTTCACAGGCTAAAATGGAGATAGGAAATTTGAATGGAAAGAATAGTCCTATCCCAGGTCGATGATGATAAAGCTAAGATTTTTAACCCTACTGTTTATCTCTATATAGAGGAGATGTTACTGATGGACATTGTTATTGGAGATATTTTAATTCTATCATCTCTCATCTTGTCCTCTCTCGTTTCTCTACTTCTTACTTGCTCTGTTTTAAAATGTAAGATTTGTTCGGGTCATTGTTAACCAGGCAACATAAATCCTAGCCACACCTTTTCTTTCACCTTCCCTTTTGCCAGTCAGTCCTCTGCAATGAGAAATGGTTTTCTCTTTAGTCACCATTTATGTACGTGACTTAGTCTTCTTCCGGTCTTCATCTTTTTCTACTGCTTTTAAAAAAGAGTGAAGGGGAGCATTAACCAGACTCAGTTTGGGATGAGAGGTATAATCCAAGACTATTTCTGGTGAACTAGAAGCACTTAACTCCTTTATGGATATCAGGAGTGATCTCTGAACTAAAGTTTTGAAAAGGCATTTATACACATAGGAAAAAATTTTAGAATGTACATATCAAACTCAATGCTTATTGTTTTATTTGTCATTTTTTTAATCCTCACCTGAGGATACTTTTCTATTGATTTTAAGAAAGAGTGAAAGACAGAGAAATATTGATATGAGAGAAACATATCGATTGGTTGCCTCCTGCACATGCCTAGTCCAGGGCCCAGGCCACGGAAGAGCTGCAACCAAGGAATGTGCCCTTTACTGGAATTAAACCCCGGACCCTTCGGATCTGCAGGCCACGCTCTGTCCACTAAGCCAAACCAGCCAGTTATTTATCATATTTTATTTATCCATCATCTGTTCATGGATTCTGGGATTGTTTTCACTTTTTTTGTATGGACATGCTTTCTTTTCTCTTGGTTATGTAGCCAGGAGCAGAGTTGCGGGGTCATATGGTAACTGTTTAACCTTTTGAGGAACCAGTACTAAAGTAATTGTACTATTTGCATTCTGTCAGTTTCTGGATTATATTGTTTGAACCCGTGCTTTTGTAATTCAGTGAAATATGTCTATTCTTTGAGTTAGTTTAACTGCCTCTGGTGCCAGGGTAGTACACCCTTCTCATCCCTGACTTACGGGAGGACATAATTGCCTAAATTAAGGTGAACAGTATCTGAAATGTTAAATCTTATCATATTAAATAGCTGTATTCCCACCTCTTATATTTGTTTAAAATTATTTAGCAGAATTTTGCCTTTTGTTAACTTGAAATATTTTTAAGTATTCATAATTTGTATGGCTAAGCATACTAAGCATGTTTCTACTATAACTAGTTATTCCAACCAGAGAGTTCTAAAATCAGATTCTTTTGTAATATGAAAGTAGTGATCATGAGCAGTGTTAAACATTATTTTTCATTTCTGGACTAAACTGTTTCAATGTAAATGCTTTTACCTTGGAAGGAATTAAGGAAAGATGAAAATCTGGAGGGAAAATCAAAATAGTGTGAATAATATTTTTTAAATTACTAGTAACCTAGTAAGAAATTGTCTTTATTTTTGGCAAGTAGGCAATTTAAATATACCAGTAAATACATTTCTGTTAGTCACGGGTGATGTAGTCAGTGGTCAGAATCTTGGTCTGTGTTGCCTGCGCCCACCAACGTGTGTCAGGTTCGATTCGATTCCTGGTCGAGGGCATGTACCTGGATTGTAGGTTAGATCCTGGCCCCGATGAAGGGCATGTGCAGGAGGCAACCAGTCCATGTCTCTCTCACATCAATGTTTCTCTCTTTCCTTCTCTTTCTCTCTCTCTCTCCCCTCCTTCCTTCCACTATCTTTAGAAATCAGTGTAAAAAATATCCTCAGATGAGGTTTAACAAAAAAAAGAAAAAGACATTTCTGTTAAAGAAATTTTGAATAGATGATAACAAGAGTTTAATATGTACTGTTTAATGATATAATTATGCATCTGTTAAAATTTAAAACCAACAAGTTTGTATCCAAATTTAGATATTTCATCCTAAATATTTTATCTTGGAATAAAAATCTTGATACAAAATTTTTTACATTTTACCTTGAATCTGATAAACACTTTCATTTAAAAAAAGGGGGGGGGTGAAAAGGAGACATCTGTAATACTTTCAGCAATAAAGATAAATTTTAAAAATAGAAAAGAAAAAAAAGATCTCCATATGAAAAACAAAGGAGTTCATCTCTAAAAAATATAAGGGTTAATTAAATAAATCTAAGCAAGACAAGACAGTTACCCTGAAATTTATTAGTTAATGTTAGTCTGACATTTGAATAGCCAGATTATTTAAGAAATAGATCACTATATTATTCTTTTGTTTATTTATTTTTGCAGGTTAAAAAAGCCAAGATGCAGGAATCGGGAGAGCAAACTTTAAGGTATACTAAAGTTGAATTTCTTTTTAATGATCTACTGACAATTTTTTTCACATGCTGATGATGGACATGACTTAGGTTGACTGCCTTCTTTTTGGTTTTTTTAAAGTCAGTCTTTACATTTTGAAATTATTTGGTTTAAAATGAAAATACCCTCCAAAAGTTTGTTTTTAAAACACATAAGTGCTAATATATTTATTTTATTCATTCATTATTTTTTTTTAAACAATATGTACCAAACTCATGGTATCTATCAGAGCATATTCTATATGGAGGGGACACATTGGTCAGTTAGATGTATACAGAATACGAAATAATGCAAGTTATTTGGCATTAATTACCAAATGGATATGGGATGCCTCGGTCGTTAGCTTCCCTGCCCTTATAGAAGAGAGGCAGCTTCTATGCACCTCATGCTTTAGTTTTCCATAGTTTTTATCTCTTCCTGTCGTTTGTCCGCCAACCATATGAACCAGTAACTTCATCACCTTTAACATCTTAATTTCTAGAATCATCCTCTTTTGCTACCATACGTTACATTCCAGATCATTTATTTTACTGCCACACTAATCCATATGCCTTATTATACATGTTCAATGAAATTAACTATCATATCAACCGTTGGCCCTTATCTCAAAAAGGACTTCAATATCTTTCTTATGTTGCTTAAATTATAAGATCTCTTATTTTAATCAGTCCTTTACAAATAGTCTTAACCCTCCTCCCCCTTTCCTCTATATTGTACTTCCCTAGCAAAATCACAATCCTGGTTAAACTCATCTTTCTACCGACTCCATATTAATTTTCAATCACCTGAACATTGTGAGAGAAAAACATAAAATTATGCTTACGGGTCTGTTTTCATTCATGATTACATCTCAGTTAGGCACTTAAACACTGTTGTTGGTCCAACTATCTTTCCTGATGTATTTTATTACCCAGTCTCTAAAATTATCTTTCCTTTTTTCCTTTCTCTCATCTAAGGAAAAATTGTTTGAACATTTAGAATGTAGCAAGTATGAGGGCATGGAACTTCATTGATATTATGCTTGAGTACAAGAGGTTTGTTCAGAAACTATATGAGAGCTTTAAGAATTTTGGTGCTAGATATTTTTTAATAAAAATAGCATTTAAAAAAAAAAAATTTTTTTTGGCCCTAGCTGGTTTGGCCCAGTGGATAGAGCTTCAGCCTATGGACCAGAGTGTCCCAGGTTCAATTCCAGTCAAGGGCATGTACCTTGGTTGCAGGCTCCTCCCTGGCCCAGGCCCTGGTCTGGGCTCATGCAGGAGGCAACCAATTGATATGTTTCTCTCTGTCTTTCCTCTCTCTTCCACTCTCTAAAAATCAATGGAAACATATCGTTGGGTGAGGATTAACAAAACAAAAAAATTTTTTTTCTGTGTAGAAACTACTTTGTCAGCGTACCTCTTTCCAGATATATGGGTCCTCTGGTACAGTGTTCTCCATTTTTCCTAGAATGTAGAAGAGCAGCAGATTTCTTTTCTTTTTTTTTTTTAAGTGCAGATTATAGTCTTTACTCTCAGTTTTTAAAATATTTATAACTTAGAGTAGAAAACATTTTAAAAAGTATTTCAAAATATCTTTACTTTTTTTTTGTAATATCAATTATCCATATACATATTTTTGTACAAAGCATTTAACTTAGGTAGAATGTACTGGTATACATAGAGACCATATATTCATGTAAACTGTGTTAGATTAAAGTCATTTGTCTCAAATATTAGCCTGACTAGATTGGCGCTGCCGTGGCACATCCAAATGTAAAATTCTGCAGATCTGAATAGCTGTGCAGACATAGACTGAAAACTGTTGTGCCTACCTTGCCACTAATAAGTTGTGGGAAACGTAAATAAAGTGATAGTTTTCCTCCAGAATTTAAGGGAGTTGAAAATGCTAATAATTATAATAAACAGTATATGTATACAACAACATATACAGAATAACACATACCTGGTTTATGTCTCTAAAGTAAATACTTACTAGCACTTGAAATAAAAGGTAGTTAACTCTACTAAAGATAGGAAAATCCATGGTGGTCTTTTACTCCTCTTTATTGCTTTTACGCCTCTTTTTAGCATTATCTATACTCCTCTATTAATTTCTGTAAATTACAGTTGCTGTCAAACCAATCCAGCCACAAAGCAGATTTCTTTTTAGGAACATGGATGCGGGAAAGATGCCTGGAGTAGGGAGAAGTAGTAATATACTATTAAGTAATAGTATTTACTTTGTTCTAGTCTCTGCTCTAAGTACTTTTTATATGTTAACTCATTAATCTCTATAACAACTCTGTGAGGTAGGATGTGTTATTACTCTTCATTGACAGTTGTAGAATCAGGGCACCAAAGAAGTTCAGTGACTTGCCTAAAGTCATAAAGCTATCCTTTGGTAGAATGGAATATGAACTCGAGCAGTCTGGCTCAAGAATCCGTACTGTGGATTATGCTGTACTGGTGGTTGAGGGAATATTGGAGAGTGGAAAGTCTGGTAGGAGGAAGAGGAAGGACATTGTGATGAAAGTTAGCATAATTTCCATTTCAGAATTCCAGTGAGAATCTTCCCAACACTAAAGTGCCTAATATAATGACTTGTCCTTCCAGTTTTTATGATTTACCTTTCGTTATTTCTCTTAATTTTCTTTATAAGTTAAATAAGAAAAAAAAGTTGTTGCTCAGTCTTGGGAATAATAGCAAATAAAAAATTGTCTTTTTTTTAATTGGAGGAGAAGAAGAATACAATGGAATGAGCCATTTTAAGGTTCAGAATACCTTCTTGGAAGCAAGCATGTATATAAATTGAAAAAAAAGTCTCAAGTTATTATGAGAACAATTGCCTTAAAGCATTTTTAGGTGTTGTGGAATTTTTCTTTTACAACATTGTCTTCAGAGAATATCTGACTTACTTGTGACTTAGCTGGAATTTCTGAGTGATATAAAAACTGAAGGGGTCATGAGGTGATATGAGAAAGAACAGTAGAATGCTGTGAGTTCTAACCCTGGCCATAGCTCTTCAAGTAGCTGCTAAAAAACCTAGAATAAGGATATCATGAAGAATTACTTCTTAGATAGCCTCAGAAAAGATGGGTTTGATTTAATAACTTATAGCAATGGGACATGTCAATCTGGGGCTAATATATTCATTTTGGTTCTCCCAGTCAAGTAAGCAACCCCGAAGTCAGTGATCAGAAACCTGAAACTTCAAGCCTTGCTTCAAACCTTACCATGTCAGAGGAAAGTAAGTACGAAATTCTCTGCATGACCTAAGTGGCATTCCTATAAACCAGGTGATGCTGTTCTTTGATAATTGGTCTTCACTGATTGCCTTGTTTGTCCTGGATGTACAGAAGACTTTCCTTTCCGTGTGTGTGTGTGTGTGTGTGTGTGTGTGTGTGTTTTCATATTCACACACTTGTGCTTTCCTATAAGCCTTATTGACATATTAGCTGAGGAGCAAAAATCACATGGAATTCACTCACCTAAGGAGTCACACTTTGATGATTTTATTTTTGCTTTTATGTTGGATGTTTTGAGGGTTTTGTGTGTGTGTGTGTGTGTGTGTGTGTGTGTGTGTGTGTGTGTGTGTGTTTTATGTTGGATGTTTTAAAGGTAAGAGTGCCTTACTCAAAAATCAGAAAAGTTTGTGGGTCAACCTCTGATGCTACTCTGAAGGACTTGCTATTTTTTCACCTTTCTCAACCAAATGTTACTATCTCTCCATCCAGGCCAGAAAAGAAATTACCTGAGAGCCCAAGATTGATACTGGGCCCTGAGGGAGATTCAGCTTAAGATATGCCCTCCACTTACCAACATTCACTCTCCTGTAGAATAATTATATTCATGCACTACACAAAAATGCGTAATGTTTTGTTTCTTAGTTTTTTCTTGTGGAGACAGGACCTAAGCTTCCTCTAACATACCCACTTCCACAGATTGTCTTTATTGGGCAAATAGTCCTCCTTGAAACTAAATGGCTATGCCCTTTATTTTTCTACACACTTTAAAATAATAAATTTGTATAAGACACTTTTAAAAAAAGACACGGGATATTTCTTCTCAAGGTGATTGTGCTTAATTTGACATACTTCCATGTATTAAAAAATAGCATGACTTAAAAACACACACAAGTGTGTCTTATATTCTACATAGTACTCTCTCAAAGATACTATTTTAGTTCTCAAACTTTTAGCAAAGTTAAGAATCATCGGTATGTAAAATAGAATTCTACCCTAATCTTCAGAGATTACCATTCAGTAGATCTGATGTGGATGGGAATCTGTATTTTCAAGAAGATAGTTACAGTTAAGTGATTCTGATGGGAAACTGCTCTAATAAATGAAATGTCTCCTCTTTATTGATTTGAGAGAGTGAGAAATTTGTTGTCCCATTTATTTATGCATCATTGGCTGATTCTTATATGTGCCTTGACCAGGAATCAAACCCAAATTGTTGGCGTATTGGAACGGAGCTCCCACCAACGGAGCCTCCCAGCCATGGCTCTCCTCTAGTTTTTTGAATGTCCAGTTCATCCTCAAGTAAAGACCATACATTCCTTACCATACATTAGGACCAAAATGTAAATTAAGTCTTTTTGCTCCTTTCAAATTATTTCTCTCTTTTCCTTCAAAAACTCTAGTCCTTTGAAGTCTATGTTTATGCCTCCCCTTACCTTTGCTTTTACCCCAGATTGAACTCATAGTCATTTTGCTCTTTAAAATCTAGATCTTCTTTGTTTTCTTCCCCATTAAACTCTTATTATTCTTGGTGATTGCAACATCCATGTAGATGACCTATCCAGTTCTCATCATATCCCTCTTGTCTTCATGACCCTTTTTACTCAGCATAGATTTTATGGTTCTTTCTTATAAATACTTAATTACAAATAGTTTCAATAAACTTGACTCTTGTATATTCCTTGCTAAACCCTAGTTCTAATTTAATCTAACTTCTAATCTCTGTAAGTACATTCAAATAGCCCAACACTATAGAATAATATTTATATACCTAGCTGACTACTCAAGTAAGCACTTAGCATGTTTGAAAGTTTTGCTACATTTCCCTAATGAGGTTTACTTTTTAATAGTTCACAATACTTCTTTTCCCTTCAAAGCACCCATAATCATTTTTATGGTTATTTCTCATTTTTAACTGATGACGCTTTCTCAATTAGAAGCTGTGAGACAGGAGACTCATTTATTATCCCACCACCACCAAATATTTAAACCTACCTGTGTTTGTATTCATCTTTTCTTGCATCATTTTTGTCAGAATGAAAATACTATTCTTGTTCCTGTCAGAAGTAAGGCCTTTATTCATGCTCCATATCCTATCCCTGCTCACCTTCCCCTAGGACTTTGGTACTATAGTTATCCTAACACCACTCCTATACCATCAAGTCCTTCTTATCTTTTTAATCCTTTCTATCAGTAAAGAGATGTGATCTGGTATCTACCATCTTAATACAAACAAACCCTCCATTTGCTTCATCTCCCCCACCTCCTCATTGTTCCTTGACTCATTGGAACCTTTGAAAAGAATTGCTCTGTTTTGGTTTCTCACCTCCCGTTCACTGATCAACCCTCTCAAATTTAGTTTATATTACCACTCTTCCAATGAAATTGCTCTTGTCAGGGTCATCAGTATTTTTCAGTAACTGCAAGTGCTAGTTCTGGTGGACATTTCTTTTTTCATATCCTGCTTCTCACTACTTTTCCTCCTACCTTTCTCTTTTGCTGACCCTTCTTTGGCTCTCTGAACTCTGACTGTTGGTGGGCCCTTGGGATTTGTTTCTAGTCTTTTCTCTTTCTGCATCCTCTCATGCATTAGTATATTTCCAGTCTAACTTCTTCCCTGATTTCATTTGTGTTTTCAACTACCTGTTTGACATCTCCACTTTGCTCTAAAAGGGAAGCCATACTTAAAATGTTTGGTAGCTTTTTATTTCATTATCCCTCCAGTTGCTCAAGCTGAAAACCTAGAAATTATCCCTGTTTTCTTCATTCCTGACATACTAATCCATAAGAATGTTCTGTTAGTTTTACCTTCAGAATATACTTCAAGATTTCACCTTGTCTCCATTGTTGTTCCTCTACTATGATAGCAGATTATGCCTTGACTCTTCATAATCCTTTTATAGTTCCCAAATACTGAAAAGATCAAGGCTTATTCTTTCTCTAGGAAAATAAAAATTGGCCTAAATCTCCTAGGATATTTTGTCAGTCTCTCCTAGAATTAACTTAAATCAAAGGAAGAGAAATATTTTTGAAATTATTTGCCATCACATAAGAAACTATCATGCAGAATTCAAATGAACCTACATTCTTTGTGATAGATAGTAAGAACTTTAGATCTAATTGAGATTTCTGTCAAAATGATTATAAAGGAATATGATCTACAAATTTCTAGTCATTATTGTTAAAGTCCTTGAACAATGGCAATGGACAAGATCTATTATGATAAACTCACAGATGTCTTTACAGTTGGGCATGAATATTCCTCTCATCTGCTCTTGACCCAAGTACCCTTTATGGGTCAGGCACTCAGGGATCCTAGCTAGACTTACATTTAGCCACTTTACTTTAGTCCCTATTTATAGTAAAGCAACCTCCTTTATAGATGTTGAAATAAGTTCTTGAACAATTCAGGAGCCTGGTACAAGCTCTATGGTGTTTCAGTCTACAACATGGGCTGGAACGGTGCCTAATGAATGGGATTTTGCTTTCTGTCAACTTGAATATTTATAGCATTTATCTAAGATGAAATCACAAGGGCCAATCCTTTACAGCAGCTATTCTAGATGAAGGCATGAGGGCTAAGAGGACACTAGCTGTGAAAGTGTCTTTACTTGCTAGGTTATCAGAGCATCGTGTGAGTTCCTCAGGTCTGTCTCTGCTTTGCCAAACTTAAAACCTTAAAACCACAAAGCTAAAAAAAAAAATAGTAATATAGAAGCATATTTACATTTTCCCTGCTGCAGACCATACACAGTGATAGCAACAGTTTTCTAATAAAATTGGGTATTTCCCCCTAAATCTGCCTTCCTGCGAGTCAGTCATATGGCAAAATAGAGAATAAGCACCCAGATAATGAATAAGCTGAAGAAGTATAATGTGGTTTTCTAGATATGGTTCTTGCCTTATCAATTTGCCTGTAGGCACAGCTAAGAACTTAGGGTGCTCCATCTGTGGTTTTAAATCATGAAAGGTGATGGTAAAGATCAATTGTTATTAACTTTCAACTCTTTTCCATACCCCTCACATTCTAGCTTCTTTTACTGTCTAAAAGTCTCTAAATCTGTTATTAGAAGAGTGAGGTATTTGCTATTAGTCTTTCTAAATATCTGATGTCCAAGCTGTATACTGTAATTTAGTTTGAAAGACTGTACAGTGAGATACAATTTTCCCATCTCATTTTTGAAGTGTTCTAATTTTTTACCTGGTTTTCTTTCAGTAATGACATGTACCGATTACATCCCTCGCTCATCCAATGATTATACCTCACAAATGTATTCTGCAAAGTAAGTTGAATATAATTATTTCAAAATCTATATGCTTTTTCTCTATATTAATTGCAAAACTTAACTTGATATTTAACTTAGTAAGTTGATATTTTTTTCACCTCTCTCATTCTCAACCCTTATTCCAATTTTTATTGTTGTTAATTCAAGGATATTTTCCATTGAGTTGTGTTTTTTTTTAGAGAGAGAGTGGAAGGAAGAGGGAGAGACAGAGAGAGAAGCATTGATGTGTCATTGATTGGTTGCCTACTGCACTTTCCCCCTGACTAGGGCCAGGAATTGAACCTGCAACCAAGATATGTGGCCCTAACCGGAATCGAACCAGCACCCTTTAGTTGGAGGGCTGACACTCTATCCACTGAGCAAAACTAGCTAGGGCCTTACTCCAGTTTTTTTATTCCCTCCAAATATGGAGTATATGTAATATCTTTTTATTTATTCATTCATATATTCATTTGTTCCTTACCTGAGGTTATACTTTTTATAGATTTTAGAGGGGGGTAGAGAAAGATTGATCAGTTACCTCCCATAAGCACCCCAACTGAGGATTGAACCTGCCACCTTTTGATGTATTGGATGATGCTCCACCCAACTGAGCCACCCTAGCCAGGGCTATGATATCAGTGGATAGAGCATCCACCTGGGGATGAAGGGTCTCGGGTTCGATTCTAGTCAAGAGCACATTTCTGGGTTGCAGGCTCCTCCCCAGTGGGGGGCGTGCAGGAGACAACCAATCAATGATTTTTTCTCATTGTTGATGTTTTTCTCTCCCCTTCTCTCTGAAATCAATAAAAATATATTTCTTAAAAAAAAATGTAGATGGTTGCCTGCAATAGATCACTGTTACCCAGGAGCTCTCTCTAAATCAGAGGTGGGGAACATCCGGCCCACAGGCTGTATAAGGCCTATGAAATCATTTGGTCTGACCCTGCCAAGACAGGGGTGAGTTAATTAAATGCTTGACTAAATGTAGCAGGTTAATTGTTAAGGTGCTATTTTTTATATGGCCTGTGAATGATGTTATAAATATCCAAATAACCCTTGGCATAAAAAAGATTGCCCACTCCTGCTCTAAATAAAGAGGCACTGAAAATGAAAAATACGATAGTGATCAAAGCATATTACTGATTAACCTCTGATCATTTTCTGTTTCCTTTACCTTGATAGATCAATAAAAATAGCTCAAGCTAGCCCCATACTGGGACTTCTCAACCTATTTATGTTCAGTTTCTTGTCTTAGGACTATCCTCAGAATAAAAGTGGACTTGAAATTAGACAGGTTTAGTGGATTGAAGTCATATGAGGCAACATTTTCAGCCTTCGAGGGGTTAAGATCAGCATTTAAAGTCCACCAAATTAATCATCTGACTAATTAGATGCAGAACATTGTGTATGCTTATCTGCTAGTTGTGCATTGATAGTGAGCCTATGTAAACATGAATACATACATTTAATAAGTATGCTTATTAAATGAGAATATATATTCTTGTGTGCTTACATAATGCAGGATTCATAGAAATTTGTAACCGAGATCAATGATGACTGGGGGACTGTTGTAAAAAGAAAACTGGCATTTCTCACCCACCTCCCCTTTGTGCCCATTTGTACCTTAATTTTGCATCAGCTAAAAAATACACTAATGCCAAAACCAGTTTGGCTCAGTGGACAGAGCATCGGCCTGTGGACTGAAAGGTCCCAGGTTCAATTCCAGTCAAGGGCATGTACCTTGGTTGCAGGCACATCCCCAGTATGGGGTGTGCAGGAGGCAGCTGATCAATGTTTCTCTCTCATCGATGTTTCTAACTTTTTATCCTTCTCCTTTCCTCTCTGTAAAAAATCAATAAAATATATATTTTTTAAAATACACTAATTAAAAGTTAACTCAAGGAGTTTTCCAAATTCTAATTTGGTATTAACACTAATAGCATCGTTGGGCCAGTCATTTTCATGTGGTTTTCTTTTGTGAAATAACTAAACCTGTTCTCTGAAATTATTATAGAGTTAACAAAATACTTTGAGCTGTAAAGACACTGTATTAAATAGGGTATATCTGGAGATTACTCATTAAGAGTTTAAATAATTCCCCATATAATTTGTTTAATAGCTATAACCTGAATTATTTTTTGGTCTCAGATCTGGCTAAGAAGAATAGAAATTTTTATATTCAGTCTCTTATAATCCACTGAGATGAGAATATATTGCATATTCCAAATTCATTTACTTATTCAAAAAAGATTTGTATACCTGCTATATTCAGAATACCTTATTAGCTATGCCTACTATCTTTTTTTTAAATGTTTTTATTGATTTTGAGAGAGAAAAAGGTAGAGGGATAGAGAGATAAAAACATTGATGAGAGTCATCAATTGGCTGCCTCTTGCATGCCCGTAACGGGATCGAGCCCGGAAACCCAGGCATGTGAATCAAACCCAGGCATGGGAATCAAATCAGTGACTTGATAATCAGGGTTAATGTTAAACCACTGAGCAACACAGGCTTAGCATATGCCTTCTATCTTAATTCAGAGCTCCTGTATAACTTTTTTAACTGGACCTGTATTTCATTTTTCTCTCTTCTAATCCATTTACTGAGCAATGCCAAACTAATCTTTATTAAGAAGCAACTCTGATCTTGTCACTCTGCTCAACAATTTCAGTGACTCCTACTTGTTTCAGATTTGTCTGAACTCTTTTAGCCTGGTATTCAAGGTCATGGCTATCTGTCTTTCTCTCTCTCGCTACTTCCCTTCCCTTTATATACCTCCCTTAATATAATCTATGCTTCTTGGAACCTGAAGCCCTTGCTTTTCTTCCTATGTACCTTTTTCAGACTTTTTCTATTTTCCTAGAACATGCTTCTCCTGCTCCTGAACATCCTATATGCTCGGTTCATATACCGCTTCTTTATAGCCTTCCTTCATTTTCTTCTCCAAACCTGAAAAGAATCTTTTTGCCTTCTGAAACAACGCTTCCCTCCGGTATTTTGTCATTATTACTCATGGTACATGTAACACTTGTTCTTATAAATGCAGCATAACTCACCATATAACTGTTACCTAAAAACTCAGCATAAAATGTGGGATCATCTTATTGCATGAATGAAATGTGAGGTCAGTCCTAACCAGTTTGGCTCAGTGGATAGAGTGTTGGCCTGTGGACGAAGGGTCCCAGATTCAATTCCGGTCAAGGGCAGGTACCCCTGTTGCAGGCTCCTCCCTGGCCCGGGTGCTGGTCTGGGCTCGTCCCGGAGGCAACCAGTTGATGTGTTTCTCTCACATCAGTATTTCTCTCTTGCCCTCTCTCTAAAAGTCAATGGAAAAATATCCTCGGGTGAGATTAAAACAAGTGAGAAAAAAAGAAAAAGGAATGTGAGGTCACCTAGCTAGTGTATATTACCAGAATTTTCACTGCTGAATTCAAATCTCTAGTTGAACCTAATGTGGTTGACACCATTCATAAGCAGTATACTCTGACTTAAATATCAGTGGAAAAATTACAAGTCCTATCTGGGACTTCCCAGGTTTTATTATCTGGCTCCTGTTTTATACACTTGACCTGGCAATATTGGCCCACTTTCCTACTCCCTTGCCTTTTCTCTACCAACCTCCCCCTCTTTTCAAAGCCCCACTTTTCCTCTTAGAACTTTAGTTTGGCCCTAGCCAGTTTGGCTCAGCGTATAGAGTGCTGGCCTATGAACTGAAGGTCCTGGGTTCAATTCCAGTCAAGGATCACATGCCCGTGTTACAGGATCAATCCCCAGTAGGGGGAGTGCAGGAGGCAGCCAATCTATGATTCTCATCATTGATGTTTCTACCCTGTTTCCCCGAAAATAAGACAGTGACTTATATTAATTTTTTCTCCCAAAGTTGCTCTAGGACTTATTTTCAGGGGATGTCTTATCTTTCCATGCGCTAGGTCTTATTTTCAGAGGATGTCTTATTTTCGGGGAAACACGGTTTCTCTCTAACCATCTCCCTTCCTCTCTAAAGTCAACAAAAATATTTTAAAAATAGTTTTTAAAAAGAACTTTAGTTTGGCCCAGAGGGCTGGGTAAATAACAAGAGCCAATTGTGAAACCTGTTCTATCCAATTTTTTATTATTTTAGTTTTATTCTACATGTAGACATAGGGCATAAACAAGTTTAATCCATCCTTTTTTTTAAAAAATATTTTTATTTATTTTAAAGAGAAAGGGAGAGGGAGAAAGAGATAGAAACATCAATGATGAGAGGGAATCATTGATTGGCTGCCTCCTGCATGCCCACCACTGAAGGGGATTGAGCCTGAAACCTGGGCATGTGCCCTTGGCCGGATTTAAACTTGGGATCCTTTAGTCTGCAGTCCGATGCTCTATCCACTGAGCCAAATCAGCTAAGGCTAATCCATACTTATATTTCATATGGGACATACATATAGCATAACATGAATTTTTATAACATAGTAATTGGACCTTGGGAGGATATTTGAAAATTATAAATTTCGCCGGGACCGGTTTGGCTCAATGGATAGAGCGTCGGCTTGGGGACTGAAAGGTCCCGGGTTCGATTCCGGTCAAGGGCATGTACCTTGGTTGCGGGCATATCCCCAGTAGGGGGTGTGCAAGAGGCAGCTGATCGATGACTCTCTCTCATCGATGTTTCTAACTCTGTATCTCTCTCCCTTCCTCTCTGTAAAAAATCAATAAAATATATTTTAAAAAAAAAGAAAATTATAAATTTCTCATAAAATTGTTTCTTAGGTAGGTTGTAATAGAACCTGGAAAGCAAATATTAGCTCTATTTTTTTTTTAGCATAGTGATAGGCGTTTTGTGGAAGTTTAGTCTCCTCATTATTGGTTCTTTGCATTTAGTGATATTAGCTATATCTCCTATTTTTCATTACTAAACTAAATCACACATGCAAGTTTTTGTTTTCTTGAACTTTTCTAGACCTTATGCACATATCCTCTCAGTTCCTGTTTCGGAAACTGCTTATCCTGGGCAGACTCAGTACCAGACACTACAGCAGTCTCAACCGTATGCTGTCTACCCTCAGGCAACCCAAACATATGGACTACCTCCTTTTGGTAAGGCATCCTATTATAAGCTGTTTCTAAGAATATTGATTTTTATTCCCCCAAAAGCAAGCATAGCTGATCCGGAAGCGGAGAGATGAATGGTTCTTTGTAGAGCACCTACCCAGTTACAGGTGTAATAGATGTTGGGTTTGCTAGTTTCCAACAGCATATTTGATACAAGTAATATAAAATCATAATTTTTCCATACTCATTTGTTTATCAAAGTTAGCTACCAAATTTCCAAGGTACTAACTAAGTCTTGACTGTAAAACTTGGATTCTTTAAGTATTTGTGAAAAAATCCTTGAGAAATTACTATTGATTTTACTTTATAGAAAACATGGTACCTTGGTTAAGTAAGCATAATAAATGTATTTTGAGGTGACTGGTTTGCTAAAACCAGGCAATCTAAATATCCTGATAGAACATGCCTTATAATTGAGGAAATCCCCAATTTTGTACAACCTTATATGCATAGAAAATTTTGTTCTTTGGTTTTAAGCATCTTGGACATGAACTATAAATTAGAATGATTTACTACAAGAGAGTTTGAGCTTCTTTGTACACTTGATATTTGCACTGATTTTTTTCTGTGTATGTAAATTGATAGATATATTAGTGTGGTTTGTTACCTATTCCCTGTTTTTCTTGAACTGGTATGAAAAATTTGAGAGAATACTGTATTGTTTTAAAATATGCAATATGTTAATAAAATTCTATCTCTGTAGCCTCTACTGAAACTAGTTGGGACTTAGAAAAATCTTTCAATAGACTGCCACAGACTATAGATGTGTTAGTGTTGCCTGCTTCTGGTTTCTACATTGCTACTTTTCCTGGCCCATTTGGCTAATCTTTATGATAGTGAGTGCCTTCTTATTTTTAGGCATTCCTTGGCTTCTGTTAACTACTAGGGGGAAAGAGATGGGGGGTTATGTTTCATGATAGTCGTCGTTGGTAACTTCATAAGAAAAGAGAACAGAAATGCTCTTATTTCTGAGTTTGTAGTCCATGCCTATATGCCTATCAGTTTTAGCCAGTATACTAAATACTAAAATCTTACATTCGTGATATATTTAACTAGCCAAGACTGAGCAGTCGTTTTGAAAGCAGGAATCTCTGTAATTATGCTTGTGTTTATTAAAGCTGAATTTTTCTTAGCTGGATAGTAATAGGCTAGCAAATATGAATTAAGTATTTTCACATTTTTTAAAACTTTTTTTTAAATAAATTTTTTCCAGATTTTAAAAAATATATATTTTTGTTGATTTAAGACAGAAAGGATGAGGGAATGAGAGAAACATCAATGATGAGAGAGAATCATTGATTGGCTGCCTCCTATATGCCTCCACTGTGCCCTGATTGGTTCGTAGGTCAGTGCTCAACCACTGAACCACGCCGGCCAGGCTTAACTCTCTTGTTTTGATTTAAATTTATTATCAGCAAACCCTACATTCTTTATGGTACTTTTGAACAACAGTTGATCATTCTTATTGTTCATTGTTAAATAAAACTTCTATTATACCTTTGGATTCAGGTCATGGAATACCTAACATAGTGTCATGTGCATGTAGGTCCTAGATATTATGGTGTCTTTTGTGATCGCTGCATTTTCCCCGTAGTAAAGAAAAAAAGAAAATTCTGTAAAATAGATTAATCCTTGTTAAAATCTTGAAGAAAATAGTGTTTATATTGTGAAGTAATATTTACTATTTGGGGATGAGGAAAACTTGTTTTATAAATTCTCTAATTTAGTTTAATTTGAATTTAAGTTATATATGAGACTTACTGGAGATGTAGATTGGGGTAATGTGAATGATATATATATAGCACATTCTCATAATTTATAAAGGACATTACAAAGTGATATTTGGAATATTTTTTAAAGTGACTTTTTAAGACATTTTCCTATGTAGTAGGTGCGAGTGGCAGCTGCCAGCCCCAAGTGCCCCTGAGGGCTTCTCCACCTCCCCCTGCTCCTGAGGAGCTATCAGAAGCAGCCCCAACAGTTCAGCATGTGGGAGCAGAACTGGCAGAGGGAGCGGGGCTGCTGGTAGACGGGACAGGAGGCTATGGTGTGAGGAGCCTGGCAGGGGTGCAAAGGATGGGCCTAGACCCACCCTTGTGCCCATTGCAGCCTCTTGGCCCACAGTTCCTTTCAGGGTACACGGATTCGTGCCCTGGACCCCTAGCACAATGTCCCCAGTTAGTATATTTTTTAAACCCTATATAATAAAAGGGTAATATGCAAATAGACCGAATAGAAGAACAACCAGACAACCAAAACACAATATGCAAATGATATGCTAAGGATGTTCAACTGCTCGCTATGACATGCACTGACCACCAGGAGGTAGATGCTCCAATCAGTAGATTAGCTGTTGGGGTCCAGCAGATCAGGACTGAGCGAGATGGGATGCCCATGCCCTCCCCAGCCTGATCCTGGATTAGTGGGGTTCCTCAGCCAGGTCTGCACCTTCTTGCAATCTGGGACCCCTCTAGGGATGTCAGTGAGCCGATTTCAGCTCAGTCCTGCAGGCCACTCCCCTTGGGAGGGCTCCAGACACAGGGTTCATGGTTGGCAAGTACTGCTGGGGCAGCACGAGCCTTTCCTGATCAGAACTGATTGGGCGGGAGCCCACAGCAGGCACAGTGGGGCCGGGATGGGCGGGAGCAGCAGGTAGGAACTGCAGGCAGTTTTGGACTGCGGATTTTGGCCATACCCCTGCGGGCTACCCAGAGGGACCCCACCCATGCACAAATTCATGCACCGGGCCTCTAGTATGTACATAAAGACTAATTTGGAAGAAAAAATATGAACTTACCAGTATAGGCATTATACAGATTTGATCTCAGTTACCACAGAACCATGCAAAGGTAGAACTGCCTTAATACTCTGTTTCCCCGAAAATAAGACAGTGTCTTATATTAATTTTTTCTCCCAAAGTTGCGTGAGGTTTTATTTTCAGGTGATGTCTTATCTTTCCATGCGCTAGGTCTTATTTTCGGAGGATGTCTTATTTTCGGGGAAACACAGATAATTTTGTGTGTGTGGTGAGACTATATGAATTTTTCCTTACACTCTATATTTCCTTAATTTTCTATAATATAACGTACATATTTTATAATTAGGATAAGTACTGAGGTTAAATTACTTGACATTTATACCCTGTTTCCCCGAAAATAAGACATCCTCCAAAAATAAGACCTACTTACAGGTTTCCTTCTGGTGAAATATAAGGCATTCCCCCTGAAAATGAGGCCCCCCCTAGGCTAAACATGAGAGATTTGGTCCACTGATTCTGAAAGAAATGGAGTCACAAAAAATTCACCAGGAAATTCAGGAATTGGATTGTTATGATGATGTTCCAGAAGATGATGACATGATTGTCATTGAATAAATGAGTAAATTCTTGATACTGTAGGATTCACAGTTTGTCTGGTTTGTGTTGACAACTACCGTACTACCGTACCGTATACAGGTAATAAATTTCCTTTATTTTCATTTAACAATAAATGTGTACCGTATTCTTCTTCATGGAAAAATAAGACATCCCCTGAAAAATAAGACCTAGTGCATCTTTGGGAGCAAAAATTAATATAAGACACTGTCTTATTTTCGAGGAAACAGGGTAATAGCTCATCCCAGTGAACTATTAAATCAGCAAACCAAGATAGTCTTCTGTGTGTGTGTGTGTTTTTTTTTTCTTGCATTAACATGTACTTCAATTCCTAACCAAACTAATCTCTAAAAATTCACTACTTTGATATGTGTTACTATAAGCTGAACTGCTCAGGTTAGTCTGGTTAGTGACACATATTTGTGCTCAGAGACCTGGGTAAAGTTTATGATAAGACCCCAGTGTGGGGCAGCAGGAGGATGGCACTCAGAGACAGACTTCCTTTCCCATTGTTAGACCCGGCTGATGCCCACATCTGGCTTATTGTGCTTAAATCACCTGAGAGGCTGTGTAGTTGTAGGCATGAGCAGTGGGCTAGTGGTCAGGAAACCAAGGTTTTGTTTCATCATTTTCTATGGCAGTAATGCTCTATGGTCAAGTCATACTACTATTACTTGGAATTCTCGGAAGGGTGCTTTTGAAGGAAGATGCTTATATGCTTTAACACAGGGTTACAGTAATGCTTGCAGCGGTATCCATATTGTCTTTTATTTCTCTAGTCTTCATAAAATAATTATGTATAAGTACTTCATGTTTCTGGTCAAAAACATTCAAAACTATTCCCTTATCTTAGACATTTTGCCCTAATTTTTAACCTTATAAAAAGAACCAGTTTATGGGCATTTTACATTTTAAAACTTTAAAAAATACAAAATAATGAGGCTAGCAAAACATTCTCGGTTAATATTTTTACTAATACGGTAGGATTTTAGTACAGTGTAATTATAAAAATGTTCACAAATCCAACACCTTTACTTCAGAACCCATTTAGGAAAAAACACATTGATCACAATAAATCTGAAAGTTATTATTATATTAAAATAGCAATTTGTTTACTAGAAATTATGAATCAAGGCACTAATACCCAAATTTCATATAATAAATGTTTTAAAAATAATATTCTTTATTGAACTTTAGCTGTGGCTAACCTGGACAAGATTTTTTATTTTTTATTTTTTTATTTTTTTAATATATTTTATTGATTTTTCACATTGAGGAAGAGAGAGGGATAGAGAGTCAGAAACATTGATGAGAGAGAATCATCAGCTACCTCTTGCACACCCCCTACTGGGGATGTGCCCGCAACCAAGGTACATGCCCTTGACCGGAATCGAACCTGGGACCTTTCAGTCCTCAGGCTGACACTTTATCCACTGAGCCAAACCGGTTTCAGCTGGACAAGATTTTTAAAATAATCTTGAACTTGAGGGTGTGGGAGCAGTTCTCCTAATTCATGCTAGCGATCTTTATATTCTTCAGTCTCCTCAAAAAGTCATTTTATGTGTTTAATAGGTAAGAAAATAACATGGCTTTTTGTTTTTTTAATGCTTCGAGTTTGGGCCAATGCAATTACCATGTCCCGCTGTCAACCTTTTAAGATTTTTTACATCTCCCTGTACTATTCTTATATTTACTTTTCAACAGATTTTACAGATCCGAGTTGCACTAAGATATCTCAGTGCCCTGGTAAAGCAGAGGTTCTTATTATTAAAGCATTATATTTCTATCAATTCTTTATCAGATTAGGAGTAAATGAAATTAGTTAATGTTGAATTTGAAACTGTGGCTGACATTGGCATTGACTTTTACCTGGAATGTATTTGATTGATGAACCTTCTTGAATCAAATTCTCAGCTTCAACTACACTGATCCAGCAACTGTAGCTATTCAGGACACAATGAATAACCAAACAATATGTTTTTTATAAATAGACTTTTGCATAGGCCAAAATTATCACCAAGACAACTCAATAAAGGGCATCCTTGGACTCTCCTGTAGAAGCAAAGCTTTGTTTATGGTTTCCTAGTTTACTACAAATGAAGAGAGAGATAGATACAATCAAGAGATAGGAATTGTCAAGAAGTGAAAGATCACAGAGAAAAACAGTGATACAAGTATCTAAAATTATAGAACCATAATTGAGTTCTATTTAGTACTAAGTAAATGTCTTTACATGTCACAATAATCTGTTTCTATAATATATATATCACAGCACCATAGTTATCTTTGTAGAAATGATTCTGATAAAAATTGAAAGGTATGCTCACTATTTCCTCCCTGCCAAGAAGGTAGGAAGAGATAAATATATTAGAAAAATTGTCACTCAGGAGCATTGTGATAAAAATGAATAGCTGTGATGTTTATTAGTATGAGATAGATTTATATGTTCTGACATGGAATGATGTCTCTTAGAGGTATGTATAAAAGCAAATTATGAACAGTATGTATAACACCTTTTAAATTTTTATTAAGAAGAAGAAAAAAGATTAGTAAGTACATAGAAGAAACCTGAGTGACTTTTCTGCAAACTTAATAGTGGTGAAATCTGGATGATGGGATTACATATGACTTTGCTTTTTTCTAAGTTACATATTTCTGTAATGTTTTTAATTTATAAAAATAAGCAGATCTGTCTTTCTTAATCAGAAGAAACAAAGGTAACAAAATAACCAACTTAAGAAGGCAGAGAAGTATTTAATACATTTTTAAAAAATTTGGTGCTTTTTAAATGGGTAAGTGAATTTTAAACTTATGTGGAATGTCTCCCACTTTGACAATGCAGAGAAATGATTTATTGCTGTACGTGGACATCACACACTTTATATCAAATACTCTGGTTGGGTGTCAGTAGCTTTTTTTTTTTAACCCTGATCAATTTTCCCCAATCACTGAAATGAAAAAATATATAATTATTGGGGTCTTGACAAGATTTTTGTTTCCATGGCCCCACTCCCTCGTTCTTTGAAATTGTATTTGCTTGTGGTACATTGTAAGTGGGAGAACCAATAAATTTTTTTTATCTTACAAGCAAATTTATTTTCTTTTAAGTTTTAGATTTTAAACTACTGGCAGATATTAAAAAGCATAACCATGCTCCCCAGTCCCAATGTATTGTTTGTAATTGGTCAAATTTATCTGATTCAGGTGCATTGTGGCCAGGTATGAAACCTGAAAGTGGTTTAATTCAGACTCCATCTCCAAGTCAACACAGTGTTCTTACCTGCACTACAGGGTTAACCACAAGCCAGCCAAGCCCAGCACATTACTCTTACCCCATTCAAGGTAAATAGGCATGGTTGTGTATGTGTATGTTTTTTATTGTTGGGTTTTCTTTTTAATCTGCTGTATCTCCAGGGTAATAGGAGCTTTGTCTTCTAAAAGAAAAGGGGGTGCTATGTGCCATTGTGCATGCTTTTTGTGTTAGCAAACCAGAACCTAGGAGCATGGTTTGTAAGTAGTTAACCTTTTCATGTGAACTGCTTAGTAGAATTGAAGCCTTCCCTTTTGCATGTTGGTGATCAGAAAACCCGTCTGTTCTCAGTGGCATTTTTTTTTTTTCTTAGTGGCTTTTTGTCCTATAAATAAGCAGAAGACTCTGTGGTTAGAACTTTACTGACTTCTATAGAAAGTCCAAATAGAGTGCTTTGTGTGAAGTGTGCCGTTTTCTGCTGTGGTTTATCATACCATTTACAATCACTTCTTAGTGAGAGGGCTTTGGGGATTGGTTTTTTTGTTTTGTTTGCTTTTTTTGCTCAAAAAGTTGTTTCATTTCATGATGAAAAGCATAGCATTAAACATCTCTGCCTTCCCATATTCTTGTTCTAAAAGGTTAGAAGTATGATAGGACTATTTATTAGGAATGAGGACAAAGAAACTCAAAAGACACGATGGAATTAATTCCCAACCCATCCAAATCAAATGCATCCAATTTATCAATGATTCAGATTGGGAATTAATGTCCATGTACCTTGCTTCTCATCTGCCTCCTTTCTCCTGGTTTCTCCCAGCTTTTAAATTTTATTACTTACAGAACGGGTGCCCAAGGGTAAGAACAGGACAGCAAAAACTGGTCTGAGGTATTCTTAAAATACAAACTTTGATGATGGAAAATGTTTTGGTGTAGATTATTTTAAAATAGTTTGACTTTTAGTTGTAACTATTTTCAATTATATGATTGAGAACTACTTCTGCTTGGCCCATTGAGAACAGAACCGGTCAGTACATTCTAAGACATTGCTCTGAGCTACCTTTACCCTCTATTATTTACCAAGTCTCCTATTACTGATTTTTTTTCTTTCTTTGTCCCCTCCCCCTTCTTTCTTTCCTTTAAATATATATATATATATATATATATATATATATATTTTTTTTTTTTTTTTTTTTTTTTTTTTTTTGTACAGAGAGGAAGGAAGAGGGATAGAGAGCTAGAAACATTGATGAAAGAAACATTGACCAGCTGCCTCCTGCACACCCCCTCCTGGGGATGTGCCCACAACCTAGGTACATGCCCTTGACCGGAATGGAACCTGGGACCTTTCAGTCCGCAGGCCGACGCTCTATCCACTAAGCCAAACCAGTTTTGCTCCCCTTCTTTCTTTTTGAACTGAGAACAAACCAGAGGGGAAAAAACTCAAAGAGTATGACTTTGTCTGTCTGTCTTTTCGTCAATCCCTTTTGATTTTTATGAAGTATTCTCTAGGTTGGTAGGCCTTTTGGGTCCAACTAGGTCACGTCCCTCCAGGTTAATGTGCCATTAACCTCCAGCCATGGGGCAATGCCACCTCGGTCGTGAAGAAAAGCAGGGGTACGTGTTTTTATATCACTAATCCTCTCCCAAGTGTAGAACTACTACTTCTCCATAGTTGTATCTTAAGTTTGAGGAACCTAATAGCTATGCTTCTTATCCCTCTTTTTTAAAAAGAGGAACCACCTTTGGAGGTCCTTTAGGGGTCATGAAATACCCTTTAAATTCCATTAATCACTGTCCTCACTTATCCGTAAGTACATTTTCCCCCCTTTTGATAGATTAACTTGATTTCCTCACATTTTGCTAATAATGATCATTGCTGGTGTTTATTAAATGCTTACTATGTTTTTAGCATTGTTTTAAACAATAGATAGGTGTTAATCATGTAATCTTCACAATATATTTGAGGAAAGTACTATTATTTATTTCATTGTAAAGAAGGGGAACAAGCTGAAACCGGTTTGGCTCAATGGATAGAGCGTCGGCTTGGGGACTGAAAGGTCCCAGGTTCGATTCCAGTCAAGGGCATGTACCTTGGTTGCGGGCATATCCCTGGTGGGGGGTGTGCAAGAGGCAGCTGATCGATGACTCTCTCTAATCGATGTTTCTAACTCTCTATCTCTCTCCCTTCCTCTCTGTACAAAATCGATAAAATATATTTTTTTTAAAAAGGGGGGGGGGGACAAAAGACACAGAAAAAGCAAAGTGGCTTACCAAAGGTCACAAAGTTAGTAAATAATAAAGTGAGGGTGTTAGCTGGGCAATCTGACCACAGAGCATGAGTGATTTATGATTGAAAATATATGATATTTAATATTGAAGTCATGGTATCAATATAAATCCTCCCATAATTAAGAATCTGTAGTGGCAAATATCTAAATTTATTTTTCATCCCTTTTTCTGGTTAATTTATTGGTTCATGGTATTATTCATTAGAACTTTGGCACAGAAATTAAGGCAGAAGTTCACCAAATTGAATGCCAACTATAATTGAAAAAATTCATTTTATTTTTTAATCCTCACCTAAGGATATTTTCCCATTGATTTTTAGGGAGAGTGGGAGAGAGAGGGGGAAGACAGAGAGAAACATCAATGTGAGAAACACATCCATTGGTTGCCTTCTGCACAAGCCCTGACCAGGGCCTGGGTCGGGGAGGAGCCTGCAACCAAGGTACCTGCCCTTGACCAGATTGAACCATGACCCTTTGGTCCACAATCTGATGTTCTATCCACTGAGCCAAACCGGTTAGGGCAAATTTTTTTTTTTTTAATGGTCAAAACAGCAACAGTATCTCCTCATTCCACCCAAAGCATTCTATCCTTGACAGCAGCCCTTCTTCCTTTGTGAAGTTGGTGAAATGATCTCAAAAACCCAGTTCCTCTCTGGCTTCCTCAGCTCTGATCAAAACCTTTATTATACCTTGGTGTTTATGAAAACCGTTTGACTAAGTAGATCTGGCTTTTTTTATATTAATTTTTTCCTACACTGTTTGTTATATGGGCCAATATCTGGTTATTTTCTTCAGTTGAGATGGTTTAAATGATAATATTCAAGTGGCAAAATTAATTACAGAAATTTCAAATTTAATTTTAACTCAATCTTGACTTTTAATGAAAGGCTCTGATGTTGGTAATACATAATATCTTTCGTTGACCAGATTTGGTTTTTTTATAGATTTTATTTTTTAGAATAGTCTTAGATTCTTAGAAAAATTGAGCACATGGTATAAAGAGTTATATTTATCCCCCAACCTTGTACATAGTTTCCACCAATAATTACATCTTACATTAGAATGGAATATTTGTTACAATTAATAAACCATTACTAGTGCATTATTACTAATTAAGCCCATATTTATTCAGATTTCCTTAGTTTTTACCTGATATCCTTTTTCTGTTTTAGAGTCCCATCCAGTATACCACATTTTCTTTAATTGTCATATCCCCTTAGGTTACTCTTGACTATGTAGTTTTTCACATTTCCTTGTTTTTGATGACCTTGACATACTATACATGAATTCTACAAGGTATACGTGTATACAAGTATAAATGAATCCCACAACTACTTACTATCACTTACTGTAGACCAGGCACTTTGCTAGATATTGAATTAATGAATATCTTAAGATTCTGTTTTCATGGAGCTTACAAAATAGTCGAAGAAAACAGGCAAGTAAATAAGTAGATTTTTGAAAAGTGCTCTGAAAGGAATAAAGAATAGGTTGCTATGACTGGGAAAACAAGAAAGGAGTTAGTTTCAATAGAGGGGTCAGAGAGAGTCTCTATGAGAAGGAGGAGCTATCATGCTGGGAGGAAGAGGGGGGCAGGCCAGGGAGAACAATCCAGGCAGAGATCCTCTTGTTCTGAGTAACTTGAAAAGGCCAGGGTGAATAAGGGTGGTGGAGAAACATATATAAAATTAAAGGGGTGGATAGAAACTAAATCTTGCAGCAACTTTGATGTGCCATTAACCCTCAGCTATGGGGCAATGTTACTAATTCAACGCTGCTCTCACAGTTCTATAACCAAAGTCTTCTGAGGAGAGCTCTCTAATTAGACCTCTAAGGGATGGAGTGAGGTGGGGGCGGGGCATGGTTCTTAGATGCTTTGTCTTTCTATGGGTTCACAGCTCCATTGTCAAAACAGGGGTGGAGACTTATCCCAAAACAGTTGGCTATGCCATTGGCATTTGGAGAGCTAAAAGCCTTTAGATATATATGAATAGGAGTTATCACTTGAGTTCTACTTGATCCTCTGAATTTGTATCTTTTATTGCATATCTTATTACTGCTGCTTTTGTTTGTAAATCTGCAACTCACAAAGAATTGGGAGATCCCATTTTTATCATCTTAATATCTACCACTAGCTCCATGGCTATGGACAAATTACTTTCTTTTTTAAAAATATATTTTATTGATTTTTAACAGAGAGGAATGGAGATAGAGAGCTAGAAACGTCGATGAGAGAGAAACATTGGCCAGCTGCCTCTAGCACACCCCCTACCGGGGATGTGCCCGCAACCAATGTACATGCCCTTGACCAGAATTGAACCTGGGACCTTTCAGTCTGCAGACCGACTCTCTACCACTGAGCCAAACCGGCTTTAGCAAATTACTTTAATTCTTCTTTGTCCAGGTTCTTCATATGAAAGCTGGCATTGCAGCATTAGCTATTGTTTATATCTAATTTACCTTAATCTCTTCTAGATTTTCTCCTAAGCAGAGTATCCTTAAGGAAAGGGATAAAAAATGTCCTTTGATTTTGATCAGTACTTGCAAATTTTGCTGCATTTCTTTATTTGCCCTATTCTTAATGGAAGTTTTTCTATTAGCTTTCCCTGTAGAGGACTTTATTGCTAATGGATAGGTAGTTGGGTTTACCTGATGTTGAACCCTATGGTGTTTGGGACTGCAATGGGAACCAGGCTTAAGTGCTTATGATAAGTAAGTGAGAGGAACTAAGGACCATTACCTCAATCTCAGATACATTGTCCACCTGAAAAAATAGTTTCTGTGGCAAATACTAGTCACTGAGGATTTGATTAAAATCCTGATGGAATCTGTGATAGAAAGGAATGAAAAACTTAACCCAAATTCCTTATCTCAAGATAGGCACTCTAATTAATTTTAGGGTACATTTTTACCTGGTCAGATATTACTTAATATTTTCTGAATTTTTCCAGAAAATTATTAAATGCCAGATTATTGTGTTTGTTGATCACAATAATTCCATTGAGTAGTGCCCAATAAGCAACTTCAAGTACCTTTGAATTTGGAGGACCATCACTCTCTCAAAGTAATTACGCTGTATCAGGAAAGGCATGATTTGGGGCAAGTGACAATAAACACTGGTAGTGCAGGGCTTACAGGTGGTTTACCAGCTCTCTTACTGTTTCCACTGACAGTCAACAGACTCTGTTACAGGTAAGTCGTTTCCTACGCCAGAAAAGATGGGGCTACAATCATTTGGTTTGGCTTCTGACTTTATTGGTATCATTAGTATGAAACAGTGCATTGTACTAGAATATGCATCCTTCTAGGAATAAAGACTCAAGTCAAAACATAAAAATATTTGAACTGTTTAATCAATTCTAAGTTATGGTATACAGTGGTCGGCAAACTCATTAGTCAACAGAGCCAAATATCAACAGTACGATTGAAATTTCTTTTGAGAGCCGAATTTTTTTTAAACTTAAACTTCTTCTTATGCCACTTCAAAATAAACTCGCCCAGGCCATGGTATTTTGTGGAAGAGCCACACTCAAGGGGCCAAAGAACTGAATATGGCTCGTGAGCCGCAGTTTGCCGACCACGGGTATAGGATATTAAAGAGCAAAACTAGTATTTGCTTCTTTTGCTAATGTTCTTTATATCTTTAGAGACCTGTTTATTTAAGATACAGTATATTTTAAATTTCTTCTAGCTTTTCACATATCTTTTTTTAATCAATCTTTATTGTTCCACATAATATCTTTAATGTCTCTTAAAATTCTCAATCCTATAGCTTCAAGCACAAATGCCAGCCTGATATCCACTTCATCTACAATTGCCAATATTCCAGCAGCAGCAGTTTCCAGCATCTCAAACCAGGTACTGTGCTATTTTTTATTATCCTATTTGATAGGGTTCATCTAGCTAGCTCCTCCTCTCTTTTTTCCATTGTCAATTTGCCATTCTGTAAAACAACCGGTATATGCTGTGGAGAGACCCTTCTCTGGAAGTCCTGAGAACCAGTATCCTGGATGGTTTCTCAGGCCACCATCCAGTTCCTCTCATTTCTCTGCTAAGCCTCTCAATGATATGGTTCTATCTGCTCCCTTTATCTATTGTGTGTGTCTCTACTAGGGTAGGGATTTATTTCTTTTTTTGTTCACTTACATATTTCCAGATTTCAAAAAAAAAAAATGCCTGACACATAATAAATATTTGTGGAATGAATAAATGTTGCTTCCACTTTTATTTAGCTACTCATTCCTTTGTGAATTTTTTGTGGTTTGTTTGTTTGTTTGTTTGTTTTTAATTCTCATTCCAAGGATATTTTTTCCAATTATTTATAGAGAGAGTGGAAGGGAGGGAGGAAATGGTGAGTAAGAAAGAGAGTAAGAGCGAAACCGGTTTGGCTCAGTGGACAGAGCATCGGCCTGTGGACTGAAAGGTCCCAGGTTCGATTCCGGTCAAGGGCACGTACCTTGGTTACGGGCATGTCCCCCGTGGGGGTGTGTGCAGGAGGCAGCTGATCGATGATTCTCTCTCATCGATGTTTCTCTCTGTCCTTTTCTCTCCCTCTCTGTAAGAAATCAATAAAATATATTAAATTTTAAAAAAAAGAGAGTAAGAGAAAGAGAGATACACATCAACATGAGAGAGACACATCCATTGGTTGCCTGCCAGGGCTGGGGAGCATGCAACCAAGGTACATGCACTTGACCAGGAATTGAACTCAAAACCTTTTGGTCCATAGACCAATGCTCTATCCACTGAGAAAAATTGGTCAGGGCTGTGATCTGATTTGTATCATTGTTCTGTTAACATTTTATCTTGGATCACTGATAATGTCTTTCAGTGCCTTTATTGTTTATGTTTTCATTTGTTTTTTCTCTGTAGCAATTAATATTATCAACCATTATATCCATAGATCTTTTTTTTTTTTTTTTGGCTGCATTTAACATACTGCTATTCTGGTTCATTTTTTTATGTTTGTTCCTGCATTTGTTCATCTTTTAATCCACAAATATTTATTGAGGAATGTTTAACCACTTTCACAAGTTCACATTTACTACCTCTGAAATAAGGATTCTAGTCATACCTTATGTTATCTACAGGCTTTCTGCTTATTAGTGGGCTTTTTTTTTTTTTTTTTTAATGCCCTGCTATGTCCTTAAGTTTACCATATCTAAAAACAACCTTTCATTCTTCCTTTTTCCTGTCATTTGTTCTCCAACAGTAAGACCACTTTTCTTTAGGACTTCTCAATTCTTGTTAGTGAGACGATTTTTTTAATAAACCTAGGCCTAGACCAGTCAACAATATTTCTTCCTCACTTATTCCTAATCCAGCTTTTTCTGGAATTCTTTCTTTTTCACTTTTGCTATCATTTCCCATGTTTTGTCCTCCAGCCCCTTAATCCTGAATTACTGTATTTAACTTTTCATCTCATTTTTTGCCACGTTTGTCCATTTTCTAAACAACATCTGATTACTTTCCTCTAACTGTCACTTTTTATCCTAAACCTGCTTGCTCATTATCTGTGTGTTTTTTTTGGTGGTTAGAATTTGATAATCAACATTGTCTAAACAATCCAAGTCATATTCCTTAACCAGTCATTCAAGCCTATAGAGATCCTTTCAACCAGGCTGAACATCTCTGGCTTCTTAATATAATCTTTTCAGAGCCTTTTCTTGTATTTATTCCCTCTTCCTACTTATCTCAGTAAACACTCTAACTACAATCTACTGTGATACTTGTCTTCCTCTGTGTTTCACTCATTTGACATATAATTTATTGCTAATTTGTTGGAAATGTTTTTTTTCTTAGCTCCTGCTAAATTTTTAACTCCCTTGAGTATAGCTAGTATGACTTACTCTCTATAATAATCCATTTTCCCACCTATGCACATCCCCTCCCCCTCACTTAGGGTAGATACTTATATATTGTTTACAAATAATTAGTCTGATCAGTTAGTGTCTTTCTGTTTTTCATCAACTTCAGTACAGATGGAATTTTTTAAGCTGTGTTTTTGTACATCATAACCCATATTTTAACAGCTTTATTAAGGTATAATTGACATATAATAAACTTTACAGATTTAAATTGTACAGTTTGATAAGTTTTTACAAGTATGTTCTCGTGACACCACCAAAAGTTCCCTTTGAATATTCTAAAGAAACATTTATTATTTTATTTTTTATATATATTTTTATTTATTTCAGAGAGGAAAGGAGAGGGAGAGAGAGATAGAAACAGCAAAGATGAGAGAATCATTTATCGGCTGCCTCCTACACACCCCACCCTGGGGATTGAGCCTGCAACCCAGGTATGTGCCCTTGGCCGGAATTGAACCTGGGACCCTTGAGTTCTCAGGCCAACGCTCTATCCACTGAGCCAAACCAGCTAGGACTTGAAACATTGATATTTTAGAAAGAAAGTTTTTAAACTGGGAAACTTTAATGTAGGATTTGTGATCGTTTTTGTTTAAGGTCTTCTGTTCCTAGAAGCACTACCCTCTAGTGCAGTAGTTCATAAACTTTTTTTTTTTTTAATTGATTTCAGAAAAGAAGGGAGAGGGAGAGAGATAGAAACATCAGAGATGAGAGAAAATCATAGCCCTATACTAGAGATGGAGCCTGGAACCTGGGCATGTGCCCTGACGGGGAATCGAACTGTGACCTGCTGGTTCACACCAGCCAGGCAGTTTATAAACTTTTTTAAAAAGTAGATCTAGCCGAATCCGGTTTGGCTCAGTGGATAGAGTGTCGTCCTGCAGACTGAAAGGTCCTGGGTTCGATTCCGGTTAAGGGCATGTACCTTGGTTGCGGGCACATCCCCAGTAGGGGGTGTGTAAGAGGCAACTGGTTGATGATTCTCTCTCATCGATGTTTCTAACTCTATCTCTCTCCCTTCCTCTCTGTGAAAAATCAATAAAATATATTAAAAAGTAGATCTTTCTTCAATAATTCCATAAAGATATTTATCTAGAAATTTAATACATAAAATAGGAAGAAAAAGAGAGAGAGAGAGAGAGAGAGAGAGAGAGAGAGAGAGAGAGAGAGAGCTGTTACATTTAGAAAAAGGGACATTAAGTGTAGAGTGCCTGGGACCTTTCTCTCTCAGCCTTTCTCCATTCCAGACAGCCATGAGGTATCTCGTCTTGACTCATAGGTTTCCAACAGAATGCATTTTGAAAATCATTTCTTTAAGAATTGATTTAATTGAAGATATAATAAGAAGCCAAATTAATGTGTAAGGAAAATAATCACGAATAAGAAGGGCATGAAATCTTTTTTGTTGAAATTAATGTTTTGCTTTATTTAAAAGTCTTATTTTTTTCTCCCTTAATCCCTTTGATCTTTAGGACTATCCCACCTATACTATCCTTGGTCAGAGTCAGTACCAGACCTGCTACCCCAGCTCCAGCTTTGGAGTCACAGGCCAAACTAACAATGATGCTGAGAGTTCCACATTAGCAGCAACCACATACCAGACGGAGAAGCCTAGCGTCATGGTACCTGCGCCTGCAGCACAGAGACTTTCCTCTGGTAAGCACCACAGCTCTAAAAACTTTGGCGTAAGAGCACTTCAATAGGCGATGGTGAAGATTATTTTGTTCTGGTCTAAGTTACTGTTACCATGCTTTTAGCTTTCCCTCTCAGGAGTATATGAACATTGAAGCCAGACTGTAACAAGTCATTGGCAGGCTCAATGTAATACCTGATGCTGTAAACAGAAAAGTACCAAGAATGAAAAGACTGCATTTATGACTCCTACTTTATCCCACCCCCCTTCTATAGCTCTAACATGATTGTCACAGGGAACTTCAGAATCATGGCACATTTTATAAAAGTTGGAAGATTCCTGTTTTAGTCTGAATATTTTGGACTTTTGCTAAACTTCAGAGCAGTAGTTCTCAACTTTTTTTGTGTCATGGATCCCTTTAAGATTTTTAAGAAAATCTAAAGAAACATGAAAAATTTTACCTACAAATTTAGGTCTGTGCATTTAGCTTTGAAATGTTTCACTGGATTATGATGTCCAGGTTAAAAACAAACAAACCCTGACACATTCAATAAACATATGCATACACTTTAAAAAACATAAATATTTTTATTGATTTCAGAGAAGAAGAGAAACATCAGTGATGAGAGAGAATCATTGATTGGCTACTTCCTACACACCCTCTACCAGGGATTGAGCCCGCAAAGCGGGCATGTGTCTGAGCAGGAATTTAACCATGATCTCTTGGTTCATAGGTTGACTCTCAACCGCTGAGCCACACTGGTTGGGCCATACTTTTTATTCATCACTATTTTTCATGAAAATTTGATGATAGTGATAGTTGTCTTCCTCTGTATTTCACTCTTTTAAAGTTTGCTGTCGTATATCACCTGGGGAAGGACTGTTTATTGTTATTAGCTCTCATGCATTTTTTAAAAAATAGTGCTCTGCATCAACTAAAGTAGTCTTCTGTGTGCCTTTACCAGTCTTCTAAGTAATGGATATACAGATGGTCACTTCAAAATTATGTAACTTTGAAATTATTACATGTAATGATAGTTTTGATTTTGTTTCTCTAAATCTCTTTGTTCTTCATAACAATTTTAACTTTTGAATAATGGAGGATTTCAAACAGACAAGACGTCAAAGTAGTATAGTGAACCCTTATGTATCCAACATCCATCTTCAACAATAACAGCTCATAGGAAAACTTTTTTTCAACTATACTTCATCCAATTTCCTCTCCAAATTCTAGACATTATTCTAAAAGATAAATGCTCAACTTGACCACAATTTCATTGTCCCATCTAAAATAATTCAACAATAATTTCTTAATATCATAAAGTACCAAGAGGTATTCTTCTGGTTTTCTCATAAATATGTTTTTCTTTTTACAATTTGTTTAAATTAGGATCCAAGTAAGATCCATACATTGTGATTGGAAGATGCATATTTTCTCTCTTTAAATCTATAAATTCCTTCATCTCTTTTTTTATTCCCCTGTGTACTTTATTTGTTCAAGAAACTATTGCTTATCCCATAGCATTTCCCTCAATTGTGTTGATTATATCCTTACTAGAGGCCCAGTGCATGAAATTTGTGCATGGGGCGGGGATGTCCCTCAGCCCAGCCTGCACCCTCTCCAATCTGGGACCCCTCTAGGGATGTCCAACTACCAGACATTCCTCTCACAATCCAGGACTGCTGACTCCCAACCACTCACCTGCCTGCCTGATTGCCCCTAAAAGCTTCTGCCTACCAGCCTAATCATTCCCTAACCACTCCCCTGCCAGTCTGATTGATGCCTGACTGCTCCCCTGCTGGCCCAATTGCCCCCAACTTCCCTTCCCTTTGGCCTAGTGGCCCCTAACTGCCCTTCCCTGCTAGCCTAGTTGCTCCTAACTGCCCTACCCTGCCGGTCATCTTGTACAAGGGTGTGACAGTCAATTTGCATATTGTCTCTTTTTTTATATAGGATAGGGTAGTTTAACATGTCCTGCTGCCTTGTGTATGTTATTGTACATTAGCAAATGGATCTAAAGCAGTCTTTTTCAACTAGAGGCAATATTGAGCTATGTGCCTCCCTCCTCTCCCTTTGACATTTGACAACATTTTTGGTTGTCACACTGTGTGAGGTGCTGCTGGCAGCTAGAGTGTAGAGGCCAAGGATGCTGCTTAACCTAACATCCTACAATGCAGAAGACAGCACACTCACGACAAAAATTAATCTGGCCCAAAATGTTAATTGTGCCAAGTTGAGAATCTCTGATCTAGAAGCTTGATCAGATTCAGATTCTATTTTTTCTTTTTTATGAAAAACAACTTTATAGATGTGTTCTTTCATTGGAATACAGGTGTATAAATTCTAGTCATAACTCTCTTTATGGATTAAGAGCTATTGATGTTCAGTACCCAGTTCTGCATCACCAAATTACTTCAAGTTTGGTTTTTCATGCTTTATCTCTGCAATATGATTCTTAAGGATAAAAAACTGCTGACCCTCTTCCCGCTCTGTAACTACGAGCAATAAACTTCTTTTTTTTCCTTTTCAGGAGACCCTTCTACAAGCCCATCTTTGTCCCAAACTACACCAAGTAAAGATGCTGACGACCAGTCCAGGAAAAACATGACTGGAAAGAACCGGGGCAAGAGGAAGGCTGATGCTAGCTCTTCCCAGGACAGTGAATTGGAAGTATGGGAAGAAACTCCTTTGAGTTACCTACTTTATTTTTTTCTTCATTTCTTAAGTTTATTTTATATATATATGTATATATATCTGAAACTCATGGAATAATATGGTTCTGTGTTGTCTTCCCTTTAATTCCTGGGCAAGAGAAACTGAGTTGGCCAAGTGATAAGAGGAATGTAAAAACACATTTGTCTATGCCCATAACTTTCCATATTACTTCAGATGCTTTTACCAAAAGCACCAAAAAAGCTTTTGTGAATTTAAGTAATCAGGTAACTCTTTAAGGGAAAGAACCAACTATTCTCTGTATCCCAGAGGAGAACAGCACATTATCTTCAGAAAGCAGAGGGTGTCACAAGTAATGTCATACTGTTCGCCATTCAAAAACCTCCAAGTAAAATGAGAAGATTAGAATGCTTTAGACAAAGTTTCTGGGAAGCATGCAACCTCCCAGAAACTTTGTCTAATGATGACTTTATTAATGAGATTTACACTTATTTACTCTGTGGTTCAACACTATAAGAATTTACTATGGGAATTCATTTGGCTTTATTATTATAAAAAGACTAGAAAGTCATACAAACTAATAAGAGTGAAGTTTTGATTTTCAGTTTTTCTATAATATAATTATTTAATAAAGGGAAAAGCTATATTTAAAAATGAGTCCAGCCAAAACCGGTTTGGCTCAGTGGATAGAGCGTCAGCCTGCGGACTGATAGGTCCCAGATTCGATTCCAGTCAAGGGCATGTACCTTGGCTGCAGGCACATCCCCAGTAGGGGGTGTGCAAGAGGCAGCTGATCGATGTTTCTAACTCTCTATCCCTCTCTCTTCCTCTCTGTAAAAAATCAATAAAATATATATTTTTTTAAATAAAAAAAATAAATAAAAATGAGTGCATTGATAGTTTACCTATGTAGACATAGGTAAATTGAAGCTGTATTTGGAGCCTCTCTTCTCCTTTATTCTTGGGGAAAGAAAAAAAGAAAATCTAAAGTCCTAATATTGGGAGCATTATCTCAATCCGTTGAGGTTCTGCTTCCCGGCAATTGTCGAAAGTTTGGCTCAAATAAACTCATAAAAAATTTTAAAAATAATAATAATAAAATAAAAAAATAAAATAAATAAAGTCCTAATATTGTTATTGGGGAAAACAAAGAGAGAACTCACTCCTTTTTTTTAAATTGTGGTAAAATATACCTAACATAGTATGTACTATTTCTAAGTGTGATTCAGTGGCATTAAATATTTTCACAACTTCTTTAATTGTTGCCACTATTTATTTTCACAATCCTTCACAAAAACTTTGTACCCATTAAGCAGTAACTCCCTATTCTCTCTCTCCTAGCCCCTATTAACCTCTGTTCTACTTCCTGTCTCTTTGAATTTGCCTATTTTAGACATCTCATAAAAATAGAATAATACAATATCTAATTTTATGCCAGACTTTTTTTCAAGGTTTATCCATTTTGTAGCAAGCATGTTCCTTTTTATGGCTGAATAATATTTCATTGTAATATTATGTATATAACGCATTTTGTTTATTTATTCCATTGATGGATACCTGGGGTTCTTTCACCTTTGAGCTGCTAAATAGTGCTGCTATGAACAATGCTATACAAGTACCTCTTTGAGTACCTCTTTTCAGTGATTTTTGGATAAACCTAGGAATAGAGTTGCTGGATTATATAATTCTATGTTTGAGGAACCACCAAAATGTTTTCCATAGTGGCTATACCATCTAACATCCCCATCAGCATGCATGAGGATTCAGTTTCTCTACATCCTCTACATCCTCACCCATATTTTTGATAATAGGCATCCTAATAGATGTGAAGTGTTATCTCATTATGGTTTCAGTTTGCATTTCCTTAATGACTAATAATGTTGAACATCTTTTCATGTGTTTATTAGCCATTTGTTTATTTTTTTTAGAGAAATGTTTATTCAAATTCCTTGCCCTTTTTTTTATTCCTGAGTATAAATTCATTGATTTCATTTATTTATTTTTTATTTTTAATATATTTTATTGATTTTTTTACAGAGAAGAAGGGAGATAGAGAGCTAGAAACATCGATGAGAGAGAAACATCAACCAGCTGCCTGCTGCACACCCCCCACCAGGGATGTGCCCGCAACCAATGTACATGCCCCTGACCAGAATCGACCCAGGACTTTGCAGTCCGCAGACTGACGCTCTACCACTGAGCCAAACCGGTTTTGGCTGACTTCATTTATTTATTTTTCATATATATTTATTGATTTCAGAGAGAAAGAGAGGGAAAGAGAGAGATAAAAACATCATTGATGAGAGAGAATCATTGATCAGCTGCCTTCTGGATATCCCATACAAGGGATCAAGCCCGCAACCCAGGCATGTGTCTTGACCGGGAATTGAATCCTGACCTCCTGGTTCATAGGTCGATGTTCAACCACAGAGCCACACCAGCCAGGCTGTTCATTGATTTTAGAGAGGGGAAGAGAGAGAGAGAAAATGAAAATCCTCGATTAGTTGCCTCCTGTAGGCACCCTGACCAGGAATCAAACCCACAACCTTTTTTCTGTATTTGATGACACTCCAACCAACTGAGCCACCCAGCCAGGGTCCTTACCCATTTTTAAATTAAGCTTTTAATTCATTTTTAAATTTGTTTTTTATTGAGTTTTAGGAATTTTTTATATATTCTAGATATTAATCCTTTATCAGATATACTAGAGGCCCGGTGCATGAAGTTTGTGCAAGAGTAGTCCTTCCTTGTCGAAAATGGTTTGGCTCAGTGGATAGAGCATCAGCCTGCAGACTGAAAAGTCCCAGGTTCGATTCCAGTCGAGGGCATGTACCTTGGTTGTGGGCACATCCCCAGTGGGGGGTGTGCAAGAGCAGCTGGTCGATGATTCTCTCTCATTGATAATTCAAACTCTCTATCCCTCTCTCTTCCTCTCTGTAAAAAAAAAAAAAAAAAAAAAATCAATAAAATATATATTTTTAAATATAAATAAATAAATAAATAATAAATAAATAAATAAAATAAAAGAGTAGTCCTTCCTTCACCTGGTTGTTGGCACCCGGGATCCAGGTTTCCCTCACAATCCTGGCTTTGACTGGAAGGACAGAATATCATCCAGAAGGACATCTGTTCTAATTACCATATTACGCTTTTTTTTTTTTTTTTAATATATTTTATTGATTTTTTACAAAGAGGAAGAGAGAGGGATAGAGAGCTAGAAACATGATGAAAGAGATACATCGACCAGCTGCCTCCTGCACACCCCCTACGGGGGATGTGCCTGCAACCAATGTACATGCCCTTGACTGGAATCGAACCTGGGACCTTTTAATCCGCAGGCCGACGCTCTATCCACTGAGCCAAACTGGTTTCGGCCATATTACGCTTTTATTATTATAGATTATATACAAATATTTTCTCCCATTCTGTGGGTTGTCTTTTTACTCTCTTGATGGTATTAGGGTAATGCTGGCTTCATAGAGTGAGTTAAGAAATGTTTCCTCTTCTTCAACTTTTTGGAATAGCTTAAGACTTCTTTAAATGTTTGGTAAAATTTACCAGGCTAGCCATCTTGTCCTAGGCTTTTCTTCCTTGGGATGTTTTTGATTATTGATCCAACCACTTTACCAGTTAAAGGTCTATTCAGGTTTCTATTTCTTCTTGAGTCATTTGGCACTTTGTGTTTTGTTTTTTTTAATTTGTTCATTTCATCTAAATTATTTGTTGGTGTACAACTGTTTATAAAGTCTAAAATTAGTAAAAATGTTCATTTCTGATTTTAGTCATTTGAGTTTTCTTTTTCTTAATCTAGCTAAAAGTTGTCAATTTTATAGATTTTTTAAAATATATATTTTATTGGGGTTTTTTTACAGAGAAGAAGGGAGAGGGATAGAGAGTTAGAAACATCGGTGAGAGAGAAGCATTGATTAGCTGCCTGCTGCACACTCCCTGCTGGGAACGTGCCCGCAACCAAGAATTGAACCTGGGACCATTTAGTCCACAGGCTGACTCTCTATCCATTGCGCTGGACTGGTTAGGGTTAGATTTTTTTTTTTTTTTTTTTTTTTTTTTTACAATATATTTTTATTGATTTCAGAGAGGGAGGGAGAGAGAAACATCAATGATGAGAGGGAATCATTGATTGGCTGCCTCATGCATGTCCCCACTTAGAGTTCAAGCCTGCAACCCAGGCATGTGCCCTTGACCAGAATTGAACCTGGGACCCTTCAGTCCGCAGGCTGACGTTCTATCCACTGAGCCAAACCAGCTAGGGCTTACAGATGTTTTTAAAGAACCGACTTTTGGTGGAGGCGGGGCATAAAAAATTTAAATAAATAATAAAAAATAAAAAGAACTGACTTTTAGTTTTGTTGATTTTCCTTGATTATTTTTCTATTCTATGCTTTATTTATCTCCATTCTGACTTTTATTATTTCCTTCCTTCTGGTTTTTTCTAGATTTTTAAGTTGTGCAGTTAGGTTATTAATTGAGATCTTTTTAAGTTATCATTTACAGCTGTACATCTCTTTCTTAGCACTGCTTTTGCTGCATACTACAAATTTTGTTGTTGTGTTTTTATTTTCATTCATCTCAAGGTATTTTCTAATTTCACTTGGGATTTCTTCTTCCATTCTTGGTTATTTAAAATTGTGTTGTTTAATTTTCACATATTTGTGGATTTTCCAGCTTTCCATTAATTTCTTGCTTTATCCCATTGTGATTAGAAAAGATGTTCACTCATTATTTTTCATATTTTCCTCCCTCAGCGGGTATTTCTGTGGGACTTGGATGAAACCATCATCATCTTTCATTCCCTTCTTACTGGATCCTATGCCCAGAAGTATGGAAAGGTAATTTGTGTCTTTCTTCCTTTGTTGTAACCATCCCTTTTCTGCTATAAGAGCAGGTAACCAAAATCACTTTCCCTGCTACCTCCACCTTACCCTGTTAGCCTTTTCATGTTAAATTTCACCTAGTAGCTTTTACCAGGCAGGCTACATGGTCAGGAGGAGATGATGATAAAGCTCGATACTAGACCTGAGGTAAATGGTGAAAGCAGAAGTTCTTTGAGAATGGTATTTTGTATAAATGAAATATGGGAATGATGCTCAAAACAGAGTGGTGTCTCAGGATTATATATTCCAAAGACCAATCTGTTATCCCTTACGTCACTTTTAACAACCTAAACTGGACATTTTATTTACCTGGTTCAAATTACAGATAAAATATAAAGTATCTTTCTAAAAGAGATTACATACCTTCTTAAGTTAAATATACCAAGCAGAATTTAATTTGTTTTGTCATTAGTCTAAACATCAGTTTTAATATAGGGATGAACTGTTTTTGAGCTATTGCATATATATTTCTACACTAAACTACCTTCAGGCACCTATTTTCCTGTATTATGAATACATTTTATAAAAATATATGCCTCCTTTGCTCTCTTACTATTCCCATATATTCCTTATGGTCACAAATGTTTGTTAGGAGTAATTTCCACAGACATTCAGTATATAGACTGGCAAGCTCCTGTGCTAAATAACTAGTCTGTTATAAAGTAAATAAATAAATAAAATAAGAGCATACAGCCTTTAAATGAAGACCTGGTTGTTCATTTTAAAACTAAGTGCATTGGGGGGTGAGGATGAGGATAAGCTAAGTGCATTGCTTTTCCTGCAAATATGACTCTTCAGCCTTTGTTTACTTATTTCCTGGTTGTTGAGAATGTCAGATAGCTGATTTCTGGTGTTATACTCTGTGTGTGCATATAGGGAAGATAATGGGTGTTACAAAATTAATATTTTAGCCGAAACCGGTTTGGCTCAGTGGTTCGATTCCGGTCAAGAGCACGTACCTTGGTTGCGGGCACATCCCGGGTAGGGGGTGTGTAAGAGGCAGCTGGTTGATGTTTCTCTCTCATCGACGTTTCTAGCTCTCTCTCTCTCTCCCTTTCTCTCTGTAAAAAATCAATAAAATATATTTTTTTTAAAAATTAATATTTTTAGTAATAGAGTTTCTCCTGAAACAGAATTTTCCCCCCCAAAAAATTCAGGTGTTATGTGTTTTTAAAATATTTTTATTGAGTTTTAGAGAGAGATGAAAGGAGAGCGAGAGAGAAACATTGATGTGAGAGCAACACATAGATTGGCTACAGGGCATTGAGTTTGCCAACTGGGCATATGCCCTGACCAGGAATCAAATGACGCCCAACCAACTGAGCCACACTGGCCAGGACAGGGTTGTTGTTTTTAAGTGGGTTTGGTCTTCTAGAAACTAAAGACCTAAAATTTTTAACTTTTCACAATTCCAGATTCTTATTACTGAATGAAATTGCACCAGTAATCGTTGGAAGTACTTTTGTGGGTCTGTGTTGTGTTGGCCTTGACCCAAATAATTTTTAAATATTTTAAGAGTCAGAACCAGTGCCGTGAGTACCAAGTCAAGCAATTTTTCCTTATTTTATTCCAGGATCCAACAGTAGTGATTGGCTCAGGTTTAACTATGGAAGAAATGATTTTTGAAGTGGCTGATACACACCTATTTTTCAATGACTTGGAGGTAAGCATTTTAAATTGTTTCTGTGCTCTAATGAAACGTTTTGTTCAGTAACTATTTAGTGTTTATTTAGTTAGAGGATATGTGGTTAGGGTGGATATGGAAAGGCCAGCTGGTTACTTAGATCTATATAGTCTTGTAGAAATAGTGGCTTGGCTAAGTCATCACAATCTTGGTTCTGGCCCTCAATTTTATTGGCTCAAAAATTTGATTGTTTTTCTGGAAGTGATCCAGCTCTGTTTTGCCAACCGATTAGGCAAATCACTGATACCGAAATTTCAATTTATTCGTATATATTAAATAATACATAAGGTGGGTTTGATTTTTTTGTGTGCTTTTTTTTGGTATATATTTTTATTGACTTCAGAGAAGAAGGGAGAGATAGAAACATCAATGATGAGAGAAAATCATTGATCAACCACCTCCCACTCATTTCCTACTCGGGGATCGAGTCTACAACCATGTGCCCTGACCGGGAATTGAACCCTGGCATACTGGTTCATAGGTTGACATTCAACCACTGAGCCACACCACCTTGTGGTCTTAAGTATATTTGACTATTCTTCAGTTTCACCTTCTTAAAAGAATCTCTAGATTTGTCAGATCTACAAGTAACTGCTATAACTTATTTTATTTTATGCATGCTGATTTTCGATGGGTTAGCCTGGACATCCAGAGTCACTGTATAGTTAAGTGCAAGGAAAACCTGAGAGCTTCTTGGTGAATTTTTTGGCTTTGTCATTTTAGTTAGCCATGAGGTAAACATGGTTTAGAGGAAAGAACACAGAACTGGGAGTCAGAAGACTGGAGTGTTAGTCCCAAGTTAGAAAAGTTATCTTCCCACTTTTGGGCCTCAGTGAAGCAGGTATTCTACACAAGAAATCAGTAACAGTTGTTTATCTGAGGAGGAGGATGCATTGCTGGGCACAGAAGTAGGAAGGAGCAGATTATATACTTTTGAATTTTGAACTGTATACCAAATGTACACCTAGTTTTAAAAATAGCGAAACTGTTAAAGTAAAATAAGATAGCATTTTATAAACATGAAATAATTCTATTCCTTTTAAAATATAATCCAGTTCTACTTAACAGACAATCTCCAACAAATTAAATTGATAAGGCTCTAACTCTAAAACTTTAGTCTAAGCTCCACGGTGCTTTAATCTTTCCTCAACTTCACATGTTGATAAGTTAGGACATCAGAGTTATTCAGCAAACATTTGTTGAAAACCTATTATCTGCCAGTAATTATTGCCAAATTGTATTTGTAATGATTTTCTAGACATAGTCCTCACTCAGGACTGAAAGTTCTGTGAAGAATTTGACCTGAATGTGTTCCTGCCCCTGAGGTCAGTGGTTCTCAACTTTAGGGGGCATAAGAATCACCTGGGGACCTTGTTAAAAATGAAGATTCTAGGACTTCACTCCCAGAGATTCTATTCAAGTCGTTCTGGGGTGGACCCAAGAATATGCAGTTTTTAAAAACTTCCCCAGAGGATTCTGATGCAGATGGACATTACAATGCCGCCCTAGGTGATGTCAGAGGAGTAAACCTGTGAGAGTCAGGCAGTGGGCGGCACTTTATGTCAACACTAATGTGGCTTTGGGGAAGAACCCTGGGTCTGAATTAGAAGGCTCTTTCTAGTTTCTTTCTACCACTCACTTGGGTGAATCATTTTACCTCACTTTGATAACATGAGGAGGCGTTGACTTAGACAAACTCTTCTGTGAACCAGGGTTGAATTTATAAATTTCTGTTTCAGTCACTTTAAGTTGAGATACTACACTCTACCAACCTCTGTTTCTTCTGCAAGAATGTATTGGGTACATGCTGCCTAAGGTCATGGACTAGAGCAGAGGAGTACAAAAGAGATAGAAGATAGGGGTCGTGTGGTAAGAGGCCTACATTGTCATAGAACTTCCAACCTAGTATAGACCGTGGACACACCTGACGATGTGAGGGAGTTTGTGCTCAGACCTAGGAGATGTTGGGAAAATGAACGATTGAGATAAGAGCATAAGTGAGGGCTGGGTTGGTTAGGGTTTCGTGAAGACGGTGCTCTATGAATGAGGCCTTGAAAGAAGATGGCCAGCAAGGGAGGTGAGAGTGATCCTCCACGAGAGGCCATCAGGTATTTCTTCACTGCACCCTTGTTTGTGGTGTTTTTACAATATGTCATGTCGGTACTAGACTTCTACTGGCCGGACTGAAATAGCGAATGGTTTTGTCTTTTAACAGGAGTGTGACCAGGTGCATGTGGAAGATGTGGCTTCTGATGACAATGGCCAAGACTTAAGGTGATAAAACCAATGATGCCTTAAATATCTGTACAGCATAAGACATAATCTAGGCTTAGAGGAAAACAAAGAAAATCATTCTTTTCCTCCACTAAACTTGCTTTATTGCAATATTTGCTTTATTATGGTGGTCTGGAACCAAACCCATAATATCTCCAAGGTACACCCATATCAGTTATCTATTGTATAACAAATTATCCCAAACTTAATACCCTAAAATAATAAACATTTATCATCTCATAGAAACTTGTAAGTGACTTAGCTAGGTAGTTCCGAATTAGGGTCTCTTAGAATGAAATCAAGACATTGGCTGGAGCTAAATTCATCTGAAGGTTTTATTAGAGGGGAGACTTGATTTCAGCCTCTTGCCTGTGGCTGATAACAGGCGGCCTCAGTTTCTCACTGAGTGCCTCTGCATCGGGTAGCTTGAGTATTCTCAAGTGACAGCTGGCTTCTTTCAGAGCAAGTGCTCCAGGAGATAGCGAGAGAAGTCTAGTCTATGAAGTCTAACACCACGTTCTGTTTACATTCAAATACATTACATACCCAGAGGAGCAGAATTAGAGGAGAGGAGCATTGGAGAATCTGTGGACATAATTTAAAGTGAACTATGAGCTTAATAAACTAGCCAACAAGTCACTGAAAGAGAGCATCCCCATTATCTTACTATTTTTTAAAATATATTTTATTGATTTTTTACAGACAGGAAGCGAGAAGGATAGAGAGTTAGAAACATCGATAAGAGAGAAACATTGATCAGCTGCCTCCTGCACACCCCTAACTGGGGATGTGCCTGCAACCAAGGTACATGCCCTTGACCAGAATCGAACCTGGGACCCTTGAGTTCACAGGCCGACACTCTGTCCGCTGAGCCAAACCAGTTAGGGCCTATTATCTTATTACTAGTATTTTGTGTTATTACTTCCATTATTTTATATATTTTTAAATTATTTTTTCACAAAGGAAAATAATTCTATTAACCACTGTTTACCAGTATTTACATTAAAGTAAACAATATACAGTTGGTATCATTCTGTTTACTACAAAGCTATTATTTTTCCTGGCTTTTGTTGAACCAGTACCCCAAATACTGAGACTGAGTTGTAAGGAATGAGTTGGAGTAAAGAGAAAACATGCAGATCAAGAGTTTAGATTACAAAAAGTTTGTTCACCCATTTATTCCAGCAGGTCCTAACATCTCTAATAATCTGATTAGGTATCCATGAATAAAGTTTTACACATTCCATGACCCTAATTTTTTAGTCAATATAGCACAGGATTTTAACTTCTTGTAAAAGGAATGTTTTATGAGGTAAAACCTTTAAATAAGTATTGCTTACCTAGTTAAAAAAAAAAACATCAGGGTTTGCCTACTTTTCTCATTTGAGTCAGGAGGTTATTGGTAGTGATAAAATTTTCCTTTCAGGGGTTTTGCAAATAAACTTGCATTTACGGGTATAGCTGTGGATTTTGATATGGCTGCTTTAAATTATCCAATTTAAATTACTTACATTATATTTAAATTGCCCAGTTAATTACAAAATTACCTAATTTCAAAGATTAAAAGCTTCAGGAAAAACTTTAACTTCAAATAATTTTTCTTAGGTTGCTGAAAATGATGGCAGCTCAGAAACATGAGTTTATCTATAATTATGAAATGCTGTTTTGTTTTGATAAAAACAAAACATTTATATATTTATACACACCTACCTCCCTCCCCTCAGTAAACAAAAAACCCACAATGATCCTTAGGCATATATGAGTTAAACACAAATTCTGACTGAGAAACAACTATGGAGATTTTCCCCAACATTTAGAAAAGCTTCTCAAATGCATAGGAAAAAATGCACCATGGTATCAAATGTTCTTTTCTGATAAAGGAAGCAACTATAGAAAGCTTTTTTTCAAAGTACCAGTGCTATAGATGCAACAACCCCAACAACTCTGCAGCACTACTTCAAAACAATCAAACTTGATTTTTATTAGAACATAGTTTTCTTTCTTCACACTAATAAATCAAAAAACCAAGAACCAGATTTTATGTGTATGTATAAATATACTAGAGGCCTTGTGCACATATTCGTGCACCAGTGGGGCCCCTGGGCCTGGCCTGTGCCCTCTTGCAATCCGGGACCTCTCAGGGGATGTCGGACTGATGGTTTTGGCCCAATCCCCGCAGGCCAGGCCAAGGGACCCCACCAGTGCACGAATCTGTGTGCCGGGCCTCTAGTATGCATAAGATCTTTGGTTAATCTCTTCCTGCTCTCCCTCTTCCTCCTCCAGTTCCTCTGAGATTCATCAGTCTGTTCCATGTTTCCATGCCTGTGTGTTGAGCATCTGCCCCCTGGTGGTCAGTGTGCATCATGCTAATGGTTGGACAGTTGCTTACGCATATATATATAAAGCAGTGGAAACAAATATTGGGATTTGCCTTTTGGATAAGAATGCCAAGTTAGTCTTTCTTCATAGAAAGCAATTACAATTTGAGGACACTTCATATTTACCTCTTTTGCCAGCACCAAATCAACCTCATCTTAATCTTTCCATTTAATGAGAAACAGAAATTCTCCACTGCTGTCGGTGGCACCGATTATTTGTTCAGGATCAAGACCTCTGGCAAAGCCTCTTGGTTTATCAGCAGCATCTCTTTTCTTCTTTGATTTGCTATCATTAGATTCACTGTCAGATAAAATCTTTCTTTTTATACCATCTTTTTCTTTACCAGCTTTTTGAGAATTAAGAAACGCTTCAGTTAACTCGACAATCTAAATTTTCTTCAGGTTCCCAAGTATTATCAGCATCTGAGAATCCTTTCCACCTCAGGAAATACTCCACTCTCCCATCCACTACAGTCGGTCCAATCCTTTTTCCACTACAAATTCTTCAGGCTCTGCCTCTTCAACTTTTTTACTCTTTCCATTCTATTTCCCATTTTTTGCAATGTAGTTTTATTGGAGGCCATTTTTTATTGCAGACTCAAAGAGCTATTACTCACCACCTTCATGCAGCTCTGTATTCCATGTTTCTAGCATCTCCGGCCCTGCATGCCTCCAGCTCCCTATTTTTTAATATTTTTATTGATTTCAGAGAGGCAGGATGAGGGAGGGAGAAAAAAACATCAATGATGAGAGAGAATCATTGATCGGCTGCCTCCTTCACATCCCCTACTGGGGATCAAGCTCGCAACCTGGGCATGTGCCCTTGATCAAACTCGAATTCGGGACTGTTTAGTCCTCAAGCTGATGCTCTACCCACTGAGCAAACCAGTTAGGGCCCATTAATTTTTTTTTTTTAATTTACATACTTGCAATCATTTTGTATATAAATACATAAAATATTTATATTCTGGATTTTTTTCACTGTAAGATATTCTGTCATTAATGAAAGGATGCTTCATTTCAAGCCAATGTCTGCAGGATGCTGGTGCTTGAATTGTTCCTGCTTCTCTTTCCCTATTCATCCTTTTTTTGATAGATGTAATAGGAATAGTGATATAGAGGATAGTGAATAGATGATATAGAGGAATAGTGAAAGATAGACTCTGGCACATAGAGATTAAGGAAAAGATTCTCAAAGCCCTTGGTCTTGGTGACAGGTGCTAGGAATAGGGACAGAGAATCCCATGTGGCATTCATCCAAAAACCCATGCAGTGTGGATTTTAATTTTCATTATCCTCTCTCTCTGCAGCAACTATAGTTTCTCAACAGATGGCTTCAGTGGCTCAGGAGGCAGTGGCAGCCATGGTTCCTCTGTCGGTGTACAGGGAGGTGTGGACTGGATGAGAAAACTGGCTTTTCGTTACCGAAAAGTGAGAGAAATCTATGATAAGCATAAAAGCAACGTGGGAGGTAAGTGTCATACAATCAGTCTGATTTGCTGCTTTCTTCTCCAGGGATTTCTTAGAACTCCCTGACAACTGCTTATGAATTTGTAACATTTTAATTCTGTATTTTAAAACCTGGAGGTTTGATTAAAACCCTTTGAGTAGGAAGCTCTACATTTCTTTTCTTTTTTTTTCTTTTCTTTTTTTTTTAATATATTTTATTAAATTTTTACAGAGAGGAAGAGAGAGGGATAGAGAGTTAGAAACATCGATGAGAGAGAAGCATCGATCAGCTGCCTCCTGCACACCCCCTACTGGGGATGTGCCTGCAACCAAGGTATTAGGTCTAGTAATAATTAATGTCGTTTTCTAATACTTTTTAAAATTGAATTTATTTAAACAATACAACAAAATTTAATCAACAGTATAGTTGCCGTTGTTTTCTACTACTTGTGCCCAAAGCTCAGGAAGCATTTTAATCCCTCTGTTGTAAAATTCTTGTGATTTTGATGCAAAAAAATTCGGTCAATTCATTTTTGAGGCATTCTTCATTATTAAATTTTTTTCCAAGAAGAAAGTTTTGCAAAGAACGAAACAAATGGGAATCGGAAGGGGCAATATCAGGAGAATATGCAGGTTGAGGGAGAACTTCCCATTCCAACTGGCGCAGTTTTTCAGCAGTGATTCTTGCAGTATGCGGTCGTGCGTTATCGTGGTGAAGAATTACGCTCTTCCGATTAATCAGCGCGGGTTCTTTTTCTCTTAAAGCTTGGGTTAACCTTTCCAATTGGGCACTATACACTGCACTTGTAATGGTTTGGTTAGATGGTAAAAGTTCATAATGAAGAATTCCTTTAAAATTCCACCAAGCACACAACATCACTTTTTTCGCATGCAAGTCAGGTTTTGGCGTGGGCTGTGGAGCCTCAATTTTGTCCAACCATTGAAGCTGCCTTTTCAAATTAACATACAGCACCCATTTTTCATTTCCGGTAACAATTTGCTCTAAAAACGGCAAACGGTTTTGACGAGAGAGGAGCGAACTGCAAATTGTGACTCTTTGATTACGGTTGTTGTCGGTTAACTCATGAGGAACCCATTTTCCAAACTTTTGGACTTTGCCAAGTGCACGCAATTGATTGGAAATTGTTTTTTGTGAACAATTTAAAGTTGTCGCAAGCTCTTGTTGGGTAATTTGAGGATTTTGCACCAAAAGAGCTTGAAGAGCTTCTTGATCAAAATTGGACACATGGCCTCGACCACTCTTGTCATCTAACGAAAAATTTCCCTCGCGAAATTTCTCAAACCAACGCTGGCATTTTCTGACGCTAACTGCATCTTGACCAAGAGCACTACAGATGTTTTTTGCAGCCTCACTTGCTTTTCTTCCTAATTGGAACTCGTAAAGCATGCAGTGCCAAATATGCTCTTCATCCGCCATCTTCTTAGCCCTAGTTTTGCAACAAAAACCAAACCAAACACAAACTTTTTCAAGCAAAACTTGTTAATTGCACTTCACACGTTCTGTAGATACCACGTGTTTGAAGGTTATGTCAATACAAGACAACGCCAAGCAAGATTTTAAACGAATGTTTTAAAACGACATTAATTATTACTAGACCCGATACATGCCCTTGACCAGAACGAACCCGGGACCTTTCGGTCCGCAGGCCAACGCTCTATCCACTGAGCCAAACCGGTTTTGGCGGAAGCTCTACATTTCTGATGGACTTCTCTTAGCATACGTTTTCAAAACTCTCTTGTTTATTCTAGACAAGTGCCTTTTTATAAGAAATATGTTCCAAATTTGACTAAGTATTTTATTCTGGAGTCAAAACTACTGTCAGTGGTGGTTAATAGGTTGCCTTATTGTTTTTTTTACTAATATATGAGGACAAGTTATATATAACAAGTCACGGGGTGGTTTATAGCGGATGGAAAACTAGGTCCAGAAGTATAGGGTGGCAGTATCCATGTGTTGTGAGTTGAAGGACTTTGGAAATTCTTTCTACCTAGAAATATCTCACCAGGCCTGAATTCTATTGTTTGGGATTAATTAATTAATGATAGATCGCCCAGATTAGAAGAGGCATTAGATATCTATTGAGAAAATTGATGTCCATCTTAAGTAACAAGGGCAGATACCATAGCAAGTTAATTACCTACCACAGTTAGAACCCACATCCCTAAATTATCGGTCCACTTTACATTCATGCGGTTCTTTTTATAGTGATATATCTTATGAGAAAATATTGAAATTGTAAGCCATTACCCTCAAACTTCTACACACACATAAATGTTGCATGTAGTTTCAAAGATTTCCTACACTGCCTGTAGGTATATTACCCCAGGTCAAGAGAACCCTCCTACAATACCATGCTACCACTTCCTGGGATACAGGAAGTAAAAATAGGACTTTAAAAATCAATTTGGTTCATTTCTGTTATAGTCTTCCAATAACAGGTAAAAATCACGGACATATAGGCTTTAGGAGTCAAATTTAAGTGTCTGATTTTTTATTTTATTTTTGCCTGGTGAATGCCTGGACCTAGTTTTCTGCCGAAACTAATATAACCCTCTATGAGAATATCCACCTGTATTTTGTAAAAATTTTGAATTGTCAAAGTGCAACATCATATTATTATTTAAGTAAGACACGCTAGTATGATTATGTTTATATCATACATGCCATAGAGGTATTGGTTTTATTAGAAATATTGAGAGTCATCTAATTCTAGTCTTGCATTGTGAAACCATCAATCTGAAAACAAATTATACGCAGTTCTAGTCCTCATAGAAATGCCTTCTATTTTTGTAGAATATTGGTAAAAGATTACAGGATTTCTCTTCACTATAGAAAATAATTCAGGGCCAGATTTATTATTTGAATATTATAACTCAAGTGTCTGATAACATACTCTCATCAGATGAATTCTGTTCTGTTATGCTTAATTATCTGATCTTAAACAGTGTCTTGGTCTCTTACTAGCTGGAGTTGTTTTAGAAGTAAATACAATACAAGTAAATGACATACATAGAGTTGGTCATTCAACCTGGAATCTCAGGTTGATGTATTCTGAAAGGGGTAAAGGAAAGCACAGTCACCATGAGAGCAGTGTATGGTAGTGGAAAGACTTTTGAGACCAAAAGCGACTTTTTTAAAAATATATTTTTATTGATTTCAGAGAGGAAAGCAGAGGGGGAGAGAGAGAGAAACATCAGTGATGAGAGAGAATCATTGATTGGCTGCCTCCTGCATGCCCCCTACTGGGGATTGAGCCCGCAACCCAGGCATGTGCCCTTGACCAGAATCGAACCTGGGACCCTTCAGTCCACAGGACAATGCTCTATCCGCTGAGCCAAACCAGCCAGGGCGCCACTAACTTTCTGTTTAATCTTAGCCCTTTCCTCCCTGGGGTCTGCTTTCTTGAGAAAGAGGTTGGAATGGTGCAGACCCTTCCTTTAGCTCTAACACTTACTTTTCCCCTCTGGTTCTTGAGCCCATGTCTAAATCAGTGCTACTAAGGGAATGGCCCACCACTCTGCAGATTGTGCTGCTGATTCCTGATGAAAGAGCTGTGTCAGAATCTAATCATGTTTCCTCAGCTGATTTTGTTGTGCCCGGTAGCAAACATTCTGTTGAAGAAAGTGAAAGTGAAAAAGACATTTTGAGCAGACTACTCTAGGGTTTTACTAAGAAGAGAATTGTATTCATTCAGTAGAAATTTCAATGACACACTATTTCTCAATTGAATTATAGAACTTGTTTCATCGATATCAGCAAGGATATGTTGTCAAACGATAAACGTGTCTGCTTTTATTCCAAAAGGCCTTCTAAGTCCCCAGAGAAAGGAAGCACTGCAGAGACTAAGAGCAGAAATTGAAGTTTTAACAGATTCCTGGTTAGGTACTGCATTAAAGTCCTTACTTCTCATCAAGTCCAGGTATGAAAATGATTCTTTCAGTTCTCATCCTGTCAGAGAAACACTCTCCTAGACCAGTTTAGGACAAGCAATTCCCAAAATAGGATGTGGGGTGGGGAGAGGGGAGTTTAAATGAAACAAGGAAGTAGGTAGTAGGTTAAGTGGGAGGCAGGGCCATTTTTATACTAATAACACACCTTAGGTTTTTAAGAAAATATATATGAAAGCCTTTTTTCTATTCTTTCTTTTTTTAATATGTTTTTATTGATTTGAGAGAAAGAGAGAGAAACATTGATTGGCTGCTCCTGAATGCCCTCACTGGGGATCCAGCCAGCAACCCAGGCCTGTGCCCTGACCAGGAATCAAACTGGTGACCTCTTGGTGCATGGGACAATACTCAGTCAACTAAGCAACACCAGCCAGGGCTTTCCCTTACTTTTTCCTCACAAAATTAAAACTCAGTAAATCATAATCTCCAGCCCAGGAGATGGGCCTGGTGACATCAAAGGATACATATAGGAGACATATCTCAAATATCCTAAATACAGGAAGCTTCAAAGAAATGTACCAAAACTTAGGAAGGCAGGATTCAAAAGAAAAGGATACATTAAGCAGATTAAGGATATTTCAGTTTAAACCTTATAATGAGAAATAAATACAGTCATAATTGTACCTAAATCTCTTACTGATTTCTTCCTCAAATCAGGAATTCCAGGTCTATAACCTAATAGAGCAAACATTAAAACTGGCACAGGTTATTCAGTGAAGTTTATAAAGGACCTGTGAAATTAATGTGTATTTTGGCGCTTTGTTGCTATTATACAAAGAACAGAGAAGACAAATCATATCTCATTAAGAGCTGGGTTGCATTTGGATGAAATAGCACTGTAACTGAAAGTATGTCATTTGTTTCCTAGAGAGTAGTATCAATGACATGGGTTGGTGGTAATTGCTAACAAGTGCAGTGAGCGAATTATCAGAGGGAAATGAGGCAAGAATCAAGTTGCTGCTCTGTGCCCACTATAGAATCTCTGTCCTTTAATATGGAAAGTAAGTAAACCTGAGATAATTAGAACAATAACTGAACATTGACATTGAACAAATATCATATCAGGCCCTTTAAGGTTAATTTTTAATAGTTAGATCTTGAAGGTCAAATCGTGGATTGGTTCACCCTTTTCTTTTCTTTCCTTATTTCTCCCTTCTAGGAAGAATTGTGTGAATGTTCTGATCACTACAACCCAGCTGGTTCCAGCTCTGGCCAAGGTTCTCCTATATGGGCTTGGAGAAATATTTCCTATTGAAAACATCTATAGTGCTACCAAAATTGGTATGTTTTCTATTCAGTTTCTTGTCACTTGCCTTAGAGTAACATTTCCTACTATGATGTACTTATTATTTAGCAGTTCCTCTGTTAGACATATCTATAATAACAAAAGCGTAATATGCTAATTAGACTGGATAGCGGAAAGACCTTTCGGACGAAGCCGCAGCAGCAGTGGGGCCAAGGCAGAAGCGGTTAGAGGTGATCAAGCAGGCAGGCGAGTGGTTAGGGGTGATCAGGCAAGCAGGCGAGCAGTTAGGAGCCAGTGGTCCCGGATTGAGACAGAGATGTCCGGCTGTCAGTTTAGTCCCAATCTCAGGCAGCCAGACATCCCCCCAGGAGTCCCAGATTGCGAGAGGGTGCAGGCCAGACTGAGGGATCCCCCCTCCATCCACGAATTTCCTACACTGGGCTTCTAGTATATATATCCTCACAACAGTCTTCTGATATCACTGAGGAGGCAGTTCTGTAGCTTGCACAAGATTTCACAGATAGTTAAGTTACACAAACAGGATTCAAATCCAGATCTGTGGGACTTTGTTCTTTTCCTTTATAATATTTGAAAGAACATAGTATCTAGTTTAGAAATCTACTTTTACCTCATTTCAGATTTCTTTTTTGCAAAGAGAGCACTGCAATAAAGAAAAGAAAAATCACTAACTAAATAAGGTGGCAGAAGCAGGAAAATAAAGTATATAAGATATGGCCAAAAAAAAAAAAAAAAGGAAAGAAAACAATTTCCTTTTTATTCATTTCTGCAAATAAAAAGCAGTATCATCTGTGCATGTTTTATGTATAGTTTTCAAATGGGATTTGAATTTTTATATATTACCATTTATCTAAAAACAGTCTGCAATGTATTGAAACACCCGTTTCCCAGGGTGAAGTTCAGTGACACAGCGTCTCGGTTGCAGTTATGAAATATAACAGTGAGGAAATCCGGGTAGGGCCGATGTCGCTGCCATATTCACTGTTGCTCTGGGCTCCTCCGCTCTGACAGCCATAAGGCTCATTCATGCCCGCGACTGTTTCTGGAAAATAAAAAATCAGAGGGAAATAGCTGTTTGTCTGTTTCTTCACTAACAAAAAAATCAAGGCCTTATGCTCCCACTTTTTCCCCTACATTAAAATAGTTTCCCCTCAAAAAATATCCTTTCACAATGTCCAGAGCCTAGACTTGGAATCAGGAGCCTAAAGTCTAGCTATAAAGTTGTTTGGATTTGGGCTCTCAAGTCACTAGTCCCATTTCATCTGTTAAAATAGGTTATGGTACCTATCTTAATTTTGAGAATTAAGCAAGGAATAACTTGAAAACTGCTTTGTAAACTGTAAAGTACAGGAGATGTGGAAAAGGACATGGTGCTCACAGTTCTCACACTGCCTGGGCCCCTTAGCCTCCCTTTTGTAGATCCAGAGAGCCTGCTGGCATCTCCAGCTGCCTCCGCTCCTCCTCACCAAGCAAACTGCCCCTTACTCTGTCCACACACAGGCTGGTGAACCTAGCAGCAGCCTTTTCTTTGGTGTTGAAAAGAAGTAGGACAGAATGTCCTAATAGGAATTGCTTTCTCTCATCAGGTAAAGAGAGCTGCTTTGAGAGAATTGTGTCAAGGTTTGGAAAGAAAGTCACATATGTAGTGATTGGAGATGGACGAGATGAAGAAATTGCAGCCAAACAGGTAATCATGGTAAAGAAATTGTGGAAATTTCAGGGCCTATTGCTCTCATTTGTGTAGGCTTTGGAAAGGAAAAAAGATTCTAAGGAGAATGACCTGACTTCAGTGTACTTCCTTGGATCATTTATCTACTCGGAGAGATAGTGACCTTTATTCAAAAACTTTTGTTGTTGTTGGTTTCCAGTTTTTATAGCAGACATCAGACTTTTGAATTGTCTAATAACACACATTGATGACAATACAAAAAATCTGTAGTTCAGGATAATGAGGAAGCAAAGAATATTAACTCGTTGTTTGCTGAAATGTTAGCTCAGAAGTAATATTTTGGGAAGACTGACCAGAGATTTTATTCTCTGTAGAGGATGCTGTGGAGTGCCGCCAGACCCCCAGCAGGACTGAGGCACTCGTTTCCTTAGCCACCCCCTGCTCTTGGCTGCTGTGGGTTCACAGCTTCTCCCCCAGAATTGCCCTCAGCAGAAGCTGCCTTGCCAGTTACATCACTTCCCAAAGACACCTTGCTTCCAGTTACTGGTGGGGATAGAGACAGCTCTAGTCTCCATCCTTCATCTCTGAAGGGTGATCCACCTCCAGCATGCTCCCTGGGGTGGATTAGCGTCTCTACAGCAGCTGTATTTCAGTTCAATTTTAGGCAGTGCCTTCTGAGGAGCATGAGACTTAGCTATGAAAAGGCAAATAATCTGACCTTTCCAGGCTTCAGATTCTCAAAAACCATTGCAATCAGTGGGGAGTTGTTTGGAGAAAGTTCTTTCTGCTTCTGAGCCTGGAGACGGTTCTGATGTTAACCTCCTCGCTATGCAGCCCAGCTTCAGGTTGTCCCTTCTTAAAACAGGAAACAGATGAAAGAGTCTTGACTATGTAATCTAAAATCCCACCCTTTCAAACCTGATTTATTAGCGGTGTGAATGATTTACTTATCCTCTGCTAAACGGATCTACAGAAGTCCTTTCCCTCTACTCCAGCATTCTTCTAGCAACTCTGTTTCTTAAACTTGGAGGCAGTGAGTTAACTAGGACCGCTATCCTAATTTTCTTCAGGAACTGTTACCGGGCTATGAGAACGGGCGTAATCAGTTGGCAGTATTAACACATTATGTTTTCATTTGCCACTTTATGTAGCAATTCAAGGACCTTTATTTTTCCGCATGCGTTATCTTTGGAGCTTTGATGCTTTTTATCTTAGCTGCTGTCCAATAAGTTTATTGTCTATCTGAAAAATCTTAAGAGAAAATTGTGGTTTGATTTATTAGCTCTCAGCAGCCTGTTCCTGAGCTCGGAGGAAGCTTGCTTTCTTCTGAGCGACCTGATCTTTCTTCTGGGCAAGAGGCATTTAGAGATGGTTCCACCTCTTCTTTTAAGTTTTTTTAGGCTTCTTCCCATAGACTGGATTATCTCAGATAGCAGCATGAGCGTTTGTTTGTTTGTTTGTTTGTTTGTTTGTAATATATTTTTATTGATTTCAGAGAGGAAGGAAGAGGGGTAGAGAGATAGAAATATCAGTGATGAGAGAGAAACTTCGATCAGCTGCCTCCTGCACACCCCCCACTGGGGATGTGCCCACAACCAAGGTACATGTCCTTGACCGGAATCGAACCTGGGACCTTTCAATCCACAGGCCGATGCTCTATCCACTGGGTCAAACTGGTCTTGGCTAGGGAATTGTTTTTACTGTGAGATGTAAATAAGCCTCCACCCACAACTCCCTTCAGGACCCCAAAAACTTTATTTCCAATAGTAGTTCCAGCAAGCCCTACATCCAAATAGCAGGTAAAGGCACTAGGTGGACCATCAGTGCTTTTCACATTGGGTTAATCTCCATTCACCTACACCTTGTCCATGCCAAACCTATTGAGAAGCCTGTGGGCCAGCTGCAGGCCAGTACCATATGCTGCAGCATAATTTGTTAGGCTAACCTTCACACCATACTTTGCGAGTTGATGAGCATAAACTGCACAGACTATCATACCTCCTTCTATAAGGGAATAAGCAGACTGACAAATATTTCTGTTACAGAAACTGTCATCCTGTATTTAGATGCATTGTACTTATTTTCATACTGGATCTCCAAGTGTTTTGGAGACTAGTAATCAGTTTTACCCTCTCATTGTCTTTTGAATTTCACTTAGTATCTCTTGAAGTAGGCCTTATTTATTTATTTTTTTTTAATATATAGTTTATTGATTTCTTTTACAGAGAGAGAGAGAGAGAGAAAAACATCAATGAGAGAAACATTGATCATCTGCCTCTTGCACACCCCATACTGGGGATGTGCCCGCAACCAAGGTATTATACATGCCCTTGACAGGAATCAAACCCGGGACCTTTCAGTCTGCAGGCCGATGCTCTATCCACTGAGCCAAACTGGTTTCGGCCGTAGGCCTTATTTTTTTATAAACCCCATCCTGCAGAAGAGAGACCCATGTCCACAGCTCACCAAAGACATGCAGGCCTAGCCCAGCTTCCTCTTCTCTACATTAAAAGTCTCTTAAATAGTATGTGCAAGCTAGAAAAAACACTGAGTTACATGTCAAAGAACTGTTCTAGGACTTCAAAATTCTGGGTCATTTGTAACCAGTTTGAACAAGACAATCAGTAAAACTAGTCTCCTGCAGCTTCATAGGATATAGATTCTAACACTTGGATTCGTCAAAGCCCTTTGTAAGGCGTCCAGAACAGGACACAGTATACTGGGCATAATTCTGACCACATTACATAATGGGATTTTTTCCAAGATCGGTATATTCTGAATCTTAGTGATGAACAAGATTTGGGCCTTGTATCTCTGTAACTTAAAGGAAATTGCCTGTCTATAAGAAAATGTAATATTGATACTAATTTCTTGTGTGGCTATTTTATTTGATCCTGAAGATCCTATATAGCAGCTAGAATAAGTAGATATCTCACAAAACATAGCTACCACTGAAACCTAAAAAAACCTCCCACATTTGTAGAGGTACAAAGTCCTTACACATATGACTTATTTGACCCTAATGGCAGCCCCGTGAGGTGAGGTGGGCAGGAGAAGAGAGGATTACAAGAGCCTTGGGGAGAGGTGTGGATAAAAGGGGTTTGGGTAGATGTGGCCTCCCAGAAGAAGTTGGGTTAACCAGCTGTCCCTGCTCTCCTAGCACAACATGCCTTTCTGGAGGATCACAAACCATGGAGACCTAGTGTCCCTGCACCAGGCTTTGGAGCTTGATTTCCTTTAAGAACTGGAATGAAGAGCCTTCCCCATGAGCTGCTTTTCACTCCTGAAAGGAGCCGGAGACTGGAACCAACTGAGAACTCTGTCTTTCTCCACGGAATGCTGGCGAGAACACAATCAGAACCAACAGCTGCAAGGGATGGAGCTGGTTTTTGCTAAGAGTGAGCTGCAGCCCCATGTTCATTCTCATGCAGAAGCAGGACAGTGGATTGAGATAATAGACTCACTGCAGCCACAGTGCTTTTAATTCTTGTGTTTTTTGTTTTGTTGTTTCAAAAATGAAGAAGAAGAAAACAAAATGAAATTTGGGAGGCAGAGTTGCACTCTTTGTCCATGACCTGGTTGAGAACTGCTGTTAAGTTGCGGTGATAGGATAAATGTGGCAGACTTTTGTCATAACAATCTCTTGCAGTCTTTATAAACTCCTTAGCTGTAGAACATATTCCCAGTGAACGTATATGTAATTTTTATAGGTAAGAGTCTGGTCTCTGAAGCAGGTTTTCCCTTCTTTCTTTTCCTAGCAAGAAAGGGATGTGTAAACTTTCCTTGGGAAATAGTAACTGAAATATCTGAAATACCTCTCTGTGTGTGACAGTAGCACCTCTGTAGCTGCTCCAGTGGTCTGCTTTCTAGGACGGTTTCTCTCCTGTTCTTCCATTTTCTGGTTTGCCGAACTGTGGGGCACTGGACACTGATTAACGTTAGGCTCTGGTAATTCCCAGCCTACAAGCCTTAGTCCCCTTGCCAATCCCTCTTCCCCTTTGACCACATGGCACAATCCTGGGAACTTCTTCTCTTAGACAGTACATGCTAAGCCCTCAGCTTGACTCTGATTCAAAGACTATGTCCAGGGGGCTGACCTCTAAACTGGAGAGACGGGACTAAGGCTTCTTGGGAATTTTCACTGTTTTGGTTCTTGAACCAGGAATATCCCACCTTTTCCTCCTGCAGAGAGGCACTCCTCCCCAACAGATGCTCGCCCTACAGCCTGCCTGCCTTCTTAGTCACCAGTGTAGCTCCTGTCCCTTTTCTGCCCTGAATTCCTCACAGCCACCTCCATGCAGCTCTGGCCAACCCCTGGGCTTTGGACCCAATAAGTCAAAACAAGTCTAAGGACAGGCTCATAACTACATTTGGCCAAAACTACCAATGTAGTTGACTTTCTTCGAAGCCCTTAAGCCTATGGAGGGTATTCTGAGTATATTTACCCAGATCTCTGAAGAGATTGCTGTGATCAAAACCAATTTTCCCATGGTAGACCCTTCCCACTTCTCAAATCTCATTCTAAAGTGGAAAACCAGAAGCCAAAAATACTCCTGTTTTAAACGAAGTTGTTGGGTCCCTACTCCATGCCTGGAAACTTAATCCTGGGCCAAGTGCAGGGACATCTCCCCGCCTGGCCTCTGGGAAGATGGATGCGAGCCAGGCCCTGGTCCCGGCCTTCTAGCCTAACTGTGTTTGTGGATGCTCCATCCCTCCAAGACGCACCTGGGCATCTGCTCGGCAGGATAAACTTCCCTAGAGCTGCGGGCCTTCAGCCTCTCCCAGGCTGCAGAGAGGTGTCGTCTGGGACTCAGTAGGTTTCCTTGACCAACCCCAGCTCTGCCTGCTTGACCCCAGAGAATCTGCATACTCATATCAGAGATGTTGCAGCACCGAGAGGCCAGAGTCCTCCTGAGACCAGGTCATCCATAGCAGAGAAAGGCTGTTCGCACACATTCCTTCAGAACTGAATGAGGAACAATTCAGGACTCACAATGTTAGGGAACAGGTCTTTGGAGGAGCTGGAGTCAGTGCTCATTACTCAGCTGCTGCTCTGGCCTTGTGCCCATTGGTGGGGCGGAGGTGGAGTTATGCAGTCGATAAGGCAGACCTCGCCTTGGTCTGAGTCCAGCACGGCTGCCCAGATGCTGCTCTGCCCTGCTTGGTAACTGATCCTAGAAAGCTCTAGGATGGATCTTTCTTCCAGGCCCCAAGCCCTCCACCTACGGCCGTGTAACTTGGTTTCCTGCGAGGCCGTGGAGTGGTTCCCCATCATGGATCCAGGTCCACACCAAGCCCCTCCCTCTGCCTGCCCTTTGGGAGGAGTGCTTTATTCCTAGAATATGACGTGGCCCCTTTCCAATGGTCTTTTCCTTCCTCCCTCACTGCCTAGTGGAGGTCTTTGCAAAAGACCAAGAGAAGTGAGGAAGCTCAGCAGAGCAGTCCTTGCTCTTTGCTGGTGGTTGCCACTCTCCTAGGAGGGCAGGCGGAAAGGGGACCGGGCTCCCCTTTGCCAAAATGACTTGTCCAGGGAACACAGCTCTTCTTTTCCGTGTTTTCCTCCTCCCAGTACAGAGACCTGGAAAGGAAAATGAGTGGGTAGCATCAAGAGCTCTTGGGAGCTGAGGGCCCTGGGAGCCCTCTTTACTAGAAAGAATCCCTGTGAGATTAGCCACGTGACGAACCTTCCCGCAGCTGGGGACCGGTTCCAGAAGATGGGTCTGCACATCGCGGGGTGAGGACTTTCCTAGGAAGGGATCCGGAGTTGTCAAGTGCGTCCTGGGTCTCAGAGGCGGCTTGACTCTCGAATGTAAAACTGACTGTGCCTTAGCACCACCCTGTCCAGTGCCCCTGGGGCAGCCGGTGGTGTCCAGGAGAATGGATTCCTGCTCCAGATTTAGATGCTTTTATTTGGTTTGGGGTGTTCCTATCTTCTGCTCCGCAAGTTGGGAGGGGCCAAAGCTAGCGTCCCGGGAGACTTGTGCCACAGTTTGTTCGCAGTTTACACACACTCAGCGCTGAAGCTCAAGGAGAGCCTGACTGGCAAGCCAGCTGCAGCAGGTGGCGCTTTTAGGTTTCCAGCCCTTGAATGGGTGTTCGTGCTGCCGAAGCACAGGGGGGAGGAGGAGGGACCGCTGGTCTCCCTCTTCCTGGGAGAGTGATGGTCTGAGCCACGGTGTGGTGAGCTTGGGGTGTTCCTCTCCTGCAGGAAGGGGCAAGCAGGGCCCCTTTAAGCAAGCTTCTGTTTCTTACCACTGAATTGGTTTCCTTTTCATCCAAAAGTTGGAACTCCCCGGATTTACACTATACAAGCCAAATCTGAATTCTGAGATTCTAAAATATGCATGTTCTTATTGATTTTTAGAGAGGGGAGAAACAGCGATCAATCGGCCGCCTCTGCACATCCTCTATTGGGGATGGAGCCCACAACCCAGGCCTGTGCCCTGACCAGGACCCTCGGTGTATGGGAGGATGCTCAACCAACTGGGCCATGCTGGCCAGGGCAAAGTCTAAAATATTTTAAACCATCAGAGAGGAAACCCAGTTCAGCAGGCCTTGTTTCTCTCCTCTGAGTCAGACAGCTCTAGCAAGCAAGGCTCATTGGCTAGTTCCTAATGCACTGACAGGAGCCATCCCATTAAGGGCGACTTCTCAAAACCTGACCCTCTGGATTACAGATGCCTCACTCAGCAGTAAAAGGCATTGATTGGATTGGATATATTTATGTGACTGCGGGCATTCATGGCTGTAGAGTCTTTGACCATAATGTTATATGTAATGGGAACTATCTTGTAAACTTGAAAAAAAAATAAAGTTTTTATTTTCTATACAGTTTGCTCCTGTGTCTTTTCTGAATAGGATCCACACAGTTGCCCAGCTGGTAGGCACCTAAGTACGGTTTTATAAAACCTGAGGAGTTCATTATAAAAATCTGGAGTTCATTAAAAGATACCACCCTTTTAATAATTGAAATTAATTTCACCAAAAAGGTAGGAAAAAAATAACTAACCTTTTGGTATAAAAAAAAGTACATGGGGAAAAAATAATTTGCAAGTAAAAGTTTGTTCGTTTTTTTAACAAAAGTTTGTTAGTTTTAGCTGATCCTCACCCGAGGATATTTTTCCATTTATTTTTAGAGAGGGGGAAAGGGAGAGAGAAAAAACATCCAGATGAGAGAGACACATTGGTTTGTTGCCTCCTGCAAACACCCCAACCAGGGCCAGGGACTGAACTTTAAACCCAGGCACAGGCCCTTGGCCAAGATCAAACCTGCAAACAACCCTTTGGAGCATGAGTTGGAACTCTCATCACTAAACCAGCACAAGTTGTCAGTAAAACGTATTGAACCCAGCTGGCGTGGCTCAGTTGTTGAGCTTCTACCTGTGAACCAGGCGGTCGGGGTTCGATTCCCACTCAGGGCACAAGCCCAGGTTTCCGGCTCCATCCCCAGTAGGGGGTGTGCAGGAGGCATCCAATTAATGATTCTCTCTCATCATTGACGTTCCTCCCTCTCTGAAATCAAGAATATAATATATATTGCTTTTTAAAGTTTAGGACTGGTATAAAAGACTTCATTTTCTGTCAAATATATTGAAATTTAATTGTTAGGAACTTGCTATGCTGAGCTTAAAACACAAAAGCAATAAAATAGGCAAACTGACATCAAACCTTGTTTAATTTGGCCTGATTTCATGTCCCATCAGCTACTTTTTTCTCATTTCATTTCTTCAGATTTGGGTCTGTCCGTTGTTGGTCTGGAGAAATCAAGAATTCTTTTGCCTTTTATTTCAATGAAGGAAATCCGAATTCAGACCTCGCTTCCAAGTACCATATATGTCAGACTACAAGGTTTTTTGTTTTTTCAAATTAATCACCTCAGAAAAGATGAGGTTGCCATGTATTCTAAGAACTAGAACTTTTCAACAGGAAGTTGTACCTTATGGCCCTGTTGGCTCGGTTGATGGATGCATCATCCTACACCAAAAGGTTGTGGGTTCGATTCCCAGTCAGGGCGAGTACAGGAGGCAACTGATGTTTTTCTCTTACATCAATGTTTCTCCATCCCTCTTCCTCTCTCTCTAAAAACAAACAAAACAAAAAACATATCCTTGGGTAAAGATTCAGAAGAAAAAGGGGCACATGTTGGACCACAGCTGTAGATGAAACAAACCTGTGAGATGCTATATCCTTGCTTGTAAGCACAAACATTGCTTGCTTCTCAAGCCCAAAGAGTGAACACCTTCATCTTCCCCTGCGATAAGTAAAAACACCTGCACATTTCTCAACCAACTTTGGTGGCAGACAATTCAGGAGGTTTTTATTCTTCAAAAACAGGTTTCTTGACATTTGAAAAAATGATTGACGGAAATTTTCAAAGGAAATTTCTAATGGTGTGTAATGTCACTCATCTTAAAGCTTTTGACGCTGTTAACTTTTTTATATCTTTACCCGAGAGTATTTTTCCATTGATTTTTAGGGAGAGTGGGAGAAAGAGGGAAAGACAGCGACATCAATGTGAGAGAAGCCCGTCAATTGGTTGTCTCTTGCACCAGTCCTGACTGGAATCGAACCTAGGACCCTTCAGTCCACAGGCCTACGCTCTACCCCCTGAGCCAAACCAGCTAGGGTGATCCTGTAAACGTTTAAGTATATGTACAAATGAAACTTTTTCTATAGCTTTTTAGGTAGTATCGGTATACAGTTTGGAGTTAATTGCATACATATTGCCATCATTTGACAACTTTCTTCTCGAGGATAGATGAGAGCCCTGGCGAAAAATTCCTTGTTTCTCCAACCCACAGACCCGAGAGCAGCAAAAGGTTCCACCTCCCTGGCACCACTGCCCACGTCCACATTCCTTAAGCCACCTCATCACTCACACCCTCCCTGTGCCCCCAGCAAAAAGCCCTCCACCTGGGCTCCGCGTTCACTTCTGGCTCTGAAGGTGTCCGAGGCTCCTGCCGGCCCAGCAGCAGCGCACCGGTCAGTCCAGACCTGGGTTCTGGTGCCCCCCTGAACGATCAACCCCACACCAGCTCGCCAGCCTCCGAAACTCAGAGAACAAGGTGAGAAGTCCTGCCTGCGCCAGCCCCTTCTCCTCTGTCCCCGGGCCTTCGCCGGTTTTGAGCGGTGGACTTGGTGTCCCTGACCCTTCTTTCCAAGCGGCTTTGAATTCTGTAGAGGTGGTGTAACGACACAACTAGTTTGGAGGATTTTATAAGGTTTTAATAATAACCCGTTCAACAAAATAATACTGTTCAATGAAACAACACATGCGTGTCTCTCACCTGCAGAGACACAGAGGCACGCACCTTCTCTCCCTCGCACAGTAGGTTCTGAGGTAGAAAGTGCCCTGTCTAACGTATAAAGCATACTCCATGGGCTGAGCCATGGCCAGACCACAGGCTCACAAGGCACCTGGTGGAAAGACAGGCCCTTGAGCGCAGGGGCAGAGGCCGGGCCAGCTGCACGAGGCCTTGGCTGGGTTGATGGAGGCCAGCTGGCTCGGCATCCATGGCTTCCAGGATAGGGGAGCCAAGGGCCGGGGTAGCACCTCCACCAGTTATTTGAGTGAAAACGTGGGATGCTTTGGGCACCAGATATACTGGTTGGAAGGAAAAGAAAAGGGGATCTGCCAAAACCGGTGTGGCTCAGTGGATAGAGCATCGGGCTGCGGACTGAAGGGTCCCGGGTTCGATTCCGGTCAAGGGCATGTACCTTGGTTGTGGGCACATCCCCAGTGTGGGATGTGCAAAAGGCAGCTGGTCGATGACTCTCTCTCATCGATGTTTCTAACTCTATCTTCCTCTCTGTAAAAAATCAATAAAAATATATTAATAAAATAAAAAAAGAAAGAAAGAAAGAAAAGGGGATCTCTTCTGTCCTCTCCAGGTGTTCTGACAGAATTGCGGCTCTTGGCCCTCCAGGGCGTGGTCCTTCCCGTCTTCTCCTGGAAGCAGGCCTCTGTCTTACTCAACTCTCGTCTCGGGTGCTGGCAAGATCAGGCATCAAGTGCTTGTTGAGTGAGTCAAGGCCCACAGCAGCATCATTAGCTTATCTCCTGCACGCCAACCACTGATTGTGCGTCCTTCTGTCCCCTGGCTGGGTCTGACCCCGCCTCAGAGGACCCCGTTTACCTCCCCCGGCCACGGCACAGCGGCCTCATCGCCTTGGGGGAAAAAATTCCGAGCCAAATGGTCCATGCGCCTGTTCTTGGGCAGCTCGTAGTACTGGAGGGAGCGGGGGGCGGGGGTCCCGTCCACCTGGTCAGGCTCCCAGGGGTAGCTGGGGTGCAGCCAGCGGTAGTAGACGAGCCGAAGTGCCAGACCCAGAAGGAAGCTGAGGCCGCCCACGGGCAGCAGCACCTGCAGCGGGACCCCGCCGGGCAGCCAGGCGCCCTGCGTCACCCAGGTGGCCGCCAGGAGCGCGCTGTCGCTCAGGAGGAACGCCAGGTGGATGGTGGCGCGGCCGCAAGTGTGGCCCTCGGCCACGTTGAACCAGGAGAAGTAGAGGATGGTGGCCACCGTGGCCCGGTAGAGCCACTCGGAGTGGGGGTCTGGCATGAAATCGGTGCCCTGCAACCAGACCCAGAACAGCAGCACCAGCCACAGGCCCAGGAAGTGCAGAGCCACGTAGCGGGGGAAGAGAGCCGAGAACAGGGCCACGGCCAGGACGCGGGGCCACAGCAGCAGCAGGTTCCACAGGAAGTAGATCACAGAGGAGCCCAGCCCCAGGACCGGCTTGGCTGGGAGGCAGGTGCGCAGGGCCCGGTGGTAGTCCAGCAGGGCCCACGAGATCCCCAGGAAGGCCGTGCAGATGCCAGCCCCTGCGGAGAGGAAGAGGAAGCGGCTGAGCCGGGGCCTCACGGGACCTGGGGGCCCTCGGAACCACCCCGAGGCGGGTATGAGAACCCCCAACTTGGTGAAGGGAAAACTACAACTGGAGAACATGGTTCTCACCACCACACACAGTCCTGAGATTCAACTACGGGGTCTGCCCTTCACCACAAAGCTCTACGTCTCCGGTGCCACTGGAGCGGGTGTGTGGTGTAGACACCCTCAGCTGCACCCCTGGACCTTGGCATTTTTTTTTTTTAATAAATCTTTATTGCTCAGATTATTGCAATTGTTTCTCCTTTTTCCCCTTACCATAGCTCCCTTCCACCTGGTTCCCGCCCCACCCTCTGCCCTTACCTCCCCCTTCCCCTCCCCCCATTGTCCTCAGCCACAGGTGTATGATTTTAACCCAATGTCTTAACCCTGCAACCCTTCCTTTCCCGGAAGAGCCCGAGCCTGTGTCGGATCTGAAAGTCAGCAGTCCAAGTTCCCCCTTCCTTACTCTCAGAAAGGGAAGCTGGAAACCCCATCCGGTGGCAACAGGCCTCGGAAGGTGTCCTGCTGTATGGACAGCACATCCTCACCCCCCTCCTCCCTGCTCCCTCTCCCACCTACTGGCTGTCCACGCTGAGCTAGAGGCACCAGGGCCCCGGAGAGCGGGGAAGCGGCGCTGGAATGTCTCCAGAACGCTTCCTGCCTCCTTCCCACCACGTCCATTCGCCAGATGTTTACAGGCCAGCCTGGAATCACATCAGTGGCCGTGGTCCCGGCTAACTCCCACGCTCCAGGTCTCAGCAGGGCCGTGTTCCTCCAGCCTGCCCCGCACGCTGCCTTCTCTGGCCTGGACAAGCTTTGCTGACGATGTTAGGAAGGCCAGGGCACAGGCCTGCTCCTCCTTACCCGGAAGAGCCCCCTGGAGCCACACACCCAGATCCAATCCCACCCACTCATATTGAACTAATTATCCATTTCCTTCTCTCTCAGCTCCTCAGGGTAGGAAACAGATTCTGCTCCCCTGGGATCCACTGGCAGCCCAGTATTGGCACAAATGTTTGCTAAAGAAAAAGTTGGGAAAATCCATCTCTTCCCTCTCTCCTTTCTCCCCACTTCTCCCATACACAGACAGTGTGGCCTGTATCCGTTTGGCCCTGATCCTAGACACTCACTGCCCTCAAAGAGACAAAGAAAAATGTGTGCCCAGTGTATGCTGTGTGTCCCAGGGCAAATCAGCCCACCTTTCTGTGCCTCTTTCCTCTTGTGCAAAATGGAGATAAACATAGCACCATCCGACAGGGCTTGGTGTGAGCACTGACAATAAAGCACTCTACACAGTGCCGTTACCAGCAGGCCCTCGATCGTGATGGTCTTTTTCAATTAATACACAGACTCAAAGGAGCAGCTGAAAGCGTCCCTGGAGGTCAAGTCCACGCCACCTTGTACAGCTGTGGGACCTGAGGCCAGGTCACACAGTGAGTGATAGCGGAGTGGAGACTGGTCCCGTGGGAGACTGTGGCATTTACAGTGGGGAGGGGGAGGGGGGAGCGGGAGACAGGGCAGGAGGCAGAAAAGGGGTGGCCCTGGACCTGGAATCAGACACAGTTGGAGTCCTTGAGCTCATTGCTTCCCTTTCACAGGAGAAAACCTTCCCAAAGCTCTTCAGTGTACAGACTCCTCCATGGTTTATAAGGCCCCCGGCTTCTCCCTCTGCAGACTTTCCCGCCAGCCCACAGGGCAGGGCTGGTCCTCGTGCACTGCGGTGCCCCCACAGGGACAGGCACCAAGAAGCTCAATGACACCTTAAGAGAGGGAAGGCGCCCAACACACACCTCATGGGCCAACAAGGTGTCTATTGTGTGTCGCACCCTACACACCCCCTCTGTCTGTTGTCTGCAAAAGAGTAAAAACGACAATTAATCTCTGTTATGCACCAGACACCTGGTGTTTGCATCACCCCTTGATCCGTCATCAGTCCCCGGAGGTAGGATTGTGTGTCGTGTCCATTTTATAGATGGAAACACACTCAGGAGGGTGGAGTCCTGGGTCCAATCGCCTACAGCCAGGGTTGGGATGTGCTTTTGGAATGGAACCCAGACCTGCCTGACGGAGGACGTGCTCCGATCCTCTGAGCAGTCCTCCCGGAAGAAGGAGGCGTTCCCGATCTCCCTGGGAAACCTCCTTACACAGAGGGGGGCACCGCGGCCAGGACGGTACTCACACTGGTAGTACTCGGCCCGGCCGCTCTGCAGCACGATGGCCAGCACCAGCGTGAGCTGCGGTGTCCTCTCCAGGAAGGTCTCGAAGAGCCGCAGCATGCTGATGTCCAGGGACAGGAAGTCGGCGTAGGCCAAGTCGAACTGGGAGGGCGCCTCCTGCTGCCACACCAGCAGCCCCTGCTGCAGCCCCTGCACGCACCTAGGCACAGCGGGGGGAAGGGGGGGGGCGGGTTAGTGTCCGGAGGCTCCCCCTTCCCCAGCTTACCAGGCAGATGCAGGCGGGCTCCAGTCCTACCTGCTGTGGGCAAGACAGAGCGTCGGCCTGTGGACTCAAGGGCCCTGGCTTCAATTCCGGTCAAGCACACATGGCCTGGTTGCGGGTTCCATCCCCAGTAGGGGGAGTGCAGGAGGCAGCCAATCAATGATTCTCTCTCATCGTGCATGTTTCTATCTCTCCCTCTCCCTTCCTCTCTAAAACCAAGAAAACATATGAAACACTTTTTTAAAAGAGAAGTGTTCTGCCAACAATTTAAACAACAACAATAATTACTGCTGCTCCTTGCTGGCCAGGCACTATCCCAAGTTCATCACAAACCTTGTCCCATTTAGACCTTACAACATCTGTTATTTTTCAGATGAGGAAACATGACCAAAGAGCTAATCAGCAGGGGTGTTTGAATATCAAAGGCACACAAGAAAGTTGCCTAAGGCGATAGTTCTCCAAGTTTAGCAAGTCTAAGGATTTCCTTTTTTTTTTTTTTTATTGATTTTTTACAGAGAGGAAGGGAGCGAGACAGAGCCAGAAACGTCGATGAGAGAGAAACATTGACCAGCCGCCTCCCGCACATCCCCGGTGGGCCCGCAGCCAACGCACATGCCCTTGAACGGAATCGAACCCGGGACCCCTCAGTCGCAGACCGACGCTCTCTACCGCTGAGCCAAACCGGTTTCGGCAAGCCTAAGGATTTCTTAGGATCCTGTGGGGAAGGGAGCCACTGAGAGCTTCTGAGCACAGGTGAGGCCGGTCAGACTGTGCTTCAGAAAGAACTCCCAGGTGGCCGAGACCGGTTTGGCTCAATGGATAGAGCGTCGACGTGGGGACTGAAGGGTCCCAGGTTCGATTCCGGTCAAGGGCATGTACGTTGGTTGCGGGCACATCCCCAGTAGGGGGTGTGCAAGAGGCAGCTGATCGATGACTCTCTCTCATTGATGTTTCTAACTCTCTATCTCTCTCCCTTCTCTCTGTACAAAATCCATAAAATATATTTTAAAAAAAAATCCCAGGTGTGGGAGGAGGAAGGGATGGAGGGCAAAGGGATGGAGGGCGAAGGCCGGAAGCAGGGCTCTATTTAAGAGGCTGTGGTAACAATCCAGGGAGGATGAGAGCCTCAGAGCCGTGGGGATGGAGGCGGGGCGGAGCTGAGAGAGCACAGAAGCCGGATGGACAGGCCTGGCTGGCCCCCGGCTGAGGGGGCGTGGACGATGCACCACGGCTTCCACCCCCACCCCGGGTCTCAGGTGGTTCCTGGGGGGTGAGCCCATTCGCTCACTGCGAATTCGTTCATCAGACACGCACTGTTACCCCCGGGACGGACTGACAACGCAGGGAGGAAGCAGGCAGGCAGCCCGGGGTCGGGCTCTCCCTCCGCCCAGTCACAGGCAGACACAGGGATCCTTTCAAAACCAAAGCTCAGGACGTCGTCTGCCTCACGCAGCCGAACCAGGAGACGGGAAGATGCACGATATAGTGATGGGTTCAGGGCTCACTGAGGCCTAACACCACGGTAATGTGTGCCTCTCCCTGCCCCACCCCACCCCCCGCCACCCCTCATGCCCGTCAGTCCCTCAGGCAAAATGCAACATTCAAGGCCGCTCTCTCTCTCTCCCACTCCTGGACACTCCGTGCAGCTTTTCAGGACTGGAGAGACTGTAAGAATGGATTCAAGCCCTCACCGGTTTGGCTCAGTAAACAGAGCATCAACCTGTGAGCCGAAGGGTCCCGGGTTCGATTCTGGTCAACGGCACTATCTTGGTTGCAAGTTCCTCCCCTGAGCCCTGGTCGGAGCCCCTGCAGGAGGCAACCGACTAATGTGTTTCTCTCACAACGATATTTCTCTCGGTCTTTCCCTCTCTCTTCCATTCTCTCTAAAATTCAATGGAAAAATATCCTCAGGTGAGGATTAACAACAACAACAAAAAAGGATTCAAAAGCAGATGTTGACTCCACCCACCTATCCCAACCCAGACCACATCCCTTCCCAACTTTGTCTCATGACTCTGGCCCCCAGTTTCCCCCTATCTGCCCTCTTACCTGGTCAGGGTGGGGGGCAGGGGCAGGCGGGGAGGAAAAGTCCGGGGAGAATGCAGCTGGGAAAGAAGCGACAGGCACTCGGGGCGAGGGAACAGGTACTGGCGGTCAGGGCTGCTGAGGCTCTCAGAAGCTAGCTAGCGTTTGCACACAATTCACAGGCCTCCTTTCATCCTTACCACACAGAGGCAGGCGGGCTGACCATCCACACCGGAACAATGAGAAACTGAGACCCAGAGGAGGCGAGTGCCGGCCCAAGGCCCATCCACAGCGAAAAGGAACCCTGGTCTGTCCGCTGGCCTCGGCCTCAGGAGCCAGCTCTCCGCTCTTTCCCTCACTCCTCACGCAGGCCTGCCTGCCACACCTACCTTTAGATTAATATATATCTAATATATATCTAATAAAGAGCTACTGTGCCTATAAGACCAAACAGCAGAACAAGGACGAAGCCGTGGCTGCGAGGGCAGCCCGGGTCCAGGTTCCAGAGGGAAGCCAGTGCTGGCAGCCAGGGAAGGCCTGCTCTTTCATGAATTTCATGCACTGGGCCTCTAATATATAGATTAATTTCAGAGAGGAAGGAGAAGAGATAGAAACATCAGTGATGAGAAAGAATCATTGATAGGCTGCCTCCTGTACGCCCCCAACAGGGGACCAAGCCAGCAACTGGGACATGTGCCCTTGACCGGGATTGATCCTGTTGTTGTTGTTTTAAAATATATTTTATTCATTTTTTACAGAGAGGAAGGGATAGCGAGTTAGAAACATCCATCAGCTGCCTCCTGCACACCCGCTACTGGGGATGTGCCCGCAACCAAGGTACATGCCCTTGACCGGAATCGAACCTGGGACCCTTCAGTCCGCAGACCGACGCTCTATCCACTGAGCCAAACCGGCCAGGGCCGGAGCTGTTTTTGAAGGAGCTGGAAACTCACTTGTAGGTTAAGGTTTCCACGGGGAACCTCCCCACCCGCTTCCCGTGTCGAGACGCTCACCTGTACAGGTGGCCCCGCTGCAGAAGGCGCCGCCCTCCCCGAACCCCCCTCCCCGGTGCGGGGCCTCACCGGTACAGGAAGCCCAGCTGCAGGAGGTGCAGCAGCGCCAGGCAGCGCACGGAGCGCGGAGCGGCGTGCAGGCCGGCGGGGTCGGCGCGCAGCCAGATCCAGCTGAAGACCTGAAGCGCCACAGACGCGACGCCCAGCAGCGACAGCACCAGCGCGGCCCACAGGTAGCGGCCGCTGAGCACGTACTGGCTCACCGCCCACAGGTCGGCGCCCAGGTGGACGAGGAAGGCGGAGACGCCCAGCACGCCCAGGACCAGGTCCCGGAAGAGAATGGCGCGCAGGGAGCAGGGCATGGCCCGCCGGCCTCTCCGGCTCCTTCCCTCCGGTCCAGGCGGCCGGAAGGAGGCAGGCACCGCCCTCCGAGGCTCCTAGGCCCGGCCTCCTGGGCGGGACTTCCCCGCTTCGCCCTGTCCGGGGCGGAGCGAGGCCCGCAGGCCCCGCCCCGGAGTCCCCGTCCCTCCCCTTCCCCGCCCTGTCTGGGGAGGAGCTAGCCCCGAAGGCCCCGCCCCCAGAGGCCCGCCCCGCCCCCTCCGAGTCGTGGCCGCCGGCGCAGGGATTCCCGCCGCCAGAGGGCGGGCCGCCGGGCGCGGCCTCTAGCCGCTCGGGCTGCCACCTGCCTGTGTTTGTACTTGAGGCTCCTGCGGGCCCAGGACCCCGAAAATGGCCCGGAGGGGAGCGCCCAGGCCAGAACCGCGGCCTCTCACGTTGCATCGTTGCGAAACAAAACAGAGAGGCCTGTTGGATCCCAAATTGCGGGACTCGGTGAACTCAGAGTTCGGGCCATGTGCAGGGGAGACCGAGGGCCCAGGATCAACGAGGCGCGCCGTCCCTGCGGCGCATTTTACTCCCATTATCCTTGTGGGGGGCAGGGACTTTAACATCAAGGGAGTTGCTTTAAACACTATTTACATACGGAAAGGGTAATGCACGTGACAAGATCCATCGTGAGCTTTTTTAATACATGTAAAACTTGGAAGAAAAGGGCTTGTGGCAGGGTCTTTGGGCTTCTTTCCTGACCTGGCTGCCGCGTCCCCGCTCACCTGCGGACGCCGGGACAGTGAGAGTCCAGCCCTCAGTGGGGGGCGCCGGCCCAGGACACCCAGACTGAGGAGGCAAGCCCTGCGGTCCGGCCGGCGGCACAGCTCACCCTGCGAGCCACGCGCCCAGGCCCAGCTGCGCCGCCAGCAGCAGCGGCAGCCCCAGCCCGGGCGCGGGCGCGGCGGCGGGGGCGCGCAGGCAGGCGGCGTACGCGTCCGCGGCCACCGCGCGCATTGCGCACACGTGCTCGGCGCGGCACAGCGCGTCGCACGCCCGCGCGTCGTGGCCGACAGAGTTGTACACGTAGTAGCGCTGCAGCGCGTCCCGGTCGCCGGCGATGCGGCCCAGCGCGGCGTGCATGGAGCGGGCGCCCGCGTCGGGCACCGCGTAGGCCTCGGTCAGCTGGTACTCGAGCTCCCAGCGCGCCGCTCCCTGCGCGTTCGCCTGGCTCAGGTTCAGGAAGTAAGTCATCATGTCCTGCAGAGGGGGCGGGAGGCCGGCTGTGAGCAGCTGTCTGCTTCCATCCCCAGCCCTGCACCTGGCCTCTGCCCCCGCCTCCATGATGACTGCTGCTGACCAGGGTGTGTGTGAGTGTGTGTGTAAGGGGGAGAGAGAGAGAGAGAGAGAAAGAGAGAGAGAGAGAGAGAGAGAGAGAGAGAGAGAGAGAGAGAGAGAGAGAGAGAGAGAGAGAGATCCACTAACTGAATCTGATGAAGGAACTGCGTTTATCACCCCCATTTCCCAGGAGGTGACGGGCTGCTTGATGAGTTGGGAACCTGCGTTGGCTGCAGGGTCATCGGGGTAGAGAACACAGACCTCTGGGCAGTGGGCCCGAGGGCACACTTGAATACCAGGCTGAGGAGATCCATCTCAGCTTGGGGACACTGGAGAGCCATTGAGGGCTATTGAGCAGGAGAGAGACAAGTGCTTTAGAGCAGCGGTCGCCAACCGGTGGTCCTCAAACCACTGGTGGTGCATGAAGTCTGAAAGGTTGGCAACCGCTGCTTTGGAGAGATTAATCTCTTCTGTAGTGTGTAGCAGATGAGCTACCGCAGGGCAGTGCTGGAGGCAGAGGAATTAGGTAGGAGGTCCATGGCAATGATCCAGGGCGAAGGGAGTTTGGGGAAGAAGAAATGACCTGATTTGGTGGCAGGATTTGGAGGTAGCGCCAGGGGTCTGATCCTGAGTTCTAGCAGGGCAGGGGAGTAACTTGACCTTCCTGAGACTCGGTGGTCATTAGAGTGCAGATTAGCTGGGAAAGAGGGAGTATGGTGATGTGTTTAGGTCCTTCCCTCCCTCCTTCACACCCCTCCAGCCCCTGCAGCCCCAGGGCTCCTGACCTGCAGGCTCAGCGTGGCTCGGTCGTATTCGAACAGTCGGATGCCTGGATTGTTGCCCCCATAGACCACTCCAGGGAATATGGGTTTCCATGGGGTGACTCCCGGGGTAAGGAACATGACACTGATGGGGGCACCTGTTAGGAGAGAGACAGTGGGACTGAGAGAGGCTGGCGAGAGGAGGGAGGGAGGGAGGGAGGCTGGCAGGTGCCCTCCAGGCGGAGTACCTGCATCATCATAGAACATCCGAAAGCTGTCCAGGTGATTGTGCCCGAAGAACTGCCCTGCGATGACTCGATGGTGCTTCTGGACCACCTGGAGGTACTTCTCGTTGAATCCCTCCCGGAACCACATCTTGTTCATTTTCTTCTCAAAGAACCCCGGGGGCACGTGGCCGATGATGTACACCTGTGAGGAAGGAGTGCCAGGAGGGGCTCAGAGATGCCCACCTAGCCCTGCATTGCCCCTCTCAAACCTGCCCATTGCCCTAACTCCCTGGTCGGCAAAATGAGGCTCGAAAGCCACATGTGGCTCTTTGGCCCCTTGAGTGTGGCTCTTCCACAAAATGCCACAGCCTGGGTGAAGAACTGACATTAGAAGTTAAAAAATTTGGCTCTCAAAAGAAATTTCAATCTTTGTACTGTTGATATTTGGCTCTGTTGACTAATGAGTTTGCTGACCATTGCCCTAATCAGTTTGGCTCAGTGGATAGAGCATCGGCCTGCAGACTGAAGGGTCCCAGGTTCGATTCTGGTCAAGGGCATGTACCTTGTTTGTGGGCACATCCCTAGCAGGGGGTGTGCTGGAGGCAACTGATCAATGTTTCTCTTTCATTGATGTTTTTAACTCTCTATCCCTCTCCCTTCTTCTTTGTAAAAAAATCAATAAAATATATACATATATTTTTTAAAACCTGCCCATCTCCCCAAAGGCAAGCAGACAGGGGAAGTCCGTCTGCTTCCCCTCTTCCGGGCAGATCCCAGTATTCTCACATGCTTCCCACCTCTGCTTTGCCCATGCTACACTTCCCACCTGGCGTGCCCTTTGCATTTTCACTTCTGTATCCTACTCAGACTTCCAAACCCAGTTCAAAGGAAACTTCCTCCTGTTTGTTTGTTTTGTTTAATTTAATTTAAATTCTTTATTGTTTGAAGAAAAGTCTCCTTCTCCCCCCCCCCCATTGACCTCTCCCCGGCCGCTCCCACCTCCCAGCACATGTCCTCATGCCCCTACTGTCTGTGTCCATTGGTTGTGCTCATATGCATGCAGACAAGCCCTTTGATTGATATTTTACCATATCAGCACCCATGAGCTTCAGTTTTTTCATCAGGAATAGCACCTAACTGGTGGAGCTTTGAGAGTTAAGTGAGATAATGCACAGTGAGTGCTCAGAAGCATCAGCCATGAAATCGTGCTGGGAGGTGCTGCTGCTCCGTGCAGGGACTCAAGCAAATGAGACACAGGACCAGTACTTGGGGAGCTGCCAGCCCAGCAGACGAGCTGGACACACCACAAGGGCAGTGCCAGGGCTGACCAGCAGACCCTGAGCGACAGATGAATAGATTACTCTGACACACATGTCTGTGAAAGAGAAGGCTGGCTAAGGGACTGTTTAGCTTTAGCAACTAAAATAGCCCCGATTGCCTGCCTCTTTAGCTTTTTGTTGTAACAACAGCTTGAACGAAAATTAACCTCTAGATACAATCAGCAGGGTAAGTATCCTTGAGAAAGCACATGTTTCTATAAGGTCAGGTCTTTAAAGATTAAACCTAGAGATTCTAGCAAAACACCCGAGGGGATAGGACTTGTTTGGAAAAGTCAAGGTAGGAAGTGCCTTCGGCAAGTTCCTCCTGGAGGACCCCGACCTCTGGGAGAGTCCTCCTCATTCCAACCCAGTCCTGTGCTTCCCCACAGGGCAGGGCAACCCTTCAAGTCTAGCCCACAATGTGGGCATGGGCTGTTCTGAGGATGGACAAAGCCCCCTCCTGGTGCCAGGCTGATAAAGACCCTCTGTCAGGGGTGGGAACATCTGGCCCGCTGGCCATATAAGATCTGCGGGCCATATAAGGCCCATGAAATCATTTGATCTGGCTCTTCCAAGGCATTGGGGGTAAATTAATTAAATGTTTAACCAAATATAACAGGCTAATTTTTAAGTTGATTTTGTGCGGCCCACAAATGATGTTATGATATCCGAATGGCCCTTGGCAGAAAAAGGTTCCCCACTCCAGCCTGTGATGTAACTGCAAAGAGAGGATGAATTTGTGCAGAGATGGGAGACTCATGCAGGAAGTGATTCAAGAGTGAAGGGGGGCGGGGGAGAGGGAAGAGGAGGAGGAGGTAGGAGCCCTTACCATTTCCCCAGCTCTGGACGCGTTGCTCAGCACCTCTTCCAGCCACTGGAACTGCCGGGCAGGGTCGGCCATGCTGGCCGTCTGCTCATTGTTGGTGTAGTACAGATTGGTGTTGAGGACCACGATCCGCCCAGCCGTCCCCGGCAACTTCTCAGAATAGAACGCACCTAGGACATCACGGCCAGGGAGACATGAAGGGGTCCTCTGCCTCTGACTAAACACACCTCCGCCCCCTTTACTCTCCCACGTCCTCCCTCCCTTCATACTCCCTTCCCGTCTTTCCCATAAGACGGGCATCATGGGTTAAGACCTAAGGCTCTGGAGCCAGGTTACCTCGGTTCAAATCCTGCTTCTATCACTTATTTCCTGTGCAACTTGGGAAAGTTACCTAAGTTCTCTGTCTCAGTGTCCTCATCTGTATCCTGGTGGTAACAATGAGGTGTGCTTGCCCCTCCAGATGCGTCATCAACCCTTCTCCACTCAGCTCTTTGCCCTGGGAGCGGACCTATGTGAACTACGCCAATGGGCTTCTGTGCCGCGGGCTTCTGGCTCGTCTGGCCAATGGGGAGCCCGGCAGCAGTGGAGTGTCTGTGGGGTTACCTTGGGCAGCCTGTCTTTGGGTCAGCTGTCCTCAGCCAGGTGGTCTTATCCCCCAGGGAGCGTTTGGCAATGTCTAGAGACATTTTTTGGCTTTGCAACTGGGGTGTTACTGGCACGTAGGGGGTAGAGGCCATCCGGTAGTTCACAGCACAGCTCCCACTCAAAGACCTTCTGCCCCAAAGGTCAATAGAGACAAGGCTGAGAGACCCTGGTTGAACTGGATGGAAGGTCACTGCTCTTTCCTAATGTATTTGCAAGGAGTCCAGTAACGCGCTGAGGCTAGTGCTTGGCACACAATAAACCCTCAATAAATATTCACTGCTCGTCCTCACTAGTGCCATGGGGTTAGGAGCATGGACACTGGAGTCAGCCCTGGATTCTGCTATCAGATCCACCTCCCTAAGGGGTGACCTTGGCCAAAGTGATTTGGTATCTTCAAACCTCAGTCTCCTTATCTCTAAAAGATAAGATGTAGGGAACAAGACCTCTCTCTTGGGGATGTGGTAAAGATGAATTAGATTAGACCTCAGAGTGCCGTGAGTGCGTATCGTAGCAAATGGTATTAGTACCTTCTTTGAAGCGAGCAAAGGATTCATTATTGAGCCAGGGTCTCCACAGTTCTGCTATCTGATTGTAGATACGGTTGCTCCCCGCTGGGAGCTGGTGTTTGGGGTGAAAGTCATGATTTCCCATAGCGGAGTATACTTTAGTATCTGGGAAGGAAAGGAAAAATACAAAAATATATATGGGGAAGCACGTGGAGTTCATCATTTTCAGTTGGCCATTGGCCATTAGGGCTGATGGAGAAGAGCAATGAGAAAAAAATATTCAGTGCTTATCCAGATGAGGGAAATCAAGAGGTAAACTGAAAACTTCATTGAATAGAAACTCACTTAACTTTGCTGAGACCTAGGAAGGAGAAGCAGCGAGTTCTCTGGTCCTGGACCCTAACCCCATTCCCAGCAGAAAGTTTTCTGGTCAGAGAGGAGGCATCAACTGAGAAGGAGAAAGCTAGCCTGGCCAGTGTGGCTCAGTGGTTGAGCACTAAACTGGACCAGTTTCAGGCTGGATCCCCAGTGTGAGGCAGATAGCAGGAAATTGATGACTCTCATCATTGATGTTTTTATCTCTCCCTCTCCTTTCCTCTCTGAAATCAATAAAAATAAGTATCTTCCTAAAAAGGACACTTAGTATTTAGTGTTCCTTGTTCTTGTCAATTCTGGGACATCTTCCTGTTAGGGGAAAGGTCTGGTTCATTCCTGGAGGTCTTAGAAGTTTCATTCATGAAACAGAAGTAATTACTGAGCACCTAGTTTATACCATGCCAGGCACCCAGTCCCAGCCCCAGAGGCCTGGCATTGCGGTAGGTTGACAGGTGTTGAGTAACGAGGGGTGTGTGACTGGTACAAAAAGGGAAGAGCCACTTGCTGGAAGTGTGTGACAGGAGTGGTGGAGTGGTGGTGGTGGGGGGGTCCCTCCTAGAGGAAGTGGCCAGTGAATGAGCCCAGGAGGGGAGGGGAGGCTGTCAGCCTCATTCCCGCTTTTATTTGACCACTGTGTCCCACAGGCAGTCGTTGCTCAATAAATATTTGATGACAAACAAAAACTACCCTGAGTTCAGGGCAGGGCGTTTCCCTATGAGCTGGGCTCACCCCAAGAAGTGATCTTAACCGACGAGGGAGGCTGGAGCCTCCAGGTCTCCATTGGGGAAATGTCTGTAACAAACCCTTTGTCCTGTGTGGCCTGCAAGGTCGTGAGGGCTCTGCAGAAAGGAGGAAGGTGTAAAATGCTCACCATGAATTGTTCACAAAGCTGGAAGCCAGCATCATAATTGTCTGGAAAACCCTCACCTCTCTGTAGCCAATGCTGGCAGCCATTAAGGATCCATTTAAGAAAAACACGAATTCCTGGAATCTCAGGGGCACAAGAGAAGAGAGAGGATCCCTCCCTGTTTTTGCTGCTTCTATGTGCCTGACTTCTGGAAGCTCCTTACAAGCTCCATGAGGTCATGACCTGATGTCTTGTGCCATCACCATGTCCCCTACGTACCCCTAAACTTGTGTCTCCCATAGTAAATGCTCAATAAATATTTTTTTGTTGCCCTGACCTGTGTGGCTCAGTGGATAGAGCATCAGCCTGCGAACTCAAAGGTCCCAGGTTTGATTCCAGTCAAGGGCATGTACCTTGGTTGTGGGCACATCCCCAGTAGGAGGTGTGCAAGAGGCAGCTGATCTATGATTCTCTCTCATCGATGTTTCTAGCTCTCTATCCCTCTCCCTTCCTCTCTGTAAAAAATCAATAAAATATATATTTAAAATAAATATTGGTTGGTTGACTGAATGGATGGATTGGCTTATTGAAGCCTCACAGCAATCCTCTGGGCGGTACCAGCATTTATTTTCCCAGGGAGAAATGTGTCTTGATGAGATTACCCAGCTAGTGCGTGGCAGGGCCTGGAAGGGGCTGGGTCGCTTGCCTTGTACATCTGCATGCACCCCTCTGCATAAAACGATGCATCTTACAGTCCATGGCATCCTGGATGTTAGGGAAATCAGCAGATGTGCAAGTGTATTATCAGCTGGAAAACCTTCTAGCCCAGCCAGCATGGCTCAGTAGTTGAGCATCGACCTTTGAACCAGGAAGTCAAGGTTCAATTCCTGGTCAGAGCACTTGCCCAGGTTTTGGGCTGAATCCTCAGTGTGGGGCGTGCAGGAGGCAGCCGATCAATGATTCTCTCATTTCCATGGATCCGTTCTGTGTGTATCCGCAGGCCAATCAGCTCCCATGTTCCTCCCAGGGTGGTGGGAAGTGCCTGGCACAGAACTTTCCCACGGCCATTGCTGTCAGTGGGTGAGGGCTGCTGCTGTGCCCTGGTACCATGTGGGGCCCAGGCAGTGTTGGGGAGGACCAATGGCGGGCTCTCACCTGGAAAGACCTCTCTGATGAGCTTGGTCAGGCGTTCCACAATCTCCAGCACCTTCGCTTCTCCCAGCCTCTCGTTGGGCACATGAGGGGTGTCATCGCTGCAAAACACCAACAGCCAGTTAGTGTGGCAGCTCAGGGTGGGGAATGAGGAAAGGGGAAAGGGAGGGTGAGGAGCGGGGGGGGGGGGGGGGGGGTAGTGTGGGGATCTTCTATGAGAAAGAGGCCACGGAACAGAGGTCTGGCCAGGCTGAAGTTGGGAGTCACATAGGACAGAGTTCAAACCCGGGCTCTGCCATTGACCTGTGTGGGTCCTTGGCTGGTTGTTTAAACCCTCTGAGCCCCATCAGCTCATGCGTACAATGGGGATGGGGATGGCGCCCACCTTCTCCTGTCCCTGCATTTGGATCTTTAGGGCTTGCAGTCCCTGAACCCCAGTGGGAGTGGCTGCATTATTCACCCTCCAACTTAAATCTGGGGAGTTTCAGCCGAAACCGGTTTGGCTCAGTGGATAGAGCATCAGCCTGTGGACTGAAAGGTCCCAGGTTCCATTCCGGTCAAGAGCATATCCCCGGTAAGGGGCAGGCAGCAGTAGGCAGCTGATGGATGTTTCTATCTCTCTCCCTTTCTCTCTGTAAAAAAAATAAATAAATAATAAAATAAAAATAAAACGGGGGAATTTTCTACACGCCCAGGCATGCCATGACCTTGTCCTCAGCCACGGGAGAGCTGCATGCTGCTGAGGCCGGGAGTCTCGGAGGGGAGGGCACAGACTTTGGGATCAGCCACCTCCAGGGTCCCTTTGGGCTGGGTGTGAGGACTGAGGGGGACTCAGGGGGACTCAGGGAGACTCAGGGGGACAGGGAGGAAGGGGCAGGCACCCAGGGGCGGGCAGCTGTGCTGTGGGTCTCACCCTGTCCAGAAGATGAAGTCTGGCTTTGGCTCAATCTCCTTCATGGCGTGGACGGAGGAGTTGATGAGGGCCCAGGGGGAGTCGCAGAGGTAGTCGCCCCAGGGGCCCGGGCTGTGCACCAGCTGGGAGCCAGCTGATGGGCACACCTGGAGCGGGTCTGTGGACACCTTGTAGTCAGGTTCAAGGTGCAGGTCCGAGATGTGCCAGAACCTCCCTACAGGGGAAAGGAGACCCTCCTCAGTGCCAGGCCCTCCTGAGCCCGCTGGGGAGGCAGTGTGGGGAACCAGGAGCTGGAGGAGGGAGTTGTGCAGGTGAAAGGGGCCAGAGAAAACGGACCATGGGCCCGGCAGGCGTGGCTGTTGGTTGAGTGTCAGCCCATGCACCATAGGGTCGCTGATTTGATTCCTGGTCAGGGCACATACCCAGGTTGCAGGTTTGGTCCCCGGTGGGAGCATGTATGGGAGGCAGCTGATGGATGTTTCTCTCTCTCTAAAATCGATATAACAAAAAGAAAGAAAAAGCCCGGCCGGCGTGGCTCAGTGGCTGAGCATGGACCTAAGAACCAGGAGGTTCCTGTTCGGTTCCCAGGAGTGGCACCTGCCAGAGTTTCAGGCTTGATCTGCAGTGTGGGGTGTGCAGGAGGGAGCTGATCAATGATTCTTTTTTTCTCATTGATGTTTCTATCTCCCTCTCCCTTCCCTTCCTTTCTGAAATCAATGAAAATATATTTTTTAAAAGAAAGAGAGAGAGAGGGAGGGAGACTGGTCCACAGGATTTGAGAGAGAGAGAGAGAGGAAGGAAGGAAGGAAGAAAGGAAGGAAAGGAGGGAGGGAGGGAGGGAGGGAGGGAGGGAGGGAGGGAGGGAGGGAGGGAGGGAGGAAGGGAAGAAGGAAGGAAGGAAGAAAGAAAGAAAGGGAGGGAGGGAGAAAGGGAGGGAGGGAGGAAGGGAGGGAGGGAGGAAGAGAGGGAGGGAAGAAGGAAAAAAAAGAAAGAAAGAAAGAAAGAAAGAAAGAAAGAAAGAAAGAAAGAAAGAAAGAAAGAAAGAAAGAAAAGAAAAGAAAGGGAAACTGGGCCACAGGATTTGCCCAGGAAGCACAGGCTGATCTGACCCTGACCTGTGACCTCTGACAAGGCCCTCTCCATCCCCCACCTCAGCATCCCCAGCATCAATACGAGGGGTTGGGATGAGGCATAACCTTCAAGAAACCTTTTGGAGTTCTAAGAAAAGTATTTGCTTAAAGCAAAGGCGGGGAGGGTCAGGGTTAAGCAAACATACTTGTGGCCTTGGGCAAGTTTCTTCAACTCTTGGAGCCCATAATTACTAGTAGAGCTAGATTTTACCATGCTCCAGGGAAATACAAAAACCTGACCTGGCCCTGGCTGTTGTTCTCAATGGTTAGAGCTGTGGCCTGAACACCTGTATTTTGGTCTAGAGCACATACCTGGGTTACAGGTTTGATTCCTGGCCCCAGGCCCTAGGCCCCAAGGGGGGGTGGGGGGGCAACCAATTGATCTATTGATCTCTCTCCACTTCCCCTTCACTCCCTCCCTTCCATTCTCTAATATATATATATATATATATATATATATATATATATATATATATATATATGATCTAGGAGAAGGCTTACCAACATGTTGTAAGATCTTGCTAATTAATACTATCAAAAACCTGGGGGTCGATGTGGATGTGGACAGAACGTTAGACCAGAAGAGAAGGAATGGGAGTTCAGATTGGGCTGGATTGACCCTATGGGCATCCTCGGTGGTTCTAGCTGCAGGGTGGCTGGCCAGGCCGCTGGGAGCGGTCCTTTTTGCTCCTGTGCTTGATGGAAACCTGGTTGCGACCAAGGGAGGCTGAAATGCCAAAACTCTCCTGGAGTGAGAGAGAGGAGGGAATCCAAAGAAACAGGCTGCACAGAGTGGGTTCATTCTGTCCCCAGTACCAAGCCTGATGGAAATGGTTTCAGTGATGTTTATTCAAGAGGGCTGGGCAGGTTTGGCCGCTGCCCTGAATCCCGCTTCTGGCTGAAACAAGGGTGAGGCCTGGAATTTCCTCACCCTTCGCCATTGCTGTCACTTCCCCTCCATTTCCTGTGTCTCTCAGTCAACACCTGCCCAACCCTCAGGAAACTGGGCCCAGGCATCCGGCTTCTGTTGGGGAGCAAGGCACCCCCCATGCCACAGGGCAGGCTGGAAGGTGAAGTCTGGTCCCTGGTCACCACTACCTGACTTTCCCTCCCTGGCGAGTCCTAGCTTTCACCTGCCTTTCTGGACCTAAATCTGGTCTCAGGAAAGAAGCAGAAACTCGTTCACACTGAGGTGTAAATGACTGAGCAAACAAATCCTCATCCCTCCCCTGGGCAAGAAATCATTTTATTTTATTTTTTTAATGAAATAATTCATATACTTTTTTTAAATAAACATATTAGGAAGTAAATGTTCTTTTTTTTATTACATATATTTTTATTGACTTTTTACAGAGAGGAAGAGGGAGAGATAGCCAGAAATGTCAATGAGAGAGAAACATCGACCAGCTGCCTCTTGCACACCCCCTACCGGGGATGTGCTCACAACCAACATGCCCTTGACCGGAATGGAACCTGGGACCTTTCAGTCCACAGACCGGCGCTCTACCACTGAGCCAAATCTGTTTCGGCAAGAAATCATTTTAAAAGCAACATTAGCCCTGGCAGGCTTGGCTCAGTGGTTAGAGCATGGGCCCACAGACTGAAGGGTTGCAGGTTCATTCCGGTCAAGGGCATGTATCTCAGTTGTAGGCTTGATCCCCAGCCGGAATTGGGATGCAGGAGGCAACCAGTCTATGTGCCTCTTTCCCATGTCTCTCTCTTTCTCTCTCTCTCTGTCTCTCTCTCTCTCTCCCCCCCACCTTCCACTCTCTAAAAATCAATTTAAAAAAATATCCACAGGTGAGGATTAACAACAAAAAAGACCACTGAGCACCTAGCACAAGCACGGCCCAGCATAACTGCTCAATAAACAAACGTCAGCTCTTCCGGGACATCGTCCTCAGTGCTGGTTGTTTGCTCTCAGCTGCTCCTGAGTAGGTCTGAGAAAGTGAATGACCAGAGGACTGACCGGAATGGAGCGGAACTGATAGATTAAATAGAGAAGGTAGACCGGAGACCGGGATGGCAGGACACAGGCTTTATTGGAGGGAAGGGTACCCTGCCGGCTGCTTCCACAGAGAGGTGCGGAAGAGAGCGAGCGAGGGGCTTACAAGCACCTTTAAGGATAGAGGGTGGGGCTTAGGGCACTCACCACACGCTGATTGATTAGGGACCTAGGGACTTAGGAATGGGGACTTAGGGTATTTGGCAGGTGCTGATTGGTGGTTCAGAGCTCAGGAATGTCTGGCCGCAGGTGGGGTTTATGTCTGTCCATCAATTGAGGGAAGGGAGGATCTATCAGGAACCTGTGCCAGTCCTTCCCGTTGGCCTCGATTTCTGCAGAAAGGCTGCTGGATCCTCGCTAAGGCTTCAGGCAAAGGACCCCAGAGAAGGGCAGTGGAGAATCCAAAGGAAAACTGCAGGTCCCGCCCTCCCACTGCCTCCCCTCTAAGTGTATGGGAATCTAGCCTCTCACAGGCATCGCAGACTGGACGTGTCCCCTCAAACTGCCGTCTCCTCCTCCCTCACATCAGGGAATGACAGCTGTCCTTCCAGCTGGAGCCCCTGGAGTCCTCCCTCACACCCACTGTCCGTCACACCTGTCAGCAAGTCTGGTTCAGAGACAGACCATCATCTCCCACCACCTCCGGCCCTGCACCCCGGGCTGAGCCGCCCTCCTCTCCTTCGATGGTGGCAACAGCCTCCCCTGGTCTGGCTGCTCTCCTTCCCCAGGGTGACCGGCCGTTCCCCTTTGCCCAGGACTGCAGGAGGGTCCCAGGCGCCACACTTTAAGTGGCAAAATTAGGAAAGTCCCAGGCAGACAGACACGAGTTGGTTCCCCTGCCTTCCGGTCATTACAGCCTCTCCTCAGCAGAGCAGCCCAAAGCTCCTTTTATTTATTATTTTTAAAAAATATATTTTATTGACTTTTTTACAGAGAAAAAGGGAGAGAAATAGCTAGAAACATCGATCAGCTGCCTCCTGCACACCCCCCACCGGGGACATGCCTGCAACCAATGCACATGGCCTTGACCGGAATCGAACCTGGGACCTTTCAGTCTGCAGACCAACAATTTATCCACTGAGCCAAACCGGTTCGGCCCAAGGCTCCTTTTAAAGGTTTACATGTCAGATCACATCACAGCTCTGCCTGAAACCCTCTAATGGTGTCCCACTTCCCTCTGACTCCTTCAATGGTCTGCAAATTTATACACGAGCTGGTGCCAACCCTCACCCCACCCCCTGGTTCCCTGACCTCATCTCTCCCACCTTCCCTGGTCCACGCTGCTCCGGCCACGCTGGCTTCCTTGCTCATCCTCACGCACATCACCTGCATGTTCAGCTCGGGGCCTGTGCCCTGTCCATCCTCTTACTGGAATGTTCTTTTCCCCATGTCCACATGGCTCTTTCTCTCACTCATTTGAGCGTCAGGTGTCTGCCCAAATGCCACTTTAGTAGGCAGCTCTGCTCTGGCCACCCCGCAAGGACCCCCTTTCTCCTGCGGTGTTACTTCCCATCACCCTTGTTACCTGCGGGAACGCTGTGCAGGGACCCGTGTCTTTTGGGTTGTTTCTTTCCAGGTGAAGGGATGCTTGTGGGGACTGGGGCTTTGCTTATTTTCCTTTCTTTCCCGGGTCCTGGAATAGCTCCTGGAGCATGGCAGCCCTCAACCAACATCTGTTCAGTGAGTTCACCATCTCCTGCCACCTTCCTCCTCTACCAGCAGGCAGGTCTGATGTCTCCACTTTACCTCTTAGCAAGGCTGGTGTCCCTCCCCTGGCCAGCGGTCACCTCCACTTACAACATTGAGGCTCAAACAGCACCCCCACCGCCTCCTAACTCTCTGAAGGCCTCCCTGCCCAGCTATTTTTAGCTGCACCTCCAGCTTTCTGAGCTGCTTACAGCAACTCTGATCCTGATAAGACAGGCCAGTAAGCCTGGACACGTGAAACAGGGAAACAGAAGACAGTGAGACAGCAGCACACTGCCATCTAGAAAACCTACATGCAGAGGAGTCTGCAGCCATTTAGTAACTCCTATCTCCCCAAACCAAAGACACTGAAGAAGAAATGATTGGCCCTTCCCTCCCCACCCAGAGGGTGAATAGCTTAAATCACCCTCCTCAGGGAGACACAACAGAAATCCCGTCAGTGCCACTTGCCAACCATACCTCGGTGCAGATAAAGTTAAGAGAATAAACTTCATTCGGGTACATCAGCATAAGACCCCCCTCAATGCCCAGCCTGTAGAACCCCCCAAAACGAAGGTCCTGCACCAGCTTTCCCTCCCAGGAGCACCCTGAGCCTCCCCCTCGTCCCTCTCTCCACAGGCATGCATCTCCTCACCGGGAAGGGACCCCGAGAGGCTTGCAGCCAGGGCAGCAGCCATTCGTCCCAGACAAACCTCCCGAACCTGTGCCCAAGGCCCCTTTTCTCGGACTTCTTAGTAAGCCAAAGCAGGCCAGCCTAGGCTGGTTTCCCCAGCCCTTCCTTGTTTCATTGTCCGCAGCTTCAATAAACATCCTCTAACACTCACTTGAACTCGGGCTGTGACATTTTTCCTGCAGGAAGTCAGAAACCCACACTACTGCTGGCCCATGGTGGGCCCCCTCTGGGCCAGGTCCCCTTCCCCGGAAACACTGAGATCACAGAAGACATCAAAGGCATTTGCAGAGCCTACCTGATCCAGCCCTGGCCACTCCCCAGTGGGCCAGGAACACCAGCAGCCGGAGCAGGCTCATCCTTGGGGCTTGCGTCACAGAGAACGTGGGGTTTTCCAGGAGCTGTTGTTCCAGCCAAAGGCTTTCTAAATGGCAATGGTGGCTGCTCGCCTGAGCAGAGCTTCCTATCCTGTTACCTGGTGGTTCCAATCATCAAAAGCTCCTCTGGCTTTTCCTCCTTTGCCCAGCAGGGTGTGAACTGGGTTAGAAAGCAGCACCCGTCCCACAGTTATAGGCCAGTAGGAAGCTCGGAAAATTCCAGGACAAGTGGAATAGGGAAGCTAAGGCAGATGGTTAAATAGCAGCTTGCAGCCACCAATCAAGTCCTTTCTTCCCTAAACCAAGGACACTTAAGAGATAATGGTTTGCCCACCTTCCAGAACTGAAATATCATTGCTGACATGTACACATAAGGAAACGTTTGACCTTGAAATTGGGTCTCAAAAGAACTGTTGGCCCAGAAAGAAACTCTCTACAGACGATTCATATGCCTTTCAGCATACCGATTATTGCTTGTCTCATTTTTTATGCTTATATTAATTTCCAGTAGGACATGATCTCACTCATCTAGGGGAAATGGTGAACAACACAGACTGGTGAACAAGAACAGACCCAGAGATAAGGAGCCATGGGTCAGACTGTTGGACCTCAAAGGGAGGGTGGGGTAAGGGGGAGAGATCAACCAAAGGACTTATGTGCACAGATATGAGCCTAACCAGTGGTCGAGGACAATGGGGGGGTGGGGGACATGAGTGAGGGAGGGATTGGAAAGGGGGGTTGAGGACAAATACATGTTACCTTAATCAATAAAGAAATTTAAAAAAAACACACAAAAACAAACAAAGAAAAGAGATAATGGTTTGCGCTTCTCCCCAACCAGAGGGTAAATAGCTTAAATCACCCTCAGGGAGACAGAGAGTGCCATTTGCTAACCACACCCAAGGATAAACAACTTAAGATAATAAATCTCATCTTGGTACATCAGCATAAAGCTGATAAATATTTTATCGGTCCTCCCCCAAAACCTAAATGCCCCGCCTTTAGAACCCCTCAAAATGCAGGTCCCAGGGTGCTCACCCTCCAAGGAGCATGCCCAAGCCCCTCCTGTCCCTTTCTCCTCCCCCCCACAGGCACTTATCTCCTAAACTCCGAGGACCCCATGAGACTTGCAACCAGGGGAGCTACAGGCAACCGCAGCGCATCCTGGGTAATCCCACAAAGCCTACCTCTCGGTGCCTGAGATCCCTGCTTCCCCGGGGAATCTTTGTCCTACCTTACATATGCAGCTGGGTTATGGGGGCTGCAGAGCAGATTAGCTGCTCCCCCATACTGCCAGCAGTTTTGAAGTAAACGCTCATCTATGATTCAACCCTGTAGCGACAGGCAGCCTGGATCCACTGGCTGTTTGGTTCCACCTCACCTTGACCTCTTTATTTATAGGTCAACGCTCAACCACTGAGCCACACTAATGGGCTCTACATTCTTCCTTGTTTCACATCCTACATGTGTTTTCTGCTGCAGTCAATGAATTCTTGCTTGCTTTTCTACACTTTGTCTCTTGATTGAAATCTTTCCTTGGAGAAGACAAGAACCGAGGTCCCCTTGTCTCATCCATAACACCGCCAGATCCTCAGAGCAGTTAGTCCAGCCAGTAACTGGCTTCTTTAAAAAAAAAAAAAAAATTATTTTAAAAATATATTTTATTGATTTTTTACAGAGAGGAAGGGAAAGAGATAGAGAGCTAGAAACGCCGATGAGAGAGAAACATCGACCAGCTGCCTCCTGCACACCCCCCCACTGGGGATGTGCCCGCAACCAATGTACATGCCCTTGACCAGAATCGAACCTGGGACCCTTCAGTCCGCAGGCCGACGCTCTACCACTGAGCCAAACCGGTTTCGGCAGCAATTGGCTTCTTGAGGGAACTCACCTAACCCTGTCACTGAGAGGCAAATTCACAAGCTTTTGGAGAACAAACAAACCTGTATATCATAGCTGGTCTTTGCCATCGAAAAAACTTCACTGTTAGTTGAGGATAAAGCCGCTCATTCACAAATGAATCAAGACTATGAGTTATCCATTCACTCATGCTGGGAACCATGTCCCAGGGAGACGGAGGGGACCCAGGGCAGTCCCTGCCCTCAAGATTGTTGGGGGGACCAAAACCCGTTTGGCTCAGTGGATAGAGCGTCGGCCTGCGGACTGAAAGGTCCCAGGTTTGATTCTGGTCTAGGGCATGTACCTTGGTTGCGGGCACATCTCCAGTAGGGGGTGTGCAGGAGGCAGCTGGTCGATGTTTCTAACTCTCTCTTTCGCTTCCTCTCTGTAAAAAATAAATAAATAAAATATATTTTTTAAAAATAAAAATTAAAAATAAATAAATAAATAAATAAATAAATAAATAAAGGGTATTATTGCTCCTCTTTTCAGTCCTGATAATAGCCTAGAGAGGGAAATGGAACACTTCTTGAAAACCACTGTGACTGGAAGACTGCAACTTGACAAAAATAAACCTTGAGAGATTAATGCATTTAACACATACAGAAATACTAATTATTTTAGCATTGAGAACTGAGCCCTCTATTCAATTTGTCAGATCAGCGAGCTCTTGAAAAAATGTGCAAAAGTTGTATTCTGATGGTTGCATTGTGTTATATTTTAATCTAAGACATTTCATTTTTATTTTTTTATTTTTTTAATATATTTATTGATTTTTGTACAGAGAGGAAGGGAGAGAGAGAGAGAGTTAGAAACATCTATGAGAGAGAGTCATCGGTCAGCCGCCTCCTGCATACCCCCTACTGGGGATATGTCCGCAACCAAGGTACATGCCTTTGACCGGAATCGAACCCGGGTCCCTTCAGTCCCCAAGCCGACGCTCTATCCACTGAGCCAAACCGGTTTCGGCAAACATTTCATTTTTAAATGTATAACCTTCACAGCTGAATTTATAACTAATTAAACCCCAAATGAAGCCCATTAACTAAGGTGACCAGACATTCTGCTTTTGGCGCGACAGTCCCGATTTTTAACAATTTTTTAAAAAATGCAGCAGGACGCGGGACAAATTGTTAAAAATTGGGACTGTCCCGGCAAAAGTGAGATGTCTGGTCACCTTAACTTAGGTGGTACAGAAACAATTAACATGATAATGAAGGAATTTGAGGCATGTGTCCTGGCATCCACCACATCTGGTTGTGCCCCAGGGGCTCCAGAAAAAAGGGAAGTTACAAGTTACCCAGACATCTCATAGATATGTTATCTTAGAGGAAAAAAGGCAAATGGGCTCAGTAAATGAGATCTAAATTGATCTTTGTCAGGGAAAATATCGGCCTAGGACATGACTACCCACTATAAACTGTTTGTAGTTAAATATTTAATTTTCAAACCATCTTTTGTGGCCTTTTTAGGTCTCTGAATTTGCAAGATTGCCACCCAGGCCTCCCCTGAGCTTATTAGGTGAGCATGTGGCTCTTTTTGTCCACAAACTGATAGACATGTTCCACTCTCTACAGGAGGAACATACTCATATTTAGAATATTTGAAGCAACTAAGGATGTGGAGCTGGATTAGACTGGAGTGAGGATGGGTGTCGGGAGTGCAATCCTCAGAGTGTTTTGAAGGCCATCCTGGGGGAAAGTGTAGGGGTTTGTTTTGTTTTGTTTTTTATAGCTTCCCTGGGTAGAATTAGAAAAAGGGGTAGCAATACAAGAAGGGAATTTGGCTCTTTGTTTTCAAGATTATGCAGTTGATAAAGTGCTGTGAAACCAGGACTGTGTGTTTCCTGTAAGCACATATCCTGGGGAACTGCAATGTGCAGACTCTGAAGCGGGAATTCTACTTTAGCGCTTTATTTATTTATTTTTTTAAATATGTTTTACTGAATTTTAGAGCGTGAGGAAGAGAGAAACATCAATTATGAGACTCATTGATCAACTGACTCCTGCACGCCTCCTACTGGGGGATGAACCCGCAACCGGGAGCAGGGAATCAAACGGTGTCCTCTTGGTTCCTGGGTCCATGCTCATTGGTTTAACCACACAGGCCGGGCTCTACTGTAGCGCTTTAGATTGAAGCGTCGTGTGATTGGTGAAAATTCGGGCGGGAACCGAGGAAAACGCCAAACAAAGGAAGTGACGTCAGCGTCGCTTACGGATGGGGGTGGGATCATAGGGGGCTTGAGATCCGGAATTATAATTGGATTGGTTATTTTTCTGAGACGCCCGCAGCCTTCACACAGATCCTCGCTTCCGCCGACGCAGCGTGCGTGCCCTTCGTAAAGATGGCCGCGGCGGCTTCCGGTCCTTCTTGGAACGGCGCGCGCGCGACTTCGAAAGCGAGGCCAGCAAATACCGGAAATGGCGTAGGATTCACGTGCATTGATTGGATGACGCGAGAAGCGTTCTGGACAGTGATTGGCTCCGCCGTTCGCGGGAAGGCGTTTGTGGCGCCCGGGAAAAGTGTAGTGCTGCGACAGCAACTAGGTTCTGAGGCGCCCGGCGAACCCGGTGGACCGGAGCCTTCCGGACGTCTTTCCTGAGGGGATCGTGACCACGATGTGGAATAGTAATGACCCATGTGGCGGAGGATGGAATAGCGAGGATTTCGCCCAGAGCGCGGGGGTCGGAGAGGCTGGGGTGGCGGAGGGGGAGGGGCGGGAGCCGGAGCTGGGCGATCGGGGGCCGCGGCAGGTGGTGGGGAAGCGTAGGGACACGCTGGGAGGGTTCGGGTGCGGGAGCGAAGGGGGAGGGCACCTGTGGGCTTTCAGAAGCTCGGGAAGTTGCTCAGATGCTAACTCGGTTGTTATTTAAAACCAGGTGGATTTGAGAGCTATGGCAGCTCCACCTTTGGGGGAGCCGGTGGCTACACGCAGTCCCCCGGGGGCTTTGGATCGCCGACACCTTCTCAGGCCGAGAGGAAATCAGTACGTTGGAAGAGTGTTTCTTTTTTCTTTTCTTTTTTTAAAGTTTTATTGATTATGGTACCACATAATTGTCCTCATCCCCCCATTCCACCCCAAACCCCTCCCCACATATGCCCCCCCCCCGTTGTCCATGGCCACTGGCCAGGCCCATATGCCCGCACACAAGTCCTTTGGTTGATCTCTCCCCCTTACCCTCCCCTCCCCTCCCCTCCTTTCCTCTGAGGTTTGAGAGAAGAGTGTTTCTTATGTGCTCTGTCCTGAAGCTCGTGGCTCATCCCCGTGGGAACATGTCTGCGAGAAGGAAGGGTGCAAACATGAACTGAATTGATAACTATGATATTGTCTTACCGAATCTCCTGATTAAGTGCTGTCCGTTTGGGGGAAAAAAAAAAAAAAAAGGAATCTCCTCAAACATTGCACCCACTGTTTCCTTGGCTTTCTTTTGAAATTTACTGATGTGGCCAGTGCCTTGTGGGAAAACCGAACTCGTATTATTAGCCTATTTTACGTTCTTTCTGTATTCCGAGTCCTTTTTAAGTTAGAAGTGATAAAATACGGGGGAAAGAGCAAGGTCTTTGAAGTCCATGAGTCTGTTCGCTATTGGCAGAGTGTCATTGAACACATTTCTTTTTTTAAGATATTTTATTTATTTATTTATTTATTTATTTAAAATATATTTTATTGATTTTTTACAGAGAGGAAGGGAGAGAGATAGAGAGTTAGAAACATCGATGAGAGAGAGTCATCGATCAGCTGCCTCTTGCATACCCCCTACCGGGGATATGCCCATAACCAAGGTTACATGCCCTTGACCGGAATCGAACCCGGGACCCTTCAGTCCCCAAGCCGACGCTCTATCCATTGAGCCAAACCGGTCTCGGCTAAGATATTTTATTGATTTTAGAGAGGAAGAGAGAGAGATAGAAACATCAATGATGACCGAAACCGGTTTGGCTCAGTGGCTAGAGCATCAGCCTGTGGACTGAAAGGTCCCAGGTTCGATTCTGGTCAAGGGCATGTATTTCTCTCCCCCCCACCCCCAAGTCCACAGCTGATGCTCTATTTATTGAGCCAAACCAGCAAGGGCTCGAACAGATTTCTTCACCACCTTCATAACCCGTGCCTCACCAGGTTCTTGTGGGACCATATTAGCATATAGATGCACTGCCTGCCCCACAGCCCCTGCAGTCAGTGGCCCCGCGTGTTATTGAAAAAGCCTGAGCGCGGGCCATGATGCACAGCGCCCCGACCAACGGCCCTTTAACTGGCAGTGGGGGGGGGGGGGGCAGCCGCTCGCACCGGGTGTCCGCGGCCCCGTTTCTCCGTCTGATAATGGTACTAGCCCTTCTCATCCCACGGGGAATGGGTGAATAAGCTAAGGTGTAAGGAGGGGATCGGTAAAAAGCGCGGTCCACGCGCTGGTTATGTCCTCTTTGGGGAAAAGAGTTTGCGTTTAACCACTGGGTTAACGTGGCCTCTCGAGGTGCCGTTCAGGTGTGGTGGTAAGATTCAGAGTTCGCAGGTTCTGTGTGTTGCGTTCAGGTTGGTAAGCTTTTACCTAAACTGTTGGTTTTGGAGTGGGTGTTGGTGAGGAAGAATGAATGGATTGATAGTTCTCATGCATTTGGACGTTGCTTTATGTTTTTCATATAATTCTATAAGGTATTTGTTGCTTACTCCCTTGTACAACAGAGTATGGGAGCTTAAGGGACTCCCTAAGCTGACGCAGTAAGTAACTGGAACCAGACAACACACACACACACACACACACACACACACGCACACGAAAATCCAAAATCTGGTAAACAGCTTCTTTTTGTGGTAGTTTTTTGTTGTTTTTGTTTTTGTTTTTTTATGGGGAAAGACCAGAGAGGACTCCAATTATCTAATTGTTTTCTTCTGTGAAACTTTGAAGGTGAAAACAGAAGCTAGATAAATGGTTCTCATCTCTTCTCCCTAAGTTTAACTATTTTTTTCTTCATTCCAGTTGTCAGAATTTGTACCTCAGGATTCCTAGCGTGGGCTGTGTTTTGAAACAGCTTTTCAGAGAAGGATGATGGTTATAAGCTGAAGACTGAAACCTGAGTCTTTTTGTGTTTCAAATCCAATGCCTTTTTCACAGTAAATTAGATTTAAATGTTTCCTATTGACTGTAAACCCATTATGTTTTATTGAACCATGTGAAGTTTCCAATGTTTTATCCATAAAAATGGTGGTTTCATACAGTACTTAAAATTATGGTTCATAGCTAGAAAGTTATATTTTCAAAATTGAACATACTTGTGCCTGGTTGCACTCTCTGAATCTTTTTGGAACAAATCAGGCACTCTGCAATCGGTTCTGGCACACAATAGGTGCTCATTAAAAAGCAGGCTACAAGTGATTTTTTATGTTATTAAGACTATGGGATACACCCATAGCCTTTAGGTAGGAAATTCCAATAACAGAAATTTACAGAAGACAAAGAGGTGGAGGCTGCTTTAGCTAACAATGTTTCAACTAAACAGTGAGTGATTAGCTCTGACCTTTCACAGCAATTAAGGTTGTAGACCAGCCTTCTGGGTTTCCTGTCCACATCTTTCTGTTAGTGAGACAATGATCGGTTTCAGCTATAGTGGTGTGTCCTGGGCCTGGAGCTGGGATTTGAACACAGATCTGTAGTACTGTCTGGCTCCAAAACCCATGTTCTTGCTGCTGTTACTACAGTGATTTTTAATTTTTTTATGCTGCAGATACAATAAAACTCTCAGTTGTGAGAGCCTGGGACCTCAGCAAATTTTAAATCTATAAATTCTAATATAGCACATAACTTCACCTATAAAATACCATAAAGTAAACTTTAAAAAATATAGTCGATCCCTTCACATCCTTATTAAAAACTATTTCAAATATAAAGAGTGAGGAACAATAGCTGACACAATAATTGCTGACATTTATTGAGTATGCCTACATGTACCAGGTAATATTGTAGGTTCTTCACCATATATTTAATTTTCATAATGATTTTGTTATTCCTAGTTTTATAGATGAGGTGACTGAGGTACAGATGAGTTGAGAAATGTGACCAAACACACACTGTTCCTAAGTGGTAGAGCCAAACTCTTATCCCTCAAATGCTGTTTTTTGTGGTATATGTTCTCGTGGTTGGCTGGGCTTATTTGCTACCAGCTTGCTAATACCATTCAAAACTATGCTTCAGCACAGTGAAATGTTGCTAGTGTCATGGATCTTCGGGGTAAAGCTGGCAGCTGCTAAAGTCTACTATGTTTGGTCTTGCATGTAGAACAGTTGTCAGGTTGCTCCCTGTTGATTTCTGACAGGGAGAAGTCTAATCTTTAATCCACTATGCTTTTTTGTTTTGTAAATTACCTCTATGATTCTGTGGAAGTGCATATTTGTCCTCAGTTTGTAATGCTCATTCCTCATCCATTATTTTTTCACTATCAAAATGGTCATGCTTCAGTCCTAGCCAGTTTGGCTCAGTGGATAGAGCATCAGCCTGCAGACCAAAGGATCCTGGATTCTATTCTGGTCAAGGGCATGTACCTTAGTTGCAGGCTCCTCCCTGGCTCAAGGCACGTGCAGGAGGCAACCAGTCAATGTGTTTTTCTCACATCGATCTTTCTGTCTTTTCCTCTCTCTTCCACTCTCCCCAAAAATCAATGGAAAAATATCCTTGGGTGAGAATTAACAACAATAAAAATTTTGGGGTTTTAGGGTTCAGCCTAAAATGCTCCCTCGTGAAATCACCAATAATTTTTTTTTATATCATATTAGTGCATCTTAATCGGTAGTGTATCAAGGTCAAGTTTGTTATTTGCATTTTTAAAAAATATATACTATATTGATTTTTCACAGAGAGGAAGGGAGAGGAATAGAGAGCTAGAAACATTGACGAGCTGCCTCCCGCACACCCCTTACTAGGAATGTGCCTGCAGCCAATGTACATGCCCTTGACCGGAATCGAACCTGGGACCCTTTAGTCCGCGCATCAACGCTCTATCCACTGAGCCAAACAGGTTTTGGATGTTATTTGCATTTTTATCTCCCCTGGGTTTGTAGTGTGTTAAGGGCAAACAATATTCATCTTTATGTGACCCAGACAATTCCTGGCCAGTTGTAGAAAAAATAAGTCTATACTATTGTTAGACTTATTCAGGATGTGATTTGAGTGTTCTTACTAGGCACTCTTCTGCCTATCACATCCTGTCCCTTCTCTTGAAGATGTCTAGGATAGCCAAGCTCTTACCCAGTTTTCCCCAGGACTTCCATCTGATTGTCAGAACATCTGTCCTAAAGGAAGTCATACATTAAGAGTTTGTTTGGAGGTTCTAGCAGGGGAGCGCAGCTACTCGAATACCCTTGACCGAAGACGGTCCTCTCCGCTTCGTCCTCTTTGAGTGCGCAGCTTCTGGAGGGACGCACATGGATCGGTGAGGGAGGAGGGGGACACCCGCCTAGCCAGCCAGATCAGCCGAATCGGCCCTGGCATGACAGATGTGCGTCACCCTCACATCCTATATTAAGAGATTTAAAGCAAACTCTGGCTGGTTTGGTTAACTGATTGATTAACATGTCAGCTCATGGACCAAAGGGTCACAGTCAAGGGCAACATGTACCTCTTTTGCGGCTTCATTCCCTGCCCCCAGTCAGGGTATTTGATGGAGGCAATCAGTCAATGTGTCTCACATCAATGTTTCTCTTTCTCTCCCCTTCTTCCTTCCTATCATTCTCTCTAAAAGTCAATGGGAAAAATATCCTTGGTTGAGGATTTTAAAAAAGAGTGAAAGCCAGAACCAGTTTGGCTCAGTGGATAGAGTGTCGGCCTGCGAACTGAGGGGTCCCCAGGTTCGATTCCGGTCAAGCGCATGTACCTTGGTTGCAGGCACATCCCCAGTAGGGGGTGTGCAGGAGGCAGCTGATTGATGTTTCTTTCTCATAGATGTTTCTTACTCTCTATCCCTCTCTCTTCCTCTCTGTGAAAAACCAATAAAATATATTTGAAAAAATAAATAAATAAAAAGAGTGAAAGATTTAGAGCAAGTCCAAAGTTCTATCTCTACTGGCCATTTCTCAAACCCTTTCCAAATATTATACCATCTCATCTTATCAGTGATGAACAGCTAGCTCCATCAGCTTAAAGCTGGGGTTTCCTCTTAAAAGTTTGTTCAGGAATCAGGTCATTCCTATGCTGTCCCCCCTCTGGTTCACTCATTTTGGTGAATCTCTAGTGCAATATAACTTAGCCATTCTCTAGGATCTTTGGAGTCATGCAAACCTGGGTTTGAATTCTAAAGTGTGGCATTTGTTAGTTATATGACCTTGGTTTCCATCTGAAATGCAGATAATGAGGCTTGTTTTATCCAATCCTCCTATATAATAAAAGGCTAATATGCAAATTGGCCAAATGGTGGAACAACTGGTCGCTATGATGTGCACTGATCATCAGGGTGCATACACTCAATGCAGGCGCTGCCCCCTGGTGATCAGTGCACTCCCACAGGGGGAGCACTGCTTAGCCACATGGGCTCATGGCTGGTGAGTGCAACAGCAGTGGCAGGAGCCTCTCCCGCCTCCAAGGCACTCACTGCGAGAGGGCACAGGCAAACTGATGGACACACACACACACCCTCCCCAGAGTGCACAAACTTCATGCACTGGGCCTCTAGTGTTATATGCAAAGTGCTTGGCACATGTAGCGGGTATTAAAAGAGTAGTTATTTCAATTGACTTTGTACATGCTTTCTTTCAGAGAGCCCGAGCCCAACATATTGTACCCTGTACCATATCTCAGCTGCTTTCTGCCACTCTGGTTGATGAAGTGTTCAGAATTGGAAGTGTTGAGATATCACAGGTATGAATAATGAAATAAAAATTATTTCTTTTAAAAATACATAAATGTTGCTTTTGTTTCAAAGAAAACCAAACTTTTTTTTCTTCTGATCTAGGTCACTATTGTGGGAATAATCAGACATGCAGAGAAGGCTCCAACCAACATTGTTTACAAAATAGATGACATGACAGCTGCACCCATGGATGTTCGCCAGTGGGTTGACACAGATGTAAGCGGTTTTTAAATCAGGGTGGGGTTACTTTGGGACTTTGGAGTTGTTGGATTTCTTTAGTCTTTTGGGAGATTCTTATTATAAAAATCTATATTTATAAAAGGCTAAATGTCCATCTATCCAACCAGTAGCTATGATGTATATTGACCACCAGGGGGCAGGCGCTCAATGCAGGAGCTGCCATAATGTGCACTGACCATTTAAAAATAAACAGCACCATGGACCTGGCACCGACAAACCAACACTTGGCTTCCCCCAAGTGGGACACGGGCCCCACCCACCACGATCCCAGAGCAATACCCCACCAAATCGCGGCCAACACTGCCAAGATCCTCTGGTGCAAAATGTGGCCCACAGCCCAGCCCCACGCAGAAATGGTTGCTGTGGATGCTGAGTGATGCTATCACATAGCTTGATCTCCCTAGCCACTAGCCTCCTTGGAGTTTCTTCAGGCCGGGAATCCAACTTGCTTTATAGCCAGGTATAAACATTTTACAGTGGATAACCAGATGTTTGTGAAGCATTTCCCCATGCCTCATCTCATTTGATCCTCTCAGAGTAGATAGATATGAGACTCGGTAGAATCTTATTTTCTTTTTGTTAGCAGGATGCGAATAGTGATATTAAAATATTTATTCTAATTAACTTCTTTTTAATGTGCACAAATCCGTGCACTGGGATACTAGTAATGCATAAGACATCAAAGGCAAAATCCTTAAAATAAAAGGTTAATATATTTTGATTCGTAAAACTTTAAAACCTCCTAACTTTTCAAATACTATAAACAAGTAAAAAAGGCAAAAGAAAGGCCCTGGCTAGTTTGGCTCAGTGAATAGAGCATCGGCCTGAGGACTGGGGGCGTCCCAGGTTCGATTCCGGTCAAGGGCATGTACCTTTGGTTGCAGGCACATCTCCAGTAGGAGGTGTGCAAGAGGCGGCTGATCGATGATTCATTGATGTTTCAGACTCTATCCCTCTCCCTTCCTCTTTGTAAAAAATCAATAAGATATATTTTTTTAAAAAAGGGGACAAAAGACAGACATTAGAGAACGGGATTTTTATATTGGCATTGTATCCCCAGCACCTAAACCAATACCAGTTACATAGTGGGCCCTAAGTAAATATTATTTAAATAAATGGGGAAATTTTTGCACATATTATAAACATCAAATTTTTTATTTGATAAAAGCTCTTACAAAGAACCAATTGCATTTTAGAGAAATGGGCAAGGAAAATACACATATTTTATTACAGATGAAATATAAATTGCAACAATAATAATCAAGTTTGATAGACATTAAGATATCATTTTTAACATAATAAATTGACAAAGAAAAAAAAGAATGTCATTGCCTACTTGAGATGAGAGCAGTAGTTAGCATAGTGTCCCTAGTACTTAGTAAGCACTTCATTAATTAATGATTTGTCACTGTTTATTTGGGGAAGTGAGTATACCTACTCCGATGGTATAAATAAACTAAGAGGCCAGATTATTATGATCTCTGAACGCAGGTGCATGAATTTGTGTATGGGTGGGGTCCAGCCAGCCTGGTCACGGGGAGGGAACATAGGAGGTTGGCTGGCCTGCCTGCTGGTTGAATTCCTGGTCTAGGGGACAATTTGCATTTTATATAGGATATATACTGAGTGGCCAGATTATTATGCATTCAGAGATCATAATAATCTGGCCACTCAGTGTATAAACTGATAAAACTTTTCTCAAAAATCAACTGATGATCCCTAACCTTTTGGCTCAGTGGATAGAGCGTTAGCCCCCAGGCGGACTCAAGGGTCCTAGGTTCAATTCCAGTCAAGGGCATGTACCTTGGTTGTGGGCACATTCCCAGTAGGGAGTGTACAAGAGGCAGCTGATCCATGTTTCTCTCTCATCGATGTTTCTAACTCTATCCCTCTCTCTTCCTCTCTGTAAAAAATCAATAAAATATATTTAAAATAAAAGACATTTGTTAAAAAAAAAAAAAAAAATCAGCTGATGATGGGATTGCCCTAGCCAGTTTGGCAGTGGATAAGAGTGTCAGCCTGCAGACTAAAGGGTCCCCAGGTCCGCTTCTGGTCAAGGCAAGGACATATGCCTGGGTTGCAGGCACAATCCTCAGTAGTGGGGCATGCAGGAGACAGCCAATCAATGATTCTTTCTCATCGTTGATGTTTCTATCTCTCTTCCTTTCCTTCCCTTCCCTTCCCTTTCCTTTCTGAAATCAATAAAAATATATTTTTCTTAAGAAATCAGCTAATGATCAAAATCATCCTTCATAAAAATGTTGACTTTATACTCCTATCTATGCTTAAGGTTTACATTAAGGAAATAATGAAATACATGTGCAGTTGTAAGAATGTTAATCATATCATTATTTATAATAAAAAAGCAATCTCAAAATATTAACAATAGAGTATTTTTCATTAAACCATGGTATATTTATAAAATATTCCAAATGATGTAGAAAAGTATGAATTGTCACAAAAAAGTGTTTACCATAAATTGTTGAGAGGAAAATAGCATGCTATATGATAGTGTGCATTGTATGTCCCCATTTTTGCAAAGAAAAACGTGTATGGAGAAAATAGACTGAAAGAAAATACATGTTTTTTAATTTTTTAATTAGGCAGAGGCTTTTTAAAATTTTTATAAAATTTATTTCAGAGAGGAAGGGAGAGAAACATCAATGATGAGAGAGAATCGTTGATCAGCTGCCTCCTGCACACCCCCTACTGGGGACTGAGCCCACAACCTAGGCATGTGCTCTTGACTGGTAGATAAAAGAGACTTGGTCTCGAACCCAGGACACTTCAGTCCACAGGCCAATGCTCTAGCCACTGAGCCAAACCAGCTAGGGCTTGATTTTTACATTTGGATTTTTTTTGTTGTTGTTGTTTTTTAAAATATATTATTGATTTCAGAGATGGAGGGAGAGGGAGAAAGAGATAAATACATCAATGATGACAGAATCATTTATCAGCTGCCTTCTGCACTCCCCACACTGGGGATGGAGCCTGCAACCTGGGATTGTGTCCTGACCTGAATTAAACTATGACTTCCTAGTTCATAGGTCAATGCTCAACCACTGGGCTACATGGCCCTGGCGATTTTCTAGGTGTTTTTTTTTTTTTCTTTCTAGTTTTTTATAGTCATGTATTTTATAATCATAAAAATCTTATGAATCAGCTTATATTCTTTTCTTATAAATAAATAATGTGTACATATTCTAGAAAACCCCAATTATCCCAGTTAACCATTGTTCACATTTTAGTGTGTATTTCCCCCCTCTTGGGGAATCACCTTTTTTTTCTTTTCTTTTTTTAATACATATATTTTATTGATTTTTTTACAGAGAGGAAGGGAGAGAGAGAGAGAGCTAGAAACGTTGATGAGAGAGAAACATCAACCAGCTGCCTCTTGCACACCCCCTACTGGGGATGTGCCCGCAACCAATGTACATGCCCTTGACCGGAATCGAACCTGGGACCTTTCAGTCCGCAGATCGATGCTCTACCACTGAGCCAAACCGGCTTTGGCTTGGGGAATCACCTTTCTAACTTGTTTTCCCAGTTAATAGAATTCTACATTGTATGAATGTGTTCTTGTTGTTGGATATTTAGGCTGTTTTAAAATTTTCAATATTGTAATCTATGTTATAAATATTCCTAAAGCTAAATCTATGCATGTTCTTCATTATTTCATTTAATTCCTAAAAGTAGAAACTCTATGCCAATAAGTATGTCCACTATCCACCAGAAAGTTGTGTGCCTAAGAGCATTGAATGAGAGTACCAGCCTTGTTTGCTTTTTTATGATGTACATAACAGAACTTTGGAACAGGAAATTACCTTTAGAGATGTTTATTCTAATTCCTGTTTTTACAAAACAGTTAATTCTAATAGGTAGGTTAAATTAGTTAGCGATATATTAGGATCCTGTAGCTTTATAACTTTTTGTTTCTATACATAATTTAGAGATTTTAAAGAAGCTTTTACCAATATCACTAAAATCTTAGTAATGTGTTTGTATTTTTATCTGTTAGGATGCCAGTGGTGAAAACACTGTGGTTCCTCCAGAAACGTATGTGAAAGTGGCTGGCCATCTGAGATCTTTTCAGGTAAAGTCAGAAAAAATGACTGTTAAAATGTATTTGCATGGGCCCTGGCTGGGAAGATTAGTTGGTTAGAGTGTTGTCCTGATATGCTAAGATTGCATATCAGGACAACACTCTTTTACCAATTAGGGGCAGGTTTGATACCCCTTAAAAATAAAAAATAAATTTTTAAATGTATTTGCATGCCAACAATTTCTAGATTCATGTCTGCATTTAGGATTTTTTAAAAAAATATATTTTATTGATTTTGTACAGAGAGGAAGGGAGAGAGATACAGAGTTAGAAACATCGATGAGAAAGAGTCATTGATCAGCTGCCTCTTGCACACCCCCTACTGGGGATATGCCCGCAACCAAGGTACATGCCCTTAACCGGAATCGAACCCAGAACCTTTCAGTCCCCACGCCGACGCTCTATCCATTGAGCCAAACTGGTTTCGGCTACATTTAGGATTCTTAAAACTTAAGTCTTTGTGCTTAATAAGAATTATATTGAAGTTATTTTATTATTCTCTTCTTTAAAAGGAAATAATGGATTTTTACCTTAATATAAAACTAGCAGAATGGTAGAGAAAGAACAGGATCTTCGCCTGCAATTGCCATCTGTGGCATCCATTAGGCCTACATGGGTGGGCACTGGATTTAGAATCAGGATCTTAGGTTCAGCTTGGTATGAAACCTTGGGAAGTCATTGAACATCTCTGAGATAGTTTAGTTGTTTTTTTATATATATTAGAGGCCCGGTGCATGAAATTCGTGCATTGAGGGTGTGTCCCTCAGCCCAGCTTGCACCCTCTCCAATCTGGGACTCCTTGAGGGATGTCTAACTGCCCGTTTAGGCCCAGTCCCAATGTGCCTAAATGGGCAGTCAGACATCCCTCTCACAATCCAGGACTGCTGGCTCCCAACCACTCACCTGCCTGATTGCCCCTAACCGCTTTTGCCTGCCAGCCTGATCAACACCTAACTGCTCCCTGCTGGCCTAACTGCCCTCTCCTACCAGCCTGGTTGCCCCCAATTGCCCTCCTCTGCAGGCCTGATTGCCCCCAACTGTCCTCTTCTGCTGGCCCGGTCACTCCTAACTGCCCTCTCCTGCAGGCCTGGTCCCTCCCAACAGCCCTCCCTTGCTGGCCTGATCGACCATAACTGCCCTTCCCTACCTGCCATCTTGTGGTGGCCATCTTGTGTACCATGGGGGCTACCATGTTTGATCATATGGGGGCGGCCATCCTGTGTGTTGGAGTGACAGTTAATTTGCATGGTACTCTTTTTTTAGATAGGATATATTTTATTGACTATTCATTTTATTGACTATATTAGTCTTGAGTAAAAATTTTTAAATATACTCTTGGGAGAATCCAAGATGGCTGCTCGGGTAGGCACCTAGCCGAGCTGCACACAACAATTCCAACAAAATACAACTAAAATATAAAATGGACATCACCCAGAACTACAGGAAAGTTGACTGACTGGAAATTCTACAACGAGAAGCAAGGAGAAAACCAGAAGGAAGCGCGGAGGAGCTGGAAAAGCCTAAGGTACGGAGACACGCGGCGCGCGGAGAGGACGGAGCCGGAGAAGAGGGAGGCGGAGTGCTTGGCGGGCGTTCCCTGGCGGGAAGGAGATAAACGCTCCGAATGTGCTGGCCCCCATTCTGACTGCTCTGAAGCCTAGGCCAGACCCCGGGGACCCAGGCTCACACAGAGGGAGCCGGGCTGAAAGGCTGAACCCCGGGGAAGAGGCGAAAGGAGGTCCCGGCGGCGCCGCGCAGAGAAGGGACGGTTGGCTGTGCCGCGGAATTGCCTGGCGGGAAGGAGACAGGGGCTCCAGACTGCTCTGAACGCCACCTCCAACTCCACTTCCAACTGAACTGAACCCCAGTTTCGGGACCATTGGGGGAGAGACTAGACTGTTTGGTAGCAGGCGAAAATCGAGGGCGCCTTTCTCTCAGAGGCGCTTACAACAAGTACTGAAGGACCCCGAGTCTCAGGAGTCGCATAGGGCGGGGCTGACGAAAGCCAAAGCTGTAGGCTCCACCCTGAAACCCCGCCCCATCAGGAAAGCTGCCTGCGAAAATGCCTAAACCAAATAGATCACAAACGAAAGAAATGGAGGACAAAAAGCGACTGGATATAGAGTTCAAAACCACACTTATAAGGTTTTTCAAGAGTTTCCTAGAAAAGGCCGATAAAATAAATGAGACTTATGAGGATATGAAAAGGGATCAACAAGAAATAAAGAATACATTGTCTGAAATAAAAACTATTATACAGAGTCCTAAAAACAGAATAGAAGATCGCAAGAATCAAGTCAAAGATTTGGAACATAAAGAGCCAGAAGATACTCCTCCGCAGAAGCTAGAAGGCAAGAGAATCCAGAAAATTGAGAATCAAGTCAAAGATTTGGAACATAAAGAGCCAGAAGATACTCCTCTGCAGTCGCTAGAAGGCAAGAGAATCCAGAAAATTGAAGATGATGTAAGAAACCTCTGGGACAACTTCAAACGATCCAACATCAGAATTATGGGGGTCCCAGAAGATGAGAGAGAGCAAGATATCGAAAACATATTGAAAGAAATAGTGACAGAAAACTTCCCCCACCTGGGGAAAGAATTGGACTTACAAGTCCAGGAAGCACACAGAACTCCAAATAAAAGGAATCCAAAGAGGACCACACCAAGACAAATCATAATTAAGATTCCAAGAGCAAAAGACAAAGAGAGAATATTAAAAGCAGCAAGAGCTAGGCAGATAGTTACCTATAAAGGAGCACCTATACGATTGTCAGCTGATTTCTCAACAGAAACCATGCAGGCCAGACGGGAATGGCAAGAAATATTCAAGGTGATGAATAGTAAGAACCTACAGCCAAAGATAATCTATCCAGCAAAGCTATCACTCAAATTCGAAGGTCAGATAAAGAGCTTCACTAATAAAAAAAAGCTAAAGGAGTTCATCACCACCAAACCAGAATTATATGAATTGCTGAAGGGGGTTCTTTCAGAAGAGAAAGTAAATAAAGATAAAAATTATGAACAACAAATACGTAACTATCAACAAGTGAATCTAAAAACCAAGGAAATTAAAAAAAAAATCTGATGAACAATATTAACTGTTGAATATAATAGAATCAGAGGTATGGAAGGGGAGTGAACTGATGATTCTTGGGGAAAAGGGGAGAAGGGGATGTGGGAAGAGACTGAACATAAACTGTGCACCTATGGATGAGGACAATGGGGGGTGGGGAAAGGGCAGAGGGTGGGGTGGGAAGGGACATTTGTATTAATATAAACAATAAAAATTAAGAAAAAAAATTTTTTTTAAATATATAACACATTTTTTTCCATATTAGCAAAATATAACCAAGAAAAGAGCCATAATGTTTTGACCTGAAATTGACTTGGATGTGCTTACCCTTTATTCTCTTTAATAGAACAAAAAAAGCCTGGTGGCCTTTAAGATCATGCCTCTGGAGGATATGAATGAGTTCACCGCACATATTCTGGAAGTAGTGAATGCACACATGATGCTAACCAAAGCTAATAGCCAGGTGAGCAGCTTCACTCATAGCTTCTTCTTCTTTTCTTTTTTCTTTGTTATTAATATACCTGTATTGATTTTAGAGAGGAAGATAGAGGGTGAGAGAGATAGCAACATCAATGATGAAAAAAATCATTGATCAGCTGCACTCTGCATGCCCCCTACTGGGGATTGAGCTGCAACCTGGCTTGTGCCCTAACCGGGAATCCAGCTGTGACTTCCTGGTTCATAGGTTGACGCTCAACCACTGAACCACATTGGCCAGGCCTAATTGATCTTTTTAAAAGCTGACTGAGGCTGCTGGTATGGATAATATTATAGATTAGGAGACACCAAGAATAGCAACAGTAGTAATTTAGAGGAATTGTATCGGCAGTGGTAAAAATTTTTATATATATATGTGTGTGTGTATATATATATATACACACACATATTTTTTTTCTTGATTTCAGAGAGGAAAGGAAAGGGAGAGAGAGAAAGAAACAGTGATGTGAGAATCATTGATCTGCCTCCTGCATGTCCCCTACTGGAATCATTTCATAATGAGCTCACAGGGCACTTGTCCAGGTTGTGGGCTCGTTCCCCAGTAGGGGGGCGTGCAGAATGCAGCAAATCAATGATTCTCTCATCATTGATGCTTCTATCTCCCTCTGAAATCAGTAAAAATAAAAATATGCATGAGATGAGGCCACTTGAAGCAGCACATGAGGTCATTTCAGCAGAGGTAACCAGGTAGGAAATAGAATTCAGTCCAGTATTATAATACTTGATCATAAAACATGTCTTCTATTTCACCAGCAGGCAATGTGAAGGTATCTAGCTTGAAAACAAAGGACTACAACTGATTCTTTTTTTTTTTTTTAACATGCTCTATTATTTTTTATTTCTTAATATACTTTATTGATTTTTTACAGAGAGGAAGAGAGAGAGATAGTTAGAAACATCGATGAGAGAGAAACATCAATCAGCTGCCTCTGCACACCCCCCACTGGGGATGTGCCCGCAACCAAGGTATATGCCTTTGACCGGATCGATCCCGGGACCCTTCAGTCCACAGGCTGACGCTCTATCCACTGAGCCAAACCGGTTTCGGCACACAACTGATTCTTGGTTCTTGTTTTGTTTACCTCAAATGTTTATCTAGTGAACATTTTTTGAATGAGTAAATCTCCTAACTGGATGGGATTTTTCCTAGTGAGCTTCCACAGTGCTTCTATATCCTGTTATGGGTTAACATTAACTGGTCATCCTTACTTCTCAGTTCAATAGATTAAACATTGATTGAGCACACACTGTCCCCCAGACACTGTGCAAAGATGAAGGGACTGATGGGGAAAGTGAATGAAGGCTGCTGAGAGAAAGACTGGGCCGCATGCCGTGAGAGCCAAGAAGGAAGACCATGACTTAACTTGGCTTTGGGAATGTCAACAAAGTGTTTACCAGGCAGACGAGGAGAGGAGCATTCCAGACAGGAAATGACATATTTGGGAGAAAGGCATGTTTTTGGATGGCAAGAAGTCCAAGTGCAGTTGGAGGGTAGAGTGTGCTAGAAAGGAGTGTGCTGAAGAAAAATACAGATTTTTGACATCTAAGTGTGGCAGGTCTTGAGTGTCCAGTAGGAGTTTTATATTTTGTTCACAGGCAGGGGGAGCCACCTGGAAGCTTTTAGGCAGAGAAGCAACATGATCAGAAGTTACTTGGTAGCAATGAGGAGGGTTGATCGGAGTAAGAGAGACTAGCAGCTGAGATAACAATCAGGAGACCAAGTGTGTTGAGGATTGACTTGAGCGACACTGAAGATTGTATTAAAAGGCTGCGGTGACAGGTTATGGAAGGGGAACAAATGGATGACTGACGTCTAGCTGATTAGGTTTGAGTTTACTAATGGAGATGGAATATAGCAGGGCAAACAGGTTTGGGGAGAAAAGTAATAAATTTTATTTTGAAGTGTGAGACAGCTTAGATATAGGTGTCCAATAGATGACTGGGACTAAGAATTTGTGTCTAGGAGGAGGTCTGGAATGAAATCCTGGGGAGACTATCAGCCTTTTAAGAGACAGGTAGAAGAAGAGCTAATAAATGATATTGATAAGGTGTAGTTTAAGAGATAAGAGGAGAATCAGAAGCCCGGGAGGGGATGAGGAGAGAGAAACCCAGGGAGACACTTAAGAAAAAGAGATTTAAAGAAAAGAAGTAGTTTAGGGAAGGATACATTGCAAGAGGATTGTGCTAAGCAGCTTCTCCTGAGAGGTCAAGTGTTATGAGGTCTGAAAGAGATTATTGGATATGTTGGTTGAAAAGTCTTTGGTGAGAAAAGTTTCAGAGGTGCTTTGAAGAAGGGAATGAAACCTGTTTATATATACATTTTTTTTTTTTTTTCAAAAAAAATTTTTTTTCAATCTGGTGTAAAAGAGAAGAGAGGGGTTGATGGAAACTTCTCCTTTTCTTTCCATATAACGCTTCATGCCACTTGAACACCAAGGATATCATTATAGCAAACCTGGGTAATTTTCTTCACAGTGCTAATTTTCCTCTTGTTCCCTTCATATTACAAAGAATAGAAGGAGCCGGGTTTGAAATGTCCTTTACCTTCCTTTGAAATATTCATCATCCCCTAACAGTTTGGCTCAGTGGATAGTGTTGGCCTGAGGACTCAAGGGTCCCAGGTTCGATTCTGGTCAAGGGCATATATCTTGGTTGCAGGCACATCCCCAGTAGGGAGTATGCAGGAGGCAGCTGACCAATGTTTCTCATTGATGCTTCTAATCTCTATCCCTCTCCCTTCCTCTCTGTAAAAACCTATAAAATATATATTTTAAAAAAATATTTATTAGATAATAGCTTCCCCTTCCAATATAAATACTTGTTATTGGGCCCTAAGCCAGTTTGCGTCAGTGAATAGGGTGTTGGACTGAAGTGTCCAGAGTTCAATTCCAGTCAAGGGCACATGCCTGGGTTGTGGGCTCGATCCCCAGTAAGGGGGCATGCAGGAGGCAGCCAATGGATGATTCTCTCTTATCATTGATGTTTCTATCTCATCCTCTTCCTTCCTCTCTGAAATCAATAAAAATATTTTTTAAATTTTAAAAAAAATCACTTGTTATTGGGAAAACTTTGCCTAAATTGTTTTTCTCTAAGAATTAACAAGCTCTTTAAAATAGCAAGGACTGTGTTTAAATTGAATTTTCTAATATTGTGAACTTATCTCTTAATTCAGCCCCCAGCAGGGAGAGCACCTATCAGCAATCCAGGAATGGGTGAAGCAGGGAGCTTTGGTGGGAATAGCCTCATACCGACAAATGGCCTCACTGTGGCCCAAAACCAGGTAAACTCTACTTGAATGGCTCCAGAAAATGCAAAGCACAGACTGTCATAAATGTTGTTACTTCCTTTATGGGAAGTAACAACAGATTACAAGTAACAACAGTAATGATTTTGAGATTATCTAAGTACCCAACTTGTGTCCTTCTTATAAAGACATTTAGGTTTAAGAGGGGAGCTGATTCAAAGTAGTTGCTAAAATTTTTCTGATTTGAATATTCAGGTGCTGAATTTGATTAAGGCTTGCCCAAGACCTGAAGGATTGAACTTTCACGATCTCAAGAACCAGCTTCAACACATGCCTTTAACCTCAATCAAGTGAGTATTTGATTTCTATGAGCTAGGACTCCAAAATTATGCCCATTTCACCTCATCAGAGTTTCCTGGTAATGATGATTCTCTCTCATCAATGTTTCTAACTCTATCCCTCTCTCTTCCTCTCTGTAAAAAATCAATAATATATATATATATATATATTTTTTTTTTTTAATATATTTTATTGATTTTACACAGAGAGGAATTGAGAGGGACAGAGAGTTAGAAACGTCGATGAGAAACATCGACCAGCTGCCTCCTGCACACCCCCCACTGGGGATGTGCCCGCAACCAAGGTACATGCCCTTGACCGGAATCGAACCCAGGACCTTTCAGTCTGCAAGCCGACGCTCTATCCACTGAGCCAAACCGGTCCTGGCAATAAAATATATTTTAAAACACACACACACACATATACACACACACACAAAACTATTGACAGAAAGGAAGTTGTTCAGTCATGGAAAAATAGAAAAGAACTTGCAAAAATGTTGTTGCGCATCACTCATTTGTTTGTTCATTCAAGAAATACTGAATCCCATTCATTATGTGGGATATAATTTTGAGCAAAAATTGACTATTCCTCTTGATTAGATCTGGAGGAGTGTGAGGTCCTTAGCTTCTGTCTTTAGATGTACAGTACCATTGCATTACCATCCACTGTGGAGGTGTGTGCATCAGGCTGTCTGGACCTGAAGCCATTAGACAGTCCTTCCCACAGCCTCGTCCTGATACAGGTTAGACAAGCCGCTTCCTGATTCCAGTGAATTAATCAAACAGACTGGGTATTATGGTACTTGGATTATTGTTACCATAAATCAATATGCTAGGCCTACATAGAAAAATGCTCAGGTTTAATCTCATTTCCTGTCATATAAAATGAGGATAATAGTTTCAGTCTCAGAGTAACTATGATGATGAGGTATAGAATGTCACCATAGTACCTCTTCTATAATTTGTTCCTGTTATTAAATTTGTTATTGACTCTGGTCCTGAGGGCTGTGAAGGTTTGAAGGTCTCTTAACCATTTCTGGAAAGACCTTCCCTTTAGAACTTCCTGCAACTTTACTTCTCAGAGGGCAGGCTAGCAGTTGGGGGGGGCGGGGGCGTGGGGAGGACAACTTTTAAAAATAACACTTTATGCTAGGAGATTTTATGTGCAAGCTGGACTACAACTTTGGATCATTGTTTCGATTTGCTTCTACTGGTATTTAATGAGGCTCTATTTTCTAGTCTTTATATAATTTGGGAGAGATATCCAACGCAGTCCTCTCCCAGTAGCATTGCCTGCGTGGATGACCTCAGTTTTGTAAATTTACTGCCACCTCTCCCTGCGAGAGCTTTCTGTGAGCAGATGGATGTGAATTCCTAGCCAAGATAGGAAGGGGGAGGTAGTGAAGTTTGCATGTTTGGCAATTTCACAAAGGCAGTTCCCTTTTTCCGCCCTTCACTGTGCCCTTTTACGGCTGACGCAGCTCCTGGAGAGGCTAACACAGAAGGGTAAACTAAGTCTCCATAAAACCCAGAGAAGAGATGGTAAAACTCCTCTTTGGATCCTGTCTGGAGTCACAGCTGGAAGAAAAAAAAAAGTTTTAATATAAAAAATTTTATAAAGAAAGAAAATGAGCCTTTTTTCCTCCCTTTTTAGGCAAGCTGTGGATTTTCTAAGCAACGAGGGACACATCTATTCCACTGTGGATGATGATCATTTTAAATCCACAGATGCAGAATAACTGGATCTAATTGGTATGCATCATATTTTCCAGCTGGGCCTATTTTCTCAGTCTGTGTGTCCAGCTGTGCATTTGTTTTGAAAAGTTGACTTCTAGAAAGTAGGTTTCATCCCTAAAATGTCTCAATTGACATCATTTTGAAACTTAACTGCTCTTCCGTTATTTTGAAATTCAAAGTGAGATGGGCAACTCCTAGGAGTCTGAGCCAAAGTGGAATTTCTTAAGTTACAAATTAGGTAGTTATAATACCATCTGGATAGATGGAAGTGAAAGAGCGATGCTGCCAATAGTTGGGCAGTATTAATACTCAGGAATCTCTATTCCTAAAATATTACCTATTGAGTACGATTAGGGTCTGTCAGCAGAGAGCTAGCCAAGAAATCTAACTTCTGCCTGGTTTTGTTCCCCATTTTGGTTATGTGGTGTTACTTTCAGAATTGCACTTTTCAACTTGTCATGGCTGCTGCCAAGTGTTTTGGTAAATACGAAGTTCTAGAGTGATGGTCTTGTGTAGCAGAGGAGAGAAATGTCACCGTGTTTTGTACAGAATAAGTACATCCATGTGTTTAATAAAATAGTTATATTATTGTAGTAACTTGTGAAGACATTCTTATTTTTCTTAAGTTAGTATAATTACTACCTTATCTGAGACAGTATAGCATACTCAACTTGGATTTGACATCGTGGCTCTCCTGCTTTTTAGTTAAGATCTTGAGCAGGGTACATCAGCCTCCGTTTATGAAAAGACAAGAATGTTATTTCCTTATAGGTTTGTGATGAAGATTGAATGAAGTAAAGTTTGTAAAGCATCTAGCATTGCCATTAATGAGGGTTCTAAAGCAGACATTAATCTTAACTCTAGCAGTATATGATCATGTAATTGATAAAATATCTACCATGTCACCTCAAGATGAAATTCTAAGAGATCTTGGCTATGTTTTGGCCAACTTAATTAGCTCCTTTTCTTGTGGGAAAAGAAACTAATTGAAAGATGTTTCTGACAACTCCAGACCATAAGCTATTTTTTGAATGAAAGAACTAATTTTGAGTAAGTTAATGAAGTGTAATATGCAAATAAAAGTTCTATAATTGTTTTAACTATGTTTCTAAATGAGATCTAGTAGCTGTGTGGAGAAAGCTCCACCAGCCTGGTTTATAGCAGCAAACAGCACTCTGGCTGTTATTTTCTGTCCATGCAGATAGTTCCTCTCTTGGGAGCAGACAGATGTTTAAAAGTCAGTCACCAGTATGTCTGTTTGTTTCTTGATTGTTTCCTATAAAGGACAGTGATCTAAAAATTTGTTTTAAAAAATCATACATTTGAATTGAGAATGCATGATAGGGTACTTTTATGGGTCATGGACTTCTCTTTCTAGTTATCAGGCTTCTCTTTCTAGTTATCAAATGGGCAAGGATAGCTCTGGTTCTGGGTGGAAGTCTATTTGTCTTTAGATTTTTAATATGAGGATTCAGCCATTAGAAACTATTACTCAGCCCTAGCCGACTCAGTGGATAGAGCATCAGCCTGTGGACTGAAAGGTCTCAGGTTTGATTCCTGTTAAGAGTACATGCCCAGATTGTAGGCTCGATCCCCAGTAGGGGCTGTTCAGGAGGCAGCCAGTTGATGTTTCTCTCTCCCTCTTTTTTTTCTCTCTGAAATCAATTTTAAAAAATTTATTTTTTAAAAACACACACAAACTACTTACTCATTACTTCAGCAAGTGTTTATTGATCAGGCACTAGGAATTGAAGGCAAAATAAGGAGATTGGCATCATAGGACTCGCTGGTTCAGCATTCCCAATAGCACAGAGTAGCTGCTGAATGGCAGTGAACTCTCTACCATCTTTGGACTTATACGGTCTCACAGGAGTTGTGTGGTTTCTGAGCACTACGGAGGCGTGTGGGGCTTACCACAGGCAGCCCATTCCTTAGCAGAATGAAACCCCAGCCTTCGTAAAGCTGCTGCTTCAGCAGGAGGCATTTGCACTTCAGGTGTATGAGGGCACCTGAGATGTGCGTAGTGTTCTGCTAGAACGTGATGAGACAGCATGACCCAGTGCTGTCTTCTTAGCAATCTTAGCAATCACCAGTGTCATAGCCAAGTAATGAGGCTAGCCTGCTCTCCATAGAGTCTCTAGGTGTACAGGTAGGAAATTAGCTTCCTTGAGAAATAATATTTCATTGGGTTTAACTAAAGAAAGGGCAATAGGTCCTGTTCGATTTGCTCAGTAATTAGAGCATCAGCCTGCAGACTGAAGGATCTTGGTTTTGATTTCCAGTCAAGGGTATGAGTGGTTGCAGGTTCCCCAATCCTGGTAGAGGTGCTTGATGTGTCAACCAATTGATGTGTCATGTCAATGTTTCTCTCTCCCTTCCCCCTCTTCCCTCTCTCCACTCTCTAGAAATCAATGGAAAAAATATCCTCGATGATTATTAAAAACAGTAAAAGAAAGAAATGCTAATAAGAATTAGTGTCTGATACTAATACAGCTGAAATTCAGAATTCATTGATAAATATTTGTAAGCATATATCCCCAGTTTATATCCATTTATTTAGCAATTATTTACATCTGCTACTATATTAGTAGTTGTATGTTACTAAACATTCACAAATGTAAATTAAAAAGGACATTAAAAATATGAAGGTGCACTAATAACTTAGGTATCCCAGTGTATCATCTTGTGTACTCAGGGCATGGGTGCTCACTTTGGAGACCACTGTTCAGAGGGAATTCCTGTCCCCGTTAGAACACCCTCCCCACTGCCCAGTGGCTTATTCCAGAGGTAAAGAAGCCAAAAGCACCCTGAGGGCGGTGTCTGTCTTTGGTCCATTCTCCGCTGACCTTCATTGCTCTGATCAGACATGGATGGTTGTGATTTTCAAACATGTTTTCCTTTTAAGCCTAGCTTTCCCCATTGTGAAATTTTTTCATTTCTCATTTGGCCACTCAGAAATCCCCTTTTGTAGGAACTGGTAGCCTACTTCTCTGTCCATCCCCATTCTCCCCCTTCCCCACCCCCGCTCACCCCTTTTTTTGTGATCACGCTCAATTTGTTGCCAAGCTTAAATGCGAAGTGAAAACTATTGGTGTTTTGCATGTGGGCTTGGCTCCTAGGGGCTTTGTGCCAGGGAGGAACTTTTCTGTCTCACTTTGTTGCTTATCGTTTGTCCCTATACTCTTCCTCAGGGTCCTCTGCAGTTTAGACTATCTTTCTGGAGGAGGGCATGAGAACTGGTGGGGGAGATGAGGATGAGGTGTTAGATACTTCACCTGGAAAAATCCACGCAGTGGCGGGAAGGCCAGAGGGCCTGGGAAGTGCAGTGGTCCAGACAGCCCAGAGGGATGACAGCAAGCACAAAGATGATAAACTCAATGGCAGTTGGAAATTTGGCCTTTACCTCAACTGGAGACTCAGATCCCCTCGTCTGCCTCCTTCCTCTGCTGACCGTGGTGGTAGGTTCCAGGAAACCAAAGTCCACCACTTCAGGAAGTGAGGTCTCTGGTCTTCCCCCATGAACAGGCCTACAGTGACCTTGGAAGTGAGTTAAACAGAGGGTTCCGTGGCTAGGAGACAGTGTGGATGTGTGGAAAGAATATGTTTGATATTGGTCAGTAATGATAACATATTTATCAAGTGTTTATTATGTCTCAAGCACCATGCTTTACAAAAGTTATCTGATTTGTTTTTTGTGTTTTTAAAAAAATATATATTTTACAGAGAGGAAGGGAGAGGGATAGTTAAAAACCAATGAGAGAAACATCCATCAGCTGCTTCCTGCACACCTCCCACTGGGGATGTACCCACAACCAAGGTACATGCCCTTGACTGGATCGAACCTAGGACCCCTCAGTCTGCAGGCCGACACTCTAGCTACTGAGCCAAATCGGTTTCAGCTGATTTGATTTTTTTTTTTTAATATATTTTATTGATTTTGTACAGAGAGGAAGGGAAAGGGATAGAGAGTTAGAAACATCGATGAGAGAGAGTCATCGATCAGCTGCCTCTTGCACACCCCCTACTGGGGATGTGCCCGCAACCAAGGTACATGCCCTTGACCGGAATCGAACTCGGGTCCCTTCAGTCCCCAAGCCAACGCTCTATCCATTGAGCCAAACCGGTCCCGGCTGATTTGATTCTTAAAACAGTCCTGTGAGGTAGGTAACTTAGTTTTATTTTACATGTGAAGAAAGTAAATCTTAGATTATTAGCTGATAGGAGATGAGCTGGCATCCTAACCCAGGTTCGTGACCAATCTGCCTCCTCAAACACCTGACCACTCAAGCTTGTTTCCTGATCTTGAAAATCAGGCTATTGTCTGCCTCAAAAACTGGAGGATTTAAATAGGTTTGTAAAGGATCTGGCACACAGAGTAAGTGATGGCTTGTCATTTCCCCAGGAGCTCGGGTGTCCTTTTTATTTTATGGTTCTTGAGTGAAATAATCTTAGGTCATCGCCTACAGCTGTCAGGTGCTAGGAGCTGCAGAGGAGGAAGACAGTCCTGGCATCCCAGGAGCTTAGAGCCTTGGAGGGGAGAGGGAGGAAGAGGGGAGCAGGAAGGGAGCTGAGGGGGTAGCAAACATAAAGGGCTCTCAGTTCAGTGTGATCAGGATTGAGTCCCCCTTTACCAAGAGGCAGGAGTCACAGTGCTGCCATCACTGAAGTTGGTAGTTTTGATTCCTTTTTTACCGACCAGTGAGACGGCTGGTGTAGGGCAGTGGTCAGCAAACTCATTAGTCAACAGAGCCAAATATCAACAGTACAACAATTGAAATTTCTTTTGAGAGCCAAATTTTTTAAACTTCTAGCACCAGTTCTTCAAAATAGACTCGCCCAGGTCATGGTATTTTGTGTAAGAGTCACACTCAAGGGGCCAAAGAGCTCTTCTGGACACCAACACCGAGTCAGGACATCAAGTGTAGGGGCTAGGCCCAAACAAGCCAGCCCTCTGGCAGAGACCTAGATCCCAAGGGACGCTGGGACTGTCCATCCCATTCCCGATCGGTCCCACAAAGCCACTCCCTGTCCGTGGTTTGGTTTCTGTGAGGCTGTCCAAGGTCTTCTAACGGCTTGTAGCATTGACCGGGGCGCTGGGTTCCCTGAGCAGCAGCGGTCAGGAAGCATGGTTTCTCTGCTTCTAGAGGGTTTTCCGAAAGTGCTCAACTACCTCTTCATAGTCATGTTCATCATCATCATCTGCAAAGGAGTCCAGGTCAGTGAGGGTCTGTCCCTGAGCAGGTTCCTTCCCCCACTCTACCACTTTGAGGCACACTTCCTCGCCGGGCAGGGAAGGGTTGGTCTGAGTGCTCTAAGGTTCTTGCTAGCCTAGAAACTGTAAATTCTTCTGACTGAACACTGCAGACATTCCCCCTCTATGCCTTGGGGATGAAGGGGGCGTGCTGAAGGAGGAACTCATTTTCCTTGCCAGGGCTCTGTGCAGACAACAAGCAGGAACTGGGCCCAAAGTCACTGCCATGGGGAACCTAGCTGGGAGAGGGACAGTGAAGACCCTCAGCCTAAGCCTCCCCCCCCAGCCCCCCTCCCCCATACATATAGGCCTGACGGTCCAGCTGGGACCACAGAAGGGTCTGCCTGTTGGCAGGGCCTTGCTGAATGTTTGGCCAGCAGCTCAGAGGATCAGTAGGAAAGGTAGAAGAAAGGATGAGGGTGATAGGGGCTGACAGGGCTTACATGGATCCAGAGGGCTGGACTTAGCGGGCTTCTGGCCCTTCTTGGCAGAAATCTTGCTGTAAGAATCTGACCTGCCCTCTGTGACTGCTGCCAGCGTTTTCGGCCTGAGTTTGGGCTGCAGGGCGGGCCGCTGCTCTGCTGGGGCTTGAGGAGAAGACTAAGTGGGAGAAAAAAGCAAAAGTCAGCAGGGTCCCAAGAAACAGAGCAGCAGAATCCATGAAATGTAATTTCCTCCAAACATCACTTCCTCTGGTCTCTTCTCTACCGCCTTTCAGGGCAGGGCTTCTCAGGACCCGGGGACTTTGCTATAAACACATGAAATGTTGTTGGGCGGAGAGGAAGGGGCCAGGGGGAGAGAGGATGCCACTAGAGGCCAGAGACAGTATCCACAAGGAGGCTGGTCACCTATTGCTGAAGGGGGAGTCACAAAGCCTCAGGCTGGAGTGCCAGGGCTGAGGAGCCTGAGAGAAGAGGATTTTCATTGAATCCCCTTGTACCTGATACTATATGTATATGTATATCTGCTCACTGAACCCTCAGGTGACCCTCTGAGTAGTTGGTTCAGTCCCCAATTTACACACGAGGAAATGGGCTGAGGGAGAGTACGCCATGTCAGACCTCACACGGGGACCCTAGCTGGACCACCACTCGGGCCCAGACCACGTCTCACCTAAAGCTGGTGCTCCTTCCACCACACGGTGCCTTGGAGAGCATGTCCAGCTCCCTGACCAGCAAAAAGCATACCGAGACCCAGAGAGGAAAAGCTGCTAGATCAAGGACCACAAGCAGGAACTGGGCCCAACGTCGGGAACCAAGGCTGCAACAGGTCAACAATGGCCCTCTTGATATGACCGCTTTCTGGACTGAGACCCACATCCATTTTTTGAACTTTCTACCCACACAGAGCAAACTACAAGCAGAGCATGATAGTTAGCTGTTCAAGCCCGGTGGTCAGGCCCCATTTAAACCCCCCTCACCACTTGCTAGCTGATGATCTCAGGCTAATTACCCCCAGCACCTTACTTTCTCCTCAGTACAGAGGGTATCAGTGGTCACCTCAGAGGTGCAACATGAGAGCAGGTGGAGCAATGCATATTGCCTGCCACAGAGCAAGCACCCTGCAGGTAGAATTAACAGAGTGAGGGATGTTATCGCAGGCTCACCGATAAGGAAACAAATGCTCGGATCCAGGCCACAAAGTGATTAAACTGGGACTACAACAGTCTCTCAGTGACTGGTTCTGTCCCCTTACTGAGATTCCGTTTCATTCAGGTCAGCACTCCCTGGCGTTTTTCTGCCCACTTTGGAGTGGGTGAGGTCCCTGCACCCACAGAACTCAATAAAGAGACTCGGGCATATCTAATTCAAAACTGTGTGTGTGTCTTGTCCTCCCCTCCTCACCCCCCAACTCCCAAGCTACATCCAACATGCAGGGTGAATACACAAGAGGGAGGACTCGGTGCCCAGGAGGAAATCTGGGCTGAGCCTTGCCCATGAGCCTGAAGAAAGAAGATGCTGAGGCCGGGGTCCTGGCATAGTGAGGCAGCATCAGGAGCCTCTGGCTGGAGTGTGGGCCTCGGAATGGGTGGGGGAAGGTGGGCCTGGGAAAGTGAGGCTGAGGCCAGCTTAGAAGGGACCCTGATGCTATGTTACGGGGCCTGTGTTGTCCCTGGCAATGGGGAGCCACTGGAGGTTTCAGGTGATAGGGCCAAAACCCATTGGTGGCCAGGGAAGGAGTTGGAAGGCAATTCTGACAGCAATGGGAAGGGTTGAAGAGGCTGCTGAAACAGTTTAAGTGAAAAACGAAGCTTGAACTAGAGTGACATCAAGGGTAGCAAAGAGGCAAAGCACATTGACCTTGGAGTCAGTATGCTTATGCTCCAGTTCAGGCCTCCTGTTTGTTAACTGACTTGGGGTGAATCTCGGAGTCTGTGAGTCACTTTCTCAACCATAAAACATGGTAACCACACCAACGTCAGGATTGTGAGGATGGAGTAAGAATAACGTGCCAAGTGTGCAAGTTTATAAACTGCAAGTTCTATGCAGTTGTAAGAGAAATGTGATGCTAGACAGAGGAGAAAGGCTGGCCTTGCAGTGATCCTGGCAGGTGAGCCCATCCCCGCCCACGCTGGTTGTACTGGTACCTTGATGCTTCTCTCCTGGCTGCTCTGTTTCTTCTGCCCACTGAGGTCCTGGCGCTTAGGGGGCCTGGGTGGGGGGGGCTGGCTCTCGAAGGCAGGTGACTTCCGCAGGTGATAATAGAAGGCGTCTGTCAGCTCATCCACGGTGGCCGTGGGGGGAGACCCAGCTGGCCGGCCTGGCTCCTCCTTGGCCTCCACAACAGTCAGGTCCAGCCACCGGGGAGGAATCTCAAAGGACATTCCAGGCTCCGAGTCCAGGCTGACCACCAAGAAGGGTTCCGTGATCTTCTCCTCCAGCCGCAGGCCCGGGAAGAGGGTCAGAGGGTCAGCAGGGTGGCTGGTGTCCTTGGCCACCACCTTGACCTCGCAGGGCAGTGGGAACTGGGCAGTCAGATCTGCCAGGCTGTATCGCCGGCTGTCACTCAACTCCTCCACGAAGCCGCCCGAGAAGTACAGGGGCAGCACAATCTGTTCTTGGTCCTCTGCCTCCTCTTCACTCTCTTCCTCCTCGGCCTGCTCACTGAGCCGGCGGCACACCAAGATGTCTATGTCCCTGCCCTGAGCCTCGTGGGCCTGACCGGACCCCACCACCTCCAACCTGTCTCCCATAGCCAGGGAGGTGCAGCCAGGGATCTCCGCCTCATCCCCCTCACAGTCCTGCATGGCCACCACCCGCAGCGGCCGGCCGGGCTGGAGAGCGCTCAGGATGTCGTAGGCTGTGGAGAACTCTCTCGGCCGCCGCCGCAGTTTCCCCCTGTAGGCCCCCGAGACCAGGAAGTATCTGGGCATCTTTCGGCCCTTGGATGAGGCCAGGACCCGCCAGGGTGGCGAAGCCAGGCTGTGGATGCAGAGCCTCTGGCCTTTCTGCAAGTTGTTCGCCCAGGGGCTGAGGAAGATGGGGGGCCCGTCTGGAACTTCCAGGATCTCTGTGGTCAGGGGGAAGGGGCCTCCCCGAGCCAGGACCTCACTCAGCAGCAGCGGCTGGATGAAGTGGATGTGTTCAGAGGAGGCGGTGACATCCTCCACGTCGACCTCCAGAGTGGAAGGGATGCTGACGATGGTCCTGCGCACTGGGGAGGGGGAAAGGGCTCAGTGGCAGGCCTACGCCCGCCTCAGCGGCACCCTCCACCCCAGCAGAGAGATCCGGGCCGCTGACCTCTTCCCTGTTCTCGTCTTTTTCTCTCCAGCCAGCATTCTGCTGCTGCACCAGATTCCAATCTTTCCTTTTTTTTTTTTTTTTGGTTATTTTAGAAATTATTAAACATTTGTGAAAGAAGGGAGACTAGTATAGTGACCCCCTCATGTACCCAGCTTCCACACTGAGCTCAAAACTCATCTTTAATTTCTACTCCCATCTATCTATTCACTGAGTTCTTTTGAATCAGAACAATCTTGATTCAGCCCCTAAGAGAAGGGATGGTTTGAAAATTTTAAAGCATAACCACAATGCCATCACCACATTGAAATAATGATTTTTTGATAATTCCTTAATACCGAAATATCCAATCAGTTCAACCACTTTTTAAATTTTAATTGAATTTTTAATGTAATTTTATAAGCTGCCTTTCCAAGTCCTTTAAGAATTTAAATAAGAGATAAAACCAAATCAAGAAAAACACTGACTAAATAACCTCTCTGGATTAGTACCTGACACATAAACTCATAATGACTGTGATTGTGAGGCAAACTGGCCCACCGCTGTGTTGTCTGATCTGCCCCACATAGAAGATGGAGCAGGCACAGCCTCCCATTTTGCAGATGAGAACACTGAGGCTCAGGGTGGTGAGGACTTCCCTCGGTCACATTTTTGGGATTTTTGCTTTGTGCTAGGTGAGCAGATAATGGGTTGAAGCTAGAAGATGGGCATGGGGATTCATTACACTGTTGGTTTTTCTTCAAAATATTTTCTGGTTACCTGAGCTGCCTCATTATCCAGCAGGAGCTGCCAAGCCCTCCCATCCCACCATTAAAATTCCTGTCCCCCCCTCCCCCCTCCAGTTGTGGGTCTCTTATTGCCCAGGGCTCCCTGGGAAAGAGCTAACTTCAGTTCCTGAGGAGGAAATGCTCAAGATAAGCCTGAAATACCTTTTACGGGAAAGCAAGAAAATCTACTCAAGACCACTAAGGCTTGTCAAAAGGACTAGGGGCCAGTGTGAAACAGCTTCCATGGCTCCTGGCCAAGCTGAGCTAACCTGAGCTTCCCATAAGATTAACGGTTTCAGTGGACTGAAACACTGAAAACATTTCGTCCCTGAGTTCAATAGTGAAAAAAAAGATAAAAACTGAATCACCCATTGAAGGATGTTGAGCAGCCAACTCATTCTAAAAACTAGTAAAAAAAAAAAAAAAAAAAAGGAATTGTTAGTCTCAGTGCAAGCTGGTGGCAGGTTGGTGGGACGAAGGTGGAACCTGGCCGCTGGGAGGCTGAGCCTGCGAGGTCCCGGGACCTCTGCGTATACAAACAGTGTCCTGTGGTCCTGCACATGGAACCACAGGAGATGGGGGAGTTTTCTCGGCAGTTTCCCATGGAGCAGGGAGGACGGGGAAAGTATCACCACTGCAGTTTCTGATGAAATCCTGGGTCTAGGCGTGGTCAGCAGCTACTCCCTTCACACTGGCCCATCCACTGCGGTACGTGAGCTCCACCTCACGGCAAGGCCAGTGCTCACGCGAGTCAGATGGCGGCAGACACAGCCACGCGTGGATTCCTTGCCCCCCACCTCGCAACGACCGAGACAAACTGCCTGGGCGAAGTCTATTTTGAAGAAGTGGCATTAGAAGAAGCTTAAGTTTTAAAAATGTGGCTCTCGAAAGAAATGTCAATCGTCCTATCATTGATATTTGGCTCTGTGGACGAATGAGTTTGCCAGCCACTGGCCTAGACTATGGGCCGGGGTCCTCCACCAGAGCAGCTCCCAGGGCCCTCTTTCCCTCCTCCACCTGCCATCACCCTCCACCCCTCACCCCACCCCCGTCCCACCACTCACTGTGCATGACGGCCAGGATCTCGTACTGGGGCCTCAGGACCAAGGAGCGCCAGGGGAGGGCGGGGCAGGTGAGCAGGAGGTCCCTCAGGGCCAGGGCCTGCAGCAGGGTCCGAGGGGCCCCCGTCTCCAGTTCCCAGAAGGGCCCCTCCGTGGACAGGGGCAGGTGCAGCACCGCCACCTGGGTGTCCGTGCCCAGCACGCAGCGGGCGGAGCAGGTCCCGAGGTATACTTCCACGGACTCCAGCATGAGGGGCTGCTCCTCGGGCACCGCCAGGGCCTCCGTGTGCATTCTGCGGGTCGCCATGAACCAGACGGGCAGCTGCTTGGAACGCTGGGTGACAGCAGCGTACAGCTCCTCCAGGGTTCCATAGCTCTGGGGGCCGGTGAGGGGGCTGAAGAGGCCTGGGGGGCACAGCAGAGGTGTCAGGGGCAGGCCTGGGCTGGGTCCCGGGCTCTAGTCACCAGGTCCCAGTCTGGCCAGAGAGAACCCAGATTCCCCGAGGACAGATGCCAAGGCCAGGCCAGCATCTGGGAACCGGGGCCGTAGGGGTTGAGAAAGGGGAGGCAGCAAGTAACCTCGTGAATGGACAGCGAGAGGCCAAGTGGAGATAGTCCCTCTGACACACAGGGGACAGAGACAGAGGACAGTTCCCCATAGACACACTGACAACTGCCACATTGTCCTGCCTCCCGACCCCACCTGCCTCTCAGTTTGCCTGCTTTGCCTCCAGAAACCTCACCTGCTCCAATGCCACACCTCTAGCACCTGCCACCCATCCTGGGGCAGCACCATGTCCCTCCCACACTAGAGACCCAGGAGCCACTGGCCAAATGAGCTCTGACATCCTCCTCCCCCCACTTAAGTGTCTGCCAATTCTGGCTGCTCTCACCTCCCTGCCCCTCCTCACCCCATTCAATCTTGCCACCTGATTGCCCTAAACCAGTGTTTCCCAAAGTGTGGTACACGTACCCCCAGGGGCACGGGAAGAGTTTGGAGGGGGTACGCGTTGCACCGGAGTTTGGTGGGGATATGCACTGCACGCTGCTTAGCTGCGCCTAATTCCACGTTCTCATGAGTACGAGGGGCACTCAGCGTTACGAAAATTATAGAAGGGGTATACGTATGTCAAAAGTTTGGGAAACACTGCCCTATACTAACCCCTCATCTGGACATGAGTCCTGAGACTTTCCTGCCCAAACACTCAGCAAGCACCCAAGCTAGGGAACATCGCACAGACCCGGCCGGAGGGCCCTTCTGCAAAAGCACTTGGTCTGGGCTCTTCAAACGTGGGTGTCAGGACAAGGAAAGGCTTTGGAGCTCGCCCAGCCCGAAGGAGACTAAGAAACAGGCAGTTGCCTGCGCTGTGCGAGGTGGACTGGCTTCAGGACCAAGGGGAAAACTGCTATTGAGGCTTTATTAGGGCAGCTGGGGAATGGAATACGGCGCTGGGTTAGGCACTAATGTTGTATCAATATTAGATTTCCTAGATTTGATCATTAAACTAGTTTTGTGGGCAAAACTAGTCCTTTTAGGAGACACACTAAATATTGGGGTAATATTTAGATGTAAGTGGCATCATCTCTGCCATTTATTCTCAAATGGTTCGAGGAAAATATATACAGAAACATACATATACACTGACATGTTCATATGTGTGTGTGTGAAAAGAGAAAGAAAGCAAATGTAACAAAATGTTTAGCAGTGAGTGAATCTGGATAAGGTGTACAGTAGACTAGCAAGTCTTCTGTAAATCTGAAATTATTTCCAAATAAAAGCGGAATCCTCAAAGACAACATCGCTTTCATATTAAAACCCTCACTGGCTCCTCGGTGACTTCAAAATAAAGACCTACACGTGTCTGTGCCCCTCTCCATCCCCCTCAGTCTGACTCCCGCCACCTCCCTCCCACCTGGAGCACACACACCCTCACTGTCCCGTTAGGCGATCGCAGGGACTCAGACTGAGAAGCGGCACCGGGCCAGGCCTTCACGCACCGCAGCCCATGCAAGCAGCTCATCGCGTCCTCACCCCGCGCCTGAGCGCCCCGCACCGAGGAGGAGGCCGGGGCCCAGAGGTCAGGGAGCTGACCACCACGGCTGGTGGCTGCAGAGCGGATTCCCGGCCAGGCTGCCACCGCCCACCACACCACACACTTCCTGAAACTGAGCCACATGGGGTTTCTGGAGCCCCAAGTGTGCACATGGGGCTCCTCCGGCTGCTGCTTCTAGGGAATCCTCCCTCCAGCCTAGGCCACCGCCTCCAGGAAGCCTGCCCGGGCCCTGAGGCAGAGCCCCCTTCACATTGTGCCTGTTTCTGCTGCTCTTCCTCTCGCTGCCATCCTGGTAGCTCCCCCTGCCCCTGAGAGGGCGCCCCTGGTTCATCCTGAACCCCAGCCCCCAGCACAGAGCCGGCTGCACAGGGTGTCACTAAGAGTAAGTGAATGTAGGAGCGGACACAGACAGATCGTGGACACAGAGCCCGAACAGAAGCAGCCCTGCCGAGACGGGACCGGGAGACGGGCAGGGAGAGGCCCGCTCAGGCTCCGACCCCGAGGACACCCTGAGCCTGAAGGCGGGTGGCGTGCGCGTGGCATGTGCATGTGCGCGCCCAGAGGAGCGGGGTGCGTGCCGCAGGCGCGCCCGGAGGCCAGGACACCCGGAGACAGGTGCCCCTTACCCTTGAAGCTGGGGTCCAGCTCTCTGGTCTGGCCGGTGCTCGGGTTCTCGCAGACGACCTTCTGGAGGCGGACCTGGGTGACCTTGATGAGGTCCCCCGTGGAGAGGCAGCACTCGTTCCCGCAGATCTCGTAGATGGAACCTGCGGAGGCAGAGCCTCAGTTTCCCCGCTCGGCAGGGGCCACACGCTGGGCGGCCTGTGCTCTGTGCTCCCATCAGCCCTGCCCCTCACACCTGCTGCTGGGAGCGCCCTTCCCGGGCTCCCCCTGCCCCGGGCAGCACGGAGCCGCCTCTCCCTTCGCCGGGGGCACCTTCTGTGGCACGTCCTCGGGCTCTGCTCAGCCCGGCGCGCTGACCGGCGCCCGGAGCACCTGGACCAGCCTAGCGGGGCCTCTCCGTCCGTGCTAAGTCACGTGAGTGAGAACCAGTGCCGAAGTGCTGGTTCTCACGGTCAGTCACACAGAGCCGAGCACCCACCGGGTGCCGTCTTCAGATGAACTGTTTTTCGAGGAAGTACGGGAGATGAAGGGTGGCCGGCAGGGTGGTCCCGGGACCGGGTCCTGGGCTGAAAGCAGCGTGTGGAACAGGAAGGTCTCTCACACGGAGGGCCCAGGCTCTGCCACAGCAAAGCACAGTGGGGCCAGCCCTGAGGCCATCAGACTGTCCCACCCACTGCAGCCCCGGGCCTGACACCAGCCCTGAGAAGCTGTCAAAACCTCTCTCTCTTGCCAAAACCGGTTTAGCTCAGAGGATAGAGCATGGGGTCTGTGGACTGAAGGGTCCCAGGTTCGATTCCGGTCAAGGGCATGTACGTTGGTTACAGGCACATCCCCGGTGGGGGGTGTGCAGGAGGCAGCTGGTCCATGTTTCTTTCTCATCAATATTTCTAGCTCTCTATCCTCCTCCCTTCATCTCTGTAAAAAAAAATCAATAAAATATATATTTTTTAAAAATCTCTCTCCCCGTCCCCCAGGAAGTGCACACCGACCAAGCACGCAGCCCCGCTGCGGTTCGGGGCGGGGGCACAGCGCTGCGTGTGCGTCCTTACATGTAAGCCCAGACGGCCTCCGAGGACAGGAGCTTCCTTCCCAAACATGGAGCTGAGCCGGCAAGGCTACAGGGTGGCCCGAGGTGACAGGTAACAAGAGCCTCATTGGGACTGGAGTCCAGGGTGTTTGCCTCCAAAGCGGCAGTTCCTAACCCCTTCCAGCGCCTGCCCCACCGGCACCGGCACCGGCACCGGCACCGGCACCGCCACCGCCACCGCCTCCGCCTCCGCCTCCGCCTCCACCCGCACCAGCTTCTCACCCCCCAACGCCGGTCCCTCCCAGGCCGCGGCGGAGGATGAGGCCCAGGTGTTGTGACACCAGGTGAGCGGGGATGTCCGAGCAGAACAAACAGCCCCCAGAGGTGGAGCCAGGATTTGAACCCAGATCCGTCAGGTTCCCACGTGGACCTGGCCAGACCTGCCCCCAGGGTGGCCCTGCCTATGGCTCACCCTGGTCCAGGGCCCGGGGCCTCCGAGCACTGACGGTCCGGGGAGCTGAGGGGGCAGAGGGACGGGCAGCCAGGGCACAGGAATTAACTGGCTCCAAGGAAGGAGCCCTGCCCCACCCAGCGCCCGGGTTCCCTCTCCCCGTCCTCCTTCCCCTTCCGTCCGCCACAGCCCCCCCCCCCCCCACGGCGGAGCGTCCCGTCTGCTGGGCAGCCGGCAGCCGGCCTCTGGCTCTCGGGTGTAACCGGTGGTGGGGGCCTGCTATGTGCGGGGGGTCGGGGGTGCTGTGTGCGGGGGGCCGGGGGGTGCTGTGTGCGGGAGGCGGGGGTGCTGTGTGCGGGGAGTGCTGTGTGCGGGGGGCCGGGGGTGCTGTGTGCGGGGTCCTAATGTGTGCGGGGGGCCGGGGGTGCTGTGTGCGGGGCCGGGTGGGGGGTGCTGTGTGCGGGGGGCCCGGGGGTGCTGTGTGCGGGGCCGGGGTGCTGTGTGCGGGGGGGTCAGGGGGGTTGCTGTGTGCGGGCCCGGGGGTGCTGTGTGCGGGGGGGCCGGGGGTGCTGTGTGCGGGGGGGCCGGGGGTGCTGTGTGCGGGGGGCGGGGGTGCTGTGTGCGGGGCCGGGGGTGCTGTGTGCGGGGGGCGGGGGGGTGCTGTGTGCGGGGCCGGGGTGCTGTGTGCGGGGCCGGGGTGCTGTGTGCGGGGCCGGGGTGCTGTGTGCGGGGGGGGGGGGGGGGGGGAAGGGAGCGGGGCCAGGGGAGTGGGGAGCGGAGCCAGGACGGCTCGCCGGACCCGCAGCCGCGCCAGCCGGGAGCTCCGAGCTGCTCAGGCCGCGCTCCGCTCTGGAGCCCGGGGGGCCGGGGGCCGGGGGCCGGGGGCCGGGCGGCGGGAGGCACAGGCGGCCGGGGACGGGGGCCGCTCGGAGCGGAGGGCGGACCGGCCCGGAGGAAGAATCTAGCCGGGAGCGCCCCTGCCCGGCCGCCCCCCGGCCCTGACAGCCCCTCCCTCCCCGCGCAGCGGGGCCCGGGCCGGGATGGAAGTCCGAGCTGCCCCGGCGGAGCGGCCCGACCCGGGCTGGGCCGGCACGTCGGGGCTCGGGCTGCGCGCTGCCCCGGCGCCCGCCCCCGCGGGGACAGCCTGGCCGGGAGGGCCCCGGGCGGGGCGCACTCACCCTGGAAGTAGACGCCCGAGCAGACCCGCAGCACCCGCGGCAGCGAGGCGGGGTCCAGCGCGCGAGCGAAGTCCTGCAGCGACACGGCCTCCAT